GTTGAGGTTGAAGAGCTAAAAGAATTCTCTCAGCCAATAATGGTTCTGGCTGAGGATTAGATACCACTCTCGGCCAAGAATTCTGGTAATGTGGCCGATTTGATCCTCGGTTAATATGTTTCCATTCAGGGCAGCAACCATGTTCTATGAGAGCCTTGACATTTGGAATGGCTGATGGTGTCCTCTCGGTAACCTTAGGCTGATTCCCTTCACCAACCTTCCCTTTGGGAGCCTGGCCGATCACATTACTACCTGCGACGAAAAGATCATTGTCGACCCCAATGACTTCATCATCCGCTCCCTTTTTGGCCGATACGGTAGATGTTTGAGTGCCGGATGTGGCTGATTTTGGCTTATCTTTGATCATTTTTTCAATGATCTCTATTAAAATTTTGTTTGAAGATTCGGCTTGGCCATTTGCTTGAGCATAGTATGGTGTAGAGGCTGACATATGAATATTCATGTTGTGGCCGAATTGTAGTACATCAGTTGCCCTAAATACTGTTGCATTATCTGAAACAAGTGTTTCTGGAATCCCAAATCTGTGGATGATGTTTTGTTCCATGAAATTAATCACTGTTTGCTGATCAACCGCTTTGCAAGCCTTGGCCTCAACCCATTTAGTAAAATAATCTGTGGCAACAATCACCCGGTGATGGCCTTCGCTTGATGGTGGATTAATTTTACCAATAAGGTCAAGGCCCCAACCTCTGAATGGCCAAAGTTTGATTATTGGCTATAAATCTTTTGCTGGTACATTTTGAATGGCCCGTGTCTTTGACAAGCTTGACAACCTTTTGAGTAATCTATACAATCTTTTCTCATTCTCGGCCAATAATATCCATACCTGCGAATCAGCCATCTCATTTTAATCCCAGCTTGATGAGCCCCACAGCTGCCCTCATGTACCTCGGCCATAACCTGAAGTGATTCCTCCTTGCTTATACATTGTAGTAAGAGCCCATCTTCTAACCATTTTCTGTATAGATCCCCATTTAGAAGCACAAAGTTGATCGCTTTTCTTTTAATACTCCTATCAGCCTTGATGTTTGGATTTCGAAGAAACATTATAAATGGTATCCTCCAGTCATCGTCGGCCAAATCTTTTACATCAATTGTCCAAGTATCAAACAACATAGTATTTCTTAATTCGGCCGATGGCAAAGATCTTCGTGTTATCTTTATCAACTGATCTTCTATTCCGGCTAGTACTCTTATTCCAGAGGCTGCTTGGGCCATGCTGTTGGCCTCCTTATTCTGCCCTCTCGGCCAGAACTTAAGTTGAACATTATCAAATTAATTAATTAATGAAGTGGCCAGAGAATGAAACGGCCTTAATTGCCAACTTAGGCACTTAAAATCTTCAGAAATTTGGCTAAGGACTAAGTTTGAATCTCCCAAAATCTTTACATCTCTAATAGCCATTTCAATTAAAATCTTCAGGCTGATTATAAGCGCTTCATATTCGGCCTGATTATTTGAACATTTAAAATCTAAAAAGAAAGAGAATGAAGCCTTTCTGCCAGCTGGCGAAATAATAACAATACCTGCTCCTGCTCCATCAGCCGTGCTTGATCCATCAAACATCAAGATCCAAGGAGTTAAGAATATAGTTGATGACTCCAATTCATCATAAACCCATGGATCAATATCAGTTGAAGGATGATCGGCCAAAAAATCAGCCAGAACCCTTCCTTTTACTGATTTTTGTGGGACGTAGATAAATTTGAATTCCATTAAAGCTAAAGCCCACTTACCTATTCAACCAGTGATCAATGGCCTTGATAGCATATACTTGATCACGTTAGTCTGACAAAGAATGTAAACATCAACAGGCCGCATGTATACTCTCAACTTCATGACCGAATAGTACAAAGATAAACAAAGCTTCTCAATTGAGGAATATCTGCATTCTACATCAGTTAGTACTCTACTCAGGTAGTAGACAGCCTGCTCCTTTCCATGTTCATTGTCTTGTGCGAACATACTACCAATTGATTCTTCTGCGGCCGATAAATAAAGCTTTAACGGCCACTTCTTTCTTGGAGGCATTACAACCGGGGGGTTTGCCAAATACTCTTTTATTTTGTCAAAGCCTTCTGATGGGATTCATCCCAATGAAATTTCTCATGTGACTTTAATTTCACTAAAGTCGAAAAGACATGCACTCGGCCAGCATGGTTAGAAATAAATCTTCTAAGAAAACCTACCTGGCCAAGGAACCTTTGCACTTGTTTTTTTTTGGCTGGGGCCCTAGCATTTATAATAGCTTTGACCTTGTTCTGATCAACTTCAATACCTCGTTTGTGTACCAAGAACCCCAAGAAATTCCCGACTGAAACTCCAAATGCACACTTCAATGGGTTCATTTTCAATTTGTGAACCCTTATCCTTTCAAAGGCCCTTTTCAAGTGTTCCAAATGCTGTTTCTTGGCCGATGATTTCACAACTACATCATCTATATAAATTTCCGTGAATCGGCCAATCATATCATGAAAGATAGAATTCATTGCGCTTTGATAAATAGCCCCAGCATTTTTTAGGCCAAATGGCATCACAATCCACTCAAAAGTACCAATTGACCCAGGACATCTAAAAGCCGTTTTATGAACATCTTCCTCGGCTAAATAGATTTGATTATAACCTGAATGACCGTCCATAAAAGACAATATTTCATGCTTAGCGGCCGAATCAATAAGTTGATCGGCCACAGGCATTGGATATTCATCTTTTGGAGTGACATTATTTAAATTGCGAAAATCCACACAAACTCTAAGTTTGCCATTCTTCTTCATTACCGGAACAACATTAGACAGCCATTCAACATACCTAACTGTTCGAATAAATCCTGCCTTAAGAAGTCTCTCAATTTCTTCTTTAATTTTGAGCATTACTTCCAAAGACATCCTTCTTGGTGGTTGTTTATATGGCTGAAAATCTTTCTTGATCGGTAATCTATGTTCTACCAATTTTCTAGACAGGCCAGGCATCTCTTCATAACTCCAAGCAAAGCAATCCTTATATTCATTTAATAATTTAATTAAATCGGCCTGGAATTTAGGCTCAAGCAAAGCACTAACAAATAATGGCCGATTATCTTTTTTAGTACCAACATTTATTTCCAATAAAGGATCTTGCACCTCTGCTTTATTATCTTCCATCCTGGAAGGGGCTGACTCCAAATCTTCAAGTTTGATTGCATCCAGCTTTTCGAAACCTTCTTCAATTATATCGGCCGTGCTGGCCGATACCTCTTCATATAGCTGTTCTTCTCTGGCCAGTCTCTTCTCAGCTAGATATGCTTTCAGTCTTATGCAAGCGGCCCTGAAAGCTTGCCGCTTCTTTTCTTCATTGATTTTTTTATCCATCAGTAACATCTTCAATGTCCTTGATGGTCGACCTGAAAATATCAATTTTCGGCCGAGCTGCTTCTGACAATAATTCTTTAATATCAGCATTAATTAAATTATTCTTCATTGTTGCCGCTGTTGGTCGTCCCATCCTGTTAATGCCAACAAATTTGATAGGTACAACAGTTTCATCATAAAGTGCAGCCTCAGCCGAATACACCCTAGCTATAAAGGGTTTGTTATCGGCCTCAACAATTTTTACCTCATTTCCATCCCAAAAAATCAACATTTGATGCAAAGTTGATGGGATGCACATGTTAGGATGAATCCAATCTCAGCCTAAAAGGAGATTATAGGCCGCGGTTGAATCAATGATAAAGAAAGCCGTAAAGGATGTCTTACCGCCAATAGTAATTTCCAAAGGTAGAATACCTTTGGTGTTACTAGATCCTCCATTAGAACCACTGATGGCTACGTCGGTTGGAACTACATCGTCCATGGTTTTACCTAATTTCTTTAAAGTAGTTACTGGAATGACATTCACCACCGAACCATTGTCAACCAAAACCCTATTGATTGGCTGACCCTCAACCCATACTTTAACATACAACGGCCTCAACTGCTGTGTCATGGACAAAGGTGGTTTTTCGAAAATGATTTTATCGGCCTTAGATGGCTGATCCTGAGAGATCAATCCTATCCCGGCCGATGAACTTGTCGAATCGTTCTTAATTTATGAAGATTCAGCCTTTTCTTCCTGCTTAGCTGACTCAACATCCCTGTTCATCGTTGGTTCTATCCTTGCTTCAAACACAGAAGGCAAAACAAATACCATGTTACAATTTACCTTATCTGGGAGAGAACCAAAACGAATTCTGCACTTGGCCGCATTCTTTGGATCCTGGTCGGGCTGATCATCTTTTTCTTCATAAAAGCATGCCTTATTCTCAAAGGATGTAGCGACCTCCATGTCTTCAGCCACCACTGGTTCATTTTTTCTTTCTAGTTGATCATGGTCGATCTTGTCTTCTTTCCTTTTGAGTTCTGCATTTTTCCTTTGCATCCTCTTTTTTTGGGTACGTGTAGAAGGCTGCTTAGGAAACTTTGGGTGACTTACTCGAGTCCATCTGCCATGGTCAACCAAAGGAGGTCTAACCGTTCTTACACGGCTAGATTCTTCTCCTTTTTGAACCCATATTTCTGACTGAATTGTTGGTTTCCTTTTGAAACTAGGATAAAAATGTTGTTCTGGCAGGACTCTATCGGCCACCGATGACCGAATGATTCTCACTGCCCTCGGCCCATTTTCACTAAATATTGATCGATTGATTTCTTCGTGATTCTGTCTAGGCTGATGGCCTAATCTTTCATGGACACTGCGTTTTCTGGTTGATTGGAAATAGCCCTTCTTGTCTGAGTCATTCCTTCGGCCTTTGCAATTTGGACAACAACCATGGTTGATGAGGGCAATTTGAGCTTCTCTTAACTGAATTTCCAAGTCCTTAACTTTCTGCTCATCATTACTGGCCGATGAACTACCAAGAACTTTTGGTAATCTTTCATGTCTACCATTATCAGCAGCCTTTTCAGTTGCCAGGCTGATTGCATTGGTACTGACAATATTAGGAAATGGATCGCCATCGACCCCCATTACATCTGGCTTCTTTTCAGGAATTTCAATACACCTTCATCGATAGATTTCTGCAATACATTTCTAAATACATAGCAATTATTAGTAGTATGATTCCATGAATTATGAAATTTGCAGAACTCTCTTCCTTTTAAATCATTGGTCGATGGTATATTGTGTCCTTTTGGCAAAACGATTTGTTTGTCGGCCAACAAATGATCAAAAATTTGTTCTGTTTTGGCCAGATCAAACGTATAAACCTTACCAGTATCAGTCGTACCCTTCCTGGCCGATGAAGTCGATGGCTGAGTACTACTGGTGGATACATTTGGTTTTGTTAAAGCGTCGCATACATAAGGCTTCTTTAGAATGACTTCGGCTAAATTAGCTTCAAAATCTTCCTCTTCAACCACATCAGTTGAATAAACTTCATAGTTGGGGTCCCTATAGTACGTACCTTTAGAGGAATTTTTTCGTTCTTTCTCCTCTTTGAGAACCCACTCATACCTGGTAGCTTTCTCGGCCAGGTCATACATGTCACGAAATGGAACTTCTTCAAACCTCTTCCGAAGTTCAAAATCAAGGCCGTTCAAAGCCAAACGAATGTACTCCTGTTCTGGAAGAGGTACACAACATCTTAATCTTGCTCTCCTGAATCTTGCAATGAATGTCTCGACCGATTCACTAGGCAATTGACTTAGCCTGGATAAATCGGCCAGAGTAGGTTCTGTCTCCGTACGGTAGAACTGATTGTGGAATAATTCCTCCATCTGATTAAAAACTGGCGGCTGATTAGCCGCTGGTTGATAGCAATTCGGCCAATCATGTGGCTGATTAGCCATATTCTGCCCCCCGAGCCCTACCTGTGGTGGCACATGAGTATACAGTGGGTTCGGTGGCCTCCACCTGATCTGATTGCCCCCCGAGTTCAAAGGCATCCGAGGAGGGTTTGTGGAATTACCTGTGGCCGCGAACCTGCTATTGGTGGCTGATTAGAACCTGCCAACGTAGGCTGAGGATAGCTTTCTGCCCAGGTGAGTAGCGTATGAACCGGCTGACTTGATGTTGCACCTGGTTGGAGTGTCACTACTGGCGGCCACGGCTGTGATGTTTCAATGGCCCTCTCTGGCTGAGCAGCTTGTGATAGATTCGGCTGAGAAGCCGATTCCTGATTGTTGGAGCTACTAGCTTGAGTCGACTTGTTCAAAATAAAGGCTGAGAGTTGGGACATATTTTCATGCAAGTCGTTGTAGCGTGCTCCCATCCTTCCCATTGCATCTACCAAGGAGCTAACCTGTGCTTGAAGTATGGCTAACTCATCAGTAGGACCTGCTGCAGAGTTCTTAGCCTGTACTAGCTGATCGCCTTCCTCCAAATCTTCATCAGTAACCACGGCCTTAGAATTTTTTGTGGGCCGCGGCATATTTGCCTCTTTTATAACACTCTAGTAGTGGTCCCACCGGGCGTGCCAAAACGTGTTCGCGAGGTTTTTGTTCCCTACGCCAGTCGATGGACTCTTCGCGGGCGTGCCAGAGTATTTGTACAAAATACCCAAAATATGTAATTGAACACCAGCCTATCTCTTTTTCCGATGGCTGACTCTCAGGCGATTGTGTGGGAGAGAGACTAGTAAGAACTCCCAGCAAAGTTCTTTTTATGTCTTGTTTGTAGCAAGGACTTTTTAGAATGTCTAAAGAAATGTAACGGCTGATGAATGTTTGAATGGATGGAATGGCCGAGTGAAGACAGGCGGTAAGAACTTAATCAATCGCCGGCCGAACGTGATGGCGAGAACTTAATCAATCGCCACCAGCCAAACACAATGGCAAGAATTTAATCAATCGCCACTGAAACGTGATAGCAAGAATTTAATCAATTGCCATCAGCCAAGTAATGACAAGAATTTAATCAATTGTTACTACGATTCAATGGCAAGAATTTAATCAATTGCCATTGAATTGAAAGCCTAACTAAAATTGCGTAATTAAAATTGGCATAATTGAAATTGAAAGAAAGTAAATAGCTGAATCGAAATAGTTGACGAGGATCTAATCAATTGCCATTAAATTGAAATAAAGAAATTGATAGGAAAATGACGTAGAGTCAATTGAAAACATTTTTAGTTGAAATGCATGTTTTGTGGTGGTGCTGGACGAATTGGAAATGGAATACAATACTTCTATTAATAAAAGTTCTATCTCAACTTATTTTCCTAATTAATTGCCAGAAAATTTCTTTGCTCCTTGATTTTCTTCACTTTATTACTCAAACTAAACCACGTTCCAGTAGTCTTTTGCATCTCTTCCCTTCTTGCTTCAATAGGAAAGTTCTTGCTGAAATCTCTCCTTGATCCAGTCAAATGCAAGTTGTCGAGAAATATGCTGAAAAGTTGCTGGAAAGTTGCTAACTTTTAGCAACTCCTTTCCTTAAGTTAGGCTAAAAACTTCCCTTAAATGGCTGGAAGACCATTCATAACTTTTGCCTAAATTATCCCTCACGTGACGGCCTCTCCTTTGAATTCCTTATTCCTTTGCAACGAAATTCCTATTTCATAAGAATCTCATTCCAACTAAATCTCTTCTATCCAACCTGAAATAATATATTTAAATTAACTCAAATATTAATTACCAAATTTCAGCAACAACCTTATTGGATAAGGTAGCTAAATTCCTAGATTTTCTCCTCTTGTTTCTCAATTGGCCGACTTTTCTTGAAACCATACTAAACAAGTGTCGGCCCATCGCTTGTCCGGTGGCTGCCAGTTTTTTGTGCCAACAGCTTCTAAAGGGAAATTGGTGAGGGCATGGAAATCCATGGTGGCAATGGATGGATGGCTGGCTAATCATGGTGATACCTCCAAAGGGAAAAATGCAATTAAAATTCGTCAAGCAAATAGACAGTAGTTAATCAAAAGATTGCAATTAAAATTAAGTGACAATAATTGTAATTGTTTATACATAGTATGCAGCAGGATTAGAGAACACAACATCCTCTAATTAATAACACGCATTAGGGAAGACAGACACTGGGAAAAGGGGGCGGGCAGAGTAACTTAGGAGGAGGGCACAAAACAAGAAGTGAGGTACAATTCACTGACGAGCCCGCTGATGTTGAGAGGCGGAATGTGGATCTAATTGTGGTTAGACAACTGAAATCATCAGAAACTTCAACTATACACACGGCCACATATTGTTCATCTGGTACAGAAATCTCTTCTCTGGTCTCGATGAGACAGAATCTATGCAAAGCAGAATGAAGATTCAGAGTCGTCCCAGTCCACTGGCGGCGATGTAAACTCTGGAAATCCAAGAAACAGAGGAGTAGATATAGCAAATACACCCTCCTCATCCTCAGGCCATTCGACCGGGTACGCAACCAAGCCGCAATCTGTATAAGAATAAATCACACCATCAACAAACTCAGCCTTTCCCAAGAAGGGGTAGTATTTTGTGTCTTCTGACACCACCAATTTCTCCCACTTGTTGTTACTTGACGATGAATTAGTAGAACCAGAGAATTTCCAGTAGAGAAATTCATTACCGGCACAACCGCCATTCCCATTTGCAACCGAAATAACCAGAAAATTGTTAACCACCGCATAACCTCCCACGAACATAGACCTCTGCAACTGATACTGAGGAGGTAAGCGTAATTGAAATTGCAACGAAGCAGAATTGAATGAAGCAGATTCCCATTCCAGCGTTTTACAGTTAAAGCACTCGAGTCCTGGTTGTGAGACCTCCACTGAAGTCAACATACGTTGTCCATAAACATAAAGTTTACCACCGGCGGCCATGGCTACAGGGAATGGCTTTGCTGCAAGCGGTGATGATGATGGTGAATCCACCGGCAACGCGGTGAGTTGTTGAGTTAGAGTATTGAATATATGAAGCGGAGCCTGGGAGGAGCCTCTGTCGCGGCCCTGCCCCAGCCCACCGGAATAGCTACCAACTAAATATATGTATTATGATCCACCATGTCGCAAGCCACGTCTGAAAACCATGGATCAAGGTACTTCTTCCAATCAAACACATCAACTATTCGATCTTTAGCCTTGGTGTGATCCCCAATTACTTCTCCGTTCCTCCCGAGTTCTATCTTAAATATAGCGGCCGAGTACGCAGAAGAATAATCCAATTGGCCAACGACGTACACTACCCACCTTACCTCCTCCTCCTCAACTACCACCGGCACTGGCGGTGCCTCCGTCGTCGTTAATTTGATCTTCTTCGTCGCTGATGTGACTTCCATCACGATGCAGACAACTTGAGATTTGTTAACTCAACAACAACAACGAAAGGAAGAAACAGAGTTGAGTGATAAAATAGAGGGATCAATCTGACGAACAAAACAATAGAAACCCCTAATTAAATAGAACACATGCGAAACCCTAATGATCATAGGAGAGGAAGCCCGTGTGGAATTTGATTAGAATTAGGAATGATAGAATGAATAAGAGATAGGATTATTATATGGAATTCCAAAACAACTACAAAATCTATGAATTTAAAAACTTTACTAAAAGATATGGATTACAAATTTACAATAATTTTTCTCACTTCTCACTCCTCCACATCCATGTGGCATAACACATTCATAAAATCTAAACACAACTAAACCATATAAAAAAAACAATCAACATTTGTTTTATATGAAATTGAGAAAGAAACTGAAGTTACCATCAAAATTGACATCTTTAATAAAATTTCTTAATAAAACTATAAGTACTTTAATAACAAAAAATAAAATTTTTAAAATTATAAAAGAATTTTATCTTTGGACTGAAATGAATCTTTTTTAACTTATATTTTAAAAAATTGTTTAAGCAAATAAAAATAGTCTAAATTCTTTCCAATGCACGGGTACTCGGTGGTGCATTAGAGACTACTAGAATCAAAATTATAGTAACGAGGCTCATTATTAAGGAACTCGAATCTTCTCCGGTGGAACTGGAAAACTTGTTCCGTCAAGTTTGGAATGCACCTTCTAAAATAATTAGGTTATTTTGTAAGAGGCCTTCCAAACTTGACCGAATAGAAATTACCAAACTTGACTGAATAGAAATTACTTTTCACAAGAGAAATTTTCTTCTCATTATTAAGTTGATTTGTTGCTAATGGACGACAAGTATGCATTACTAGAAAGAACTTTATCTAAAATTTGAACCCTATATTTTGTACAAGTCCTTAACTTATTTCTTAGTCCATCGAATCCCAGTCCTGCTACGTTGAAAATGGTTTCAGAAGATGCCTAATAGGTTGGGGAAAGGGTGTGGGTGAAAAATCCGCACAATTTTATGTGGAGACAGGAAGGTACAACACCCTATTTATGTTACAAAATTATCATGAAATGGCTGTTCTTCATTAAAAATATATATATACTATACTAAATGAATTGTTTATTGGATGCCATCCTGAATTGGGATGGAAAGACGGAAAGGAGTGATTCCACTTGGATTTAAGTGTCAACTCAATCATATGGTATGATATTTTTTGTTTTGGATTCGAACTCGTACGATTTTGTTCTTGAATTTTAACTTAGAAAGTTTCGTACCAATTAGAGATAACACCACATGAGTACTTTACTTTTTCCTTATCCAAGTGATAGTCTATCAGTGTCTCGTACTCACCCACAGCATATCCCCTCGTAAAATTGCCACACTCGAGCCCATAAGTTATTTTTGAAAAGTATGAATATGCTATCTTTGTGCCACTGAGACGTTTGATAAAAAAGAAAGAAAGAATGGTGTTACAAACTCTATTGGAACATCAATTCAAAGGCGCGACATCATTTTAGGCTTAGACTCAAAATAGAGTTGAATTTCAATTTAATGTGTTACGTGCGGTATAGCACATTGCAAATTTGCAACACCAACCACGGAGAGTTGAGAAGTCTTCCAAGCAGTTAGCAAAGACGCCAACCCAACTAACATATGTGGTCAGGACCAGTCCCCAAGTGGTTCAAGTCGACAGCTTCAACGGTCGTTAACAGTTTGCTGTTTCTACACCCCTTTGGCGGGACCACCGACGGCTCCAAGTCCAATAACAAAGGAGATCCCAACGAATCTTCTTTTATCTTCCTCATCATCTCTCCTTCTTCACCACCATTGTTTCCCACAACAAACCAATCATATAAACAGACACGAACTCAAACCCACATAGATACAACACGCATATGGTAAAAATATGAGAGCTTTGAATTCATATTTTTTGCTCATTGATCTCCACAGCTCATGGCACTCAGCCAACCAAATTCCAACCACCACGTTCGCTTATCTCCAAAAGTCCAGCTTGGCCACTTCTTTCTCTGGGGCATTTCGTCGATCAGGTCATCGGCGTAATGGCATTTCATCGTCGAGCTCTCCAGTTCCATCGATTCGGTCCCCGGAGATCCGCAGACCGCGGGATCGGTCGTCCACCGGAAATGGGTTGTCGTTGGTTTCTTCAAATTTGGCTTCCACTTCTCGGCCGGAGGGGGTTTCGGAGCTCGACTTGTTTCTCGAGTTGGTGCCTTCGAGGATGAGGAATGAGCTGTTTGTGCATCCCGAGATCGAGGAATTGATTGAAGTGGTGATGGATTTGGGTAGGAAGCCTCTTGCTAGGTTTCCTTTAGGTGATTGGGATATCTCGCAACAGCCTGTAAAGCTCGAAGATCTACATCACGCGATATCAAAGGTAATTTGGGAGAATTGTGAAGGTTAATTCAACAATCACTATTTTATATGAAACCAGTCTAAGTAAATTATATCAAAATGCCTTTTTTGTCTTTGATTAAGTTGAATTTAACACAGACAGCTACATTTCCTACATTAGATTATTATTTTATTGTTGGGAGGTCAATCTTAGTGTTGATCCTATTTGAGACTAATATCCACGGACTGTTTTGAATATTTAATTATGCTTTTAATTTGTGCTATCTTTACAGTGGTAGAATTTTAAGGATTTCAATGTAAAGTTACTTGATTTATTCAGGTTGGTGAGTTTTCGGATGACAACCGTTCAGGTATTGATCACTCTCTACATCGTATAAGTGCTATAAGAAACCGGAAACTGCAAGTTATCGGCCTCACTTGCCGTGTGGGTCGTGCTGTATCTGGAAGTGCTGAAATTATAAGTGACTTAGTTGAAGGGGGAGGTTCCATCTTGGTTATAGGACCTCCAGGGGTTGGCAAAACAACATTAATCAGGTATATAAAGTTGTTTTCCTTTGCAAACCCCAGCACAAGTTTCCCGTTGACAGTACAGAACAGTTTTTTGTGAATAGTTCCATTAATCAACTACCATTTTGTGTGTTTTGGGAACTTTGAGCTATGGTTGTATTTCCTATAATTATTTGTGTTCTCTAATGTTGTCTATGGCTTATTAAGCCTTGTGGAAAGGACTTTCTGCTGTTGTCATTGTTAATATTTAATGCCACTTAGTTCAACTCGTGGAGGCAAATAAATGAGAGAATAAATTAGAGGTAATTTAGTTGATAATTTTTGTTGACTTTCAGATAGCTGAAATTAGACATCTTTCGTTTACCCAATTAAAAGAATAAGCTTTTTTTTGCTATTATTCTTCAGTCTTTACTTTTAGCATCAAGACTGTACTTAGCTTCATATTAGAACTTCGAAAACTTAAATCATTTGATGAGGCTTTGTTTGTCCAGAGAAATAGCTAGAATGTTGGCGGATGAGCACAAGAAACGTGTTGTCATTGTTGATACATCAAACGAGATAGGAGGTGATGGGGATGTCCCTCATTCTGGAATAGGTCGTGCAAGAAGGATGCAAGTCCCAAATGTTAATATGCAGCATAATGTAAATGCTGAACCTAATCCCTTTTTCTTTCGTTGTTGCCGTGTTGCACAGCTTGAATAAGCTACTAATATAGTTCATTGAAAATTCTTGCTGCTATATGGTGCAGGTGATGATTGAAGCTGTGGAAAATCATATGCCCGAAACTATTATAATCGATGAAATCGGAACAGAGCTTGAAGCATTGGCTGCCAGTACAATAGCTCAGAGAGGAGTTCAGCTTGTTGGAACAGCACACGGAATGACTATAGACAACGTATTAAAGAATCCCTCTCTGCAGATCCTTGTTGGTGGCATAGAGGTCCAAAGATACACTGTTGTCTTTCAGTTTACATTTACCCCTAATTAGTGATACATAATCCAACTACAATTTGTTTGTTTCTTTGTTTTATTATTATTATTATTATTATTATTTTGGTGTGGTGGTGGTGGGTGGGGGTTGGGGGGGGTTAGTTTTTTGCTTTGTTCCTTTAATGTAAGTGCAAATTTTTTGCTGACAGGTGGTATCAAATTTTAAGAGAATTATTAGATTGTGTATAGTCATTCAAAATTGCAATTTATGCAAATAAAAATCGGGATAGGATTTATAAACATAATCCTTTCTGTTCCGAGGACTGTAGACTGATGAAATCAGTTCATTCATTTTCACAGAGTGTTACTCTCAGTGATGAGGAAGCAAGGAGAAGGAAGGTGCAGAAGACAATTCTTGAGAGAAAAGGGCCTCCTACATTTACATGCGCCATTGAGTTGATTTCTAGAACTGAGTGCCGTGTTCATCACAGATTGGATGCAACTGTAGATGCTATACTGGCAGGTATTCGGAACCTTTTAAAAAAGTTTTCTGATGTAATATAGCGTCTGCATACTTGTTTTAAAATTGAGATTGTGATCACTGGTTAACCTTGATTAGAAGTTTTTCTGGGTTATAGGGAAATCCCCACTATTTGAAGTCCGTTGCATGGAGGATGAAGCTAATAATTCTTTGAAGTCTACTACAACAACCAAAACGGACCATCTACAAGATTATGAGCTTACTAATAATGAAGAGAGAAGAACTGAAACAGAGTCTGATGGGGAAGATGGGGATTATCATGCCAATACCAAGAAATTGAGCGTTATTAGATCTGTGAGCAACAGGAGCTCACCATTGTACGTTTATCCTTGTAAGGTAAATTACTTGAGGTTTCATGCTCATTTGTTCCTTTTCTGTCTTCTTCCACGTTATATGTCGTCCAAGAATACAGGAATAAATTAAAACCTACATTACAATGTTTAAGATGTGATGTGTTCAGAATTCTTAAATTATTTAGTCATACACAATATTATATGGTTACACATTTTAATATATAGTTGAAGTTTTTGACAATGGCCTTAAGAATATAGATCTTGCACTTAGTTATGAAGGCTAAACAAAGTTGATCTGATTCCATGTTTGCGTGTTTCAGATCCTGGAAGCTGATCTACTACAAGTAGCAATGGTAATGGGGCTTGAGGATGATATAGACGTGACTGATGACATTGGAGCAGCAGATGCTATTCTAGCATCCAGTTCTGAAATGAAGCAGAACCCCTGGATTCGTGGTGTATCTAAATACCACCAATTGCCTGTATTTGTTATCAAGGTATCCTCCTATTCTGTTAGATAGATTGATTAGCATATGCTTTTCCAACCAGATGCTAATATTCTAAAAATACATGTAGTCAAATACCATGGCACAAATGGTAAAGGCAGTCCGCATGATTCTCGAGATGGATTCCATTGGTTCTATATCAAGGAAGCCACTCAAAAATTTTGAAATTGAAGATGATGCACCAAAGAAAAAACCATCCTTGGAGGAGATTGATGCCTTGGAGGTGCATCTTCTTTCCCTTTCTATCTTCTGTTCTCTATTATTTCCATGTTTTTGTTAATATTAAAAAAAGCAAGGCAATCGGTTAAAGTGGATTAATTTTAATGTAACTTAGGAATCTAACGTACCTTAGCAGGGATCAAAATTGACAGATGGATCATTCCAATGTGTTACCAAAACCCATATGCTATTAGATGGTAATTGGTTTATGGCTTACATAGTCGAGAGAACAATCTTCTTGCCAAGAACTACCTCATAGCCATATCCGAATCCCTATAGGAAATATAAGAAGATGGATTATTTAGTTTGCACAAAAGTTAGGGATAAAGGACCTGTTTTACTTTAATGGCTTTAGATTTGGAAATCAAACCTTCATTGCACTATGTTTAGATTGTAGCTAATCTATTAAGATAGATATTAAGGGAATCAAATTGTCATCAAGGGAAATTGATTTTTCAGTTCTTAAGTTAATGTTACGATTTATCATCATCATCATTTGTTATCTAATCCCAAATTGTCAACTAGTTCAGATCAAACATTTGGGCAAAATGTTGCTTGTATACATGTACTTGAGATCATCATGCTTGTTGCATTATTAAACTGAAAAAGAAAAAATTGTGAACCAGATAGTATTACTGATTTTTCATGAATAAATTCAATGTTGCAGTATCTGTTGGCAGTTGAAAAAATAGATCATGTTTTTCCTATAACAAGCTTGTCCCAAATATTACTCTCTTCTGTTCTTTCTCTATTTATTTTATTTATCAACAATTCTTAGCTTTATATGTCTCATAATTTTAATTCAGCTTATCCTAGTTTTCTCTAACTTCATTGTCTTGAAAGCATCTGTTTCTCAATGGCATGGAAATTATATTAGCCTTCTTAAGCTTATATAGACACATTTAAGTTTTCATGCATTTATGCAAAACAATGTAAATATAATCAGTTTTAACTATGGTCCATCACCGTCTAATTCCCAGTCGAGATGATTTAGGCATTTAATGTATGAAACTCAGTATCATCGGACTTCTCAGATGAGCAAGGCTTTTTAAACATTTGCCTAATCTTCCTGGTTCTAAATATATTTGTGCCAACAGCCCCAAGTAGTTGCACTAGGCGGTTGATTGCCATTGCTTATGCAAATCTGTTATACACCTTAAAAAGTTGATCAGAATCCTCCGCCTCTTTTACATGTCTTGGAGAAACCACTAGGAAATACCAGTTTTTCTGGCTTGTAAGTGAACCTACTTCCATTGTGTCTATAGGTGAGGCTAATAGATTATCTTGCCAGCTTCTTAGCCTGGACCAACTCTCAGGCCTCACTTTACTAAGCTCCCCCTTTTGGTCTCTCAATTTGCTGCTTTTTAATTTCTCGGGCTACCTTATTGTGAATTTTGGCCTTCCTTTCCCCACTAATCTCTTTTAACTATGAAAAAAAAAAATGGAAAAGTGTGTAAACCTAAAGAGTGTACTAGGAAATACCATGTGTACTGATTTGTACTTTGTAATCATCTGCACCATCTGCTTCAACAACTGGTTTTGTTTTTCTATCTGAAAGTATTAAATGGTCGCTTTGTTAATTGGACAATAATTTTTTCCTTCTAGTTAATCGTTCACAACTATTGTAACGAATAATCTATTTCAGCTTTTTACACTGATTTATCCCTTTTTTGTTACTGATAGGAGGTTCGCCTTGCTATTGAGTATATTGTGATTCCTGGTGGTGAGCCCGTAGAACTTCTCCCCCGACGCTCTGAGATAGTTGCCCGGCAGCTTGAGCTTGTGGAAAGTTATCAGCTCGCTGCAGAGAATTCAGGCACCGAGCTAAACCCAAGGTTGCAGATCCTTCCCCAGAAGCTACACAAGAAGACTTCTGTAAAGCACTCCAAATCTGGTGCAAGTTCACAGAAGGATGCTAACCTCAAGTCACTAACTGGTGGTGGTGGAGCTACTAGTGTTGCTCGGCTGCCACTTTTGCCCGAATAGCTCAAATATATATCTCTAATTGTAAATGTGTTTCAACCTCGAGTTGATTCATGTACAGTCTTGTAAATTATGTGTATCTTATCCTCTCACCATTCAACCTTGTTGAATATTTGCGTAATTGAGCCATTGGCTCCATTCTTCATCAATGATGACAAATAAGTTTTCTCGACGACAAATTTGTTATTAGATTTGCACATTAGCATCTAATTTATGTCTCGGTCTGTTTAAAAAATGCAGGTTTGTGGTGTCAAAAATGGTTAGATCATTATGATCTTTAAAGACACCCCTTTTGTTTTGTTATGTTTTTTGTCCATACAAGCATAAGAGAACTATGTCAGCCATGAGTGTGATATCACTGTGAGTTTGGTGTCTTCAACAATTGAATCAAAGACACACTCATATTCTTTTGATAGTTTGGTGTCTTCAACAATCGAATCAAAGACGCACTCGTATGCTTTTGATTCAATAACTGAACTTGCTAGTTCATGTCAGAGGGTTCTCATGATAGTTTTGTCTAAACTACAAATAGCTAAATTTTTAAGGGTCCGTTTGGTTAGACGGAAATTTATGATGGAAAGTGAAAGTGAAAGAAAGTGAAGTGAAATAAAGGAAAATCCAGTTTCCTACATGCATTTGGTTAGCAAGAAAATTTTTCAATAAAGTTGTGGGAAAATATTATTTTATTAGTTTGGATAGCATGAATGGGAAAAGAAAATGATTTACTTACCAAAACTACCCTCATGATTTCAAAAATTGAAAAATAAATTAATTTTGTGTTGGATGAATCATCTTTATACCCAATTATTTATATTAATTTTTAGCAATTAAATAATAAAATAATGGATTAATAATAATAATTATTATTATTTATATTCATATTTAAATTAGACAAACTAAGGAGGACTACATTTTAGTTGTCAAATTCTTTTTATTTTCTGTTTTCAATAATAATTATTTATATTTATATGTAGAATATAATTCATTTATCATAACATACTCATGTTTTATCATAAAATAGTGGATTAATAATAATAATAATAATTATTATTATTATTCATATTTAAATTAGAAAAACTAGGAGGACTGCATTTTAGTTGCCAGATTTTTTTATTTTGTGTTTTCAATAATAATTATTTATATTTATATGTAGAATATAGTTCATTTATGATAACACATACTCATATTTTATTGAATTATTAAATATATCTTTTTTTAAGCTCCCTCGAAGAAACATTAAATGCAACTCTAGGATAAAAATTGTCATGCAAAAGTAACATATTTTTATAATTCACGCATAATAATTTTATGGTTCATGCATAATTTATCAGTTCCCTTTCATATTTTTTATGAATATGAACCACTTCTATGCAAATTTTTCTTTGCAAAAATCACACAGTATAAAATTCAATTCAGTTCAAAGCTGTATAGATAGTAAAAAATAAATATTATATGGATTTCCATTCATGTGAAATTGTTATGTCATATAAATAGTATGATGATTCAAATTAATCTCTTCCCATATCTCTATTGAAATATTGATAAAAATTAAAAGTTATATTATTTAATATTCTACCATTCCACTCCTAATTTATTTCCAAAAATTTTAGATAACGATGTATTGGATATAATCAAATTATGTGTCCCAATATATAATTTCTGTCCTATTGCTTTTCCTTTCTACCTACTTCACGCTAACCAAACGAACCCTAAAAGAATTGTTACCTTTTACTCTATGCGATTGTAAAAGGTTGAGATGATTATAAGTAGATATGAAAAGGAAAATAAACAAAATAAAATTTCATTGCAAATGCAAACACGTTATTTTGTTGGCTATAATGTCAAATCTTAAGTAATTTATGTTATATGTTAGGGTTAAATGCTCGACACCCCCCTTAAGTTTTATTTTATTGCTTAGTTTTTTTAAAGAAAAAATTAGTTTACCATTATACCCCTTCCTGTATCTAACCAAATGTTCATTTTTCTTTTGGGTTACTTGGGTTTGACTAATGCTTTGACTTTGTTGAAGTACCAATCTCACGCAAACACAGACACACACACACATATGTATATATTTGTGTGTATTTTTGTAATTGCAAAGTTAGATCAGGTGATTAAGGTTAAAATTGTACTTTAAAAAAATGAGTAAGGTTTATTTGGACAATTTGCAACAAGAAAGGGTAATTTTGACATTTAAACTTTCCCCCAACTTCAACTAATTGAATGGGGTGTGAGGAAGTTTAGGCTTTAGCTTAATGAGCAATAAAAGCGAACTTGAAAGTGCTAGAGCATTAAACCCTATATGTTAATATTTATGAACATCATTACTATCTCATGAATAGCAAATAAAGGAATTTTAAAATTAAAGAAGTTGATGTAGCAAAACTTACTTCTGTATTATTATTTGTTTTTTTGGAGGTAGACTGAAGCCCTCCGATATGTTCCAAAATCCTCTTTTTTCCTTTACCTTCTAAAGTTGAAGGTGAGGGTCCAAAATGAGTGTGATTTTTTGCCAAGAAAAAAATCAATAAAAGATTTCGTCTATATGTAAAATATATATTTTTTAAAATATATTTTTTTATTTTCTTGTGCTTAGTTGTGATAAAATATTTACGAGAAAAAAAAAAATTAAATCTAATAAAAATAATTTATTAATCAATTTTAGGCAAGTTATTTTATATGACAAGTTATTTTATATGACCCACTCGATGAACTTAACCTCGACCCTAGGTCACAAAAAACAGGAGCAGGAACAGGAGCGAATTCAAGATTAGTAGCATGAAAGCAGCAAAATCTAAGTCATAGAGAGGGAGAACGGGAGTAAGAGTGCGTGCAGAATGTGAGAGCGGGAGTGTGCTTGGGGCGTGAGAGCGACACTAGTTGAAAAAAATTATATAACTTAGCCTCGACCTATGCCGAAGAAAAAAAATAGAATAATTACACTGACCTTTCCTGAGAGTTGGCCAAATCTCACACAAGTGGAGCGTTTAAGATTTATTACTTTAACCTCCCAAGTTTGGGTGTATGCCCAACAACCTCTCCTCTTCATTAAAACTTGTAAAAAAAAAAAATTTATAAAATAACCAAGTTGTCCTTACACTCATTTTTATTAATTTACAAGATTTTTTTAAGGATAGTGGTGGAGAAGATAGAGAAAGTAATAAGAGATATGAGATAAAATAATTGATTTTTTTTAGATTTTATAATATATTTTGTATTATAAAAATATATACCATATAAGAGTATAATTGACTTTTGATAGCCTAGAATGTTAGAGTGATAAACCTAAGCTCCACCGATGTGAGATTTATCCGAGGCTCATAGGGAGATAAGTGTAATTTATTTAAAAAAAAAAAAAAAAATTCCGGTCAAAACAAAGGGAGCAACAATAAATTCTGCATTTTCTTGTGCTCAAGTGGTGGGAATTGATTGGTCACTATGATCCATACAACATAGGACTCACAGGAGAGGAGCCGATCCCATTCAGCATTCCGCGTTTTTGATGCAACCCAAGGCTTGTACCTTCATTGTTGCGGAGTAAATTTAATTTCAAAGGTACAACCACGTAATCCACGTCCTCGTTGTCTAGGGTTTTCAAAATTCGATCATAATACAAAACGCAGTATATCACTTACCACACGATCTATTTCGACGACCCAACCTACAGTCACAAACCCTAAGGACAAAGTCAGAGGAGGGGCACCATCAACGTAATCTGTGTGTGTGTTTAGGGTGTTCTTCGAATTTTATAGGAACATTTCTTTCTAGGGTTTAGCTTTGTTTTGTTTTGTTTTGCTTGTTTCGATTGGTTTCGAAGTATGGACTCTAGGGTTTTTAAAATTTCAAAATTTTGATTATTTGTTGTTATTGTCTATTTCAGGATATTTACTATGAGAGAGAGAGAGGTTGATATGGCAGGGAAGGAACAAGAAAATCGAATATTTGTGGGAGGGTTGTCTTGGGACGTCAATCAGCGTCAGCTAGAAGAAGAATTCAGTCGTTACGGCAAAATCATCGACTCTCAGGTTCGACTCTTCCTTCATTTTAGATTTCTTCATATCCGTGAATGTGTTTATGATTTATCCTCTTCGTTTAAGTGTAGCAGATATTGTGCCTTCACATTCAAGCCAAACAGTTGTTTTGAGTTTGCTGTTGTCAGTAATGAATCGAGCCAGTGATTCAATGCTCTACAATTTGTACTGGATAATGATTTATGCCCGAATATATCATATATTCATAATTGGTATTAATCTCACGTAGTGAGTGGCTAATTCATGTTAAAGGGGGCTTTTCTCCTCAGAATTTTCCGGTCCTTTTTTTTATTTTTTGGTAGGTTAGGCAAATACTCTGGCTCACACACACCCACAAAAGTCCACTATGGGGCTGATCCCCTCTCACCTCCCCTTTGAGGTTGGAGAGGTTATACGAGCTGGGTTAATGGCCTTGTGATTTTCCACTGGTTCCCAAGATCATGCTTTAAGTGGGTAATGAGTATTGTGCTCCTAACCGCATCATGAATGAATCTGTAAACAGCTATAGCAGACTGACTTATATTGTGGAACATCAAACAAGTGTTTAATAGATTGCCTTCTGCACACCTAGTGCGGAACCCGCTCTCTGTTATGCAAGCATTTTAAAGTCTGTCAGTAAAGATTACACCAGCCTTCTAGGGTATCAATTGCATTAGTGCAATCGGTCTTGGCCTTACAATAAAGCCCGAGTAGAATCCTTGTGCATTTATTGTAAGATTGCATGAATCATGAGATTCTGATTCTACTAGCAATTCTACTCTAAAGCCTTACAATAGTATTCTTGTGCTCTTTTTCTCTTTGAATAACGATATGAGAACAAAATAATATTTTTAAATGATGACCAATACCCATCGAAATGTTCAATGTAAGACAATTATGTCGAATTTCTCTTACTGTTATGTCTCTGCAAGTGCCCTTCCAACTTTGGTTTGGAATAGTAACTGCTCTATCAACTAATCGTGGTCAGTTGATTCCTCATTTTGAGTTGAGTTTGACATTGATTCCTTTGCTTTTCCTTTTTTGATTCGTTTAATTTCTATAATGTGTGATGAAGAAGGGGAGATCTTGCTTTAAAACACTACTTTAAGCCATCCCCTCCAATCTCCATTTCTCTCTCTTAAACTAAGTAAGTTTGGTTTAAAATTTCATTATCTATACAAATCATAATGCCCAGTTTTGTTTCTGCCTGTGGTATGGGTAATGCTCCAGAGTCTCTCATTGCCTTGGGTATGACCCAAGCATATTAATTCAGAACTCTTTCAAAAGTAAATTGGATATTGTAATCGAGCGTGTAATTATACATATATAATTTTTTTTTTTTTTTTTTTGATAAGGTAATTATACATATTTAAATTATTAATGAACTTTTTTCATATTTTGTTTTAAATCTAACATTATAACACTATAATAATTAGTGCTACATAAATTAAACATTTTTCATTCGCATTATGGTTTATATGTTGCACAATTTCTTGGGAGAGTTTTTGAAATTTGAGGTTTTTCAAATATTTTCCTTAGTACTTATGTTTTTCAAGAGCTTTTGGCTTGCTTATGATGTATTTTGAAAAAAATGTAATTTCCACAAATGTTAGTCATATATTTCTCGTTTTTAGAATTTGGTTTCTTAATCCAATTTTACAATCTGGTCCTAAATATCCTCTGAATATCCAACATAAGACGCTGATTTCAACAATTTTTGATTTCAACAATTTTTGATTGTTTGTAATTTTTCTTCTAAACAGATATATCCATATCATTCTTTACTGTTATTGATTAGTTAATTTCATAAGATACATTAAATTATATTGATTATTTAATTTCTTTAAGTACATTAAATCATAAAGTTGATTCACGGTCACGGGCGGTCTGATGCATGCCATTTCTTAAACTATATGTGTATGTATATGAAGATGCATAACTTTTCCGCGGGCAGTCTGATCCAAGCCATTTCTTCCTTTAAACCTTAGTTATCCATCTAACTTGCACCCATTTATATCTTTGTCAATCCTTGCCTTTGTAACGTAAAGATTTAAAAAAAAAAAAAAAATCATTTTGACAATCTTATTGTCCTCAATTGAGTTGAACTACATTTCAACTGTTATTTACAAAGGCATTTTGAGTCTTTGACACTCATCTTTGGTTGATGTGGTTGTAGAACGCTTGGTGGCATTTAAAGTGGTTATTTTTTTAGGCAGACACTCATGAGTTGAGAGGACTGTTCGGAGTTGTGCCTTTTATCCTTTTACATCTCAACTTGTGAGCTCAATGCCTCCTGTTACCAACTTCTCCTTTTTACTTTTTTACAATCCCACAATAAATTTGAGTGAATCTTGTATGTCTGTTTTGCTATTTCTCTTTTTGATCCCATTGTGTTCTAATCTATATGACTGAATACTAAAACTGGTTTAATCTTTTTAAAGCTTCTATGTTCCTATAATATCACAGATTTTTAATTTGCCTTTAATTTGTAATTTGTATTTTCCATCATATTGTTTTGCTATAAGCCGATACATGATTCCTTTGTTTTAAATAGTGTATAAATATAGTTAAAAAGCATAATCCTCAGCTTCGCATGGATAAAACCATCTTGGTTTTTTCCGTTTTGCTTGCAAAATCATTTGCATTAGCGCTAATCTGCACTGTATCAACTTAATCCAGGCAAAATCTGGCCTACCAGAATTAACCTCTCAATGCTTTGCCGAGGTTCATATTGCCAAACAATGTCACTAACACTTTTGTTGATATAATTAATTAGAAATTGTCCTTTTCCTAGTCAACCAGGGCTGATATTTTACATGTTGGATGGTCAACTGACATAATATATGCCCAAATTTGACATGCAATCAGTTGCTTTATGAAAGTTATATTCCCTCCTTTTACAAGAAAAAGATAATGACAACTTCTTGGAGAAGGTTTATCCCCCCAATCAGATTTAGGCCATTGAGTACCTCTCCTATTGAGTTGTTGACCTTTCTCTTTGGTGATCATGTTATAATTCTTATATTTTCTACAAATCAGTGGTTCTTCCCATGTTATGTATTCTCCTCTTCTTTCTCCTTATTGTGATACTAATTGTCGTTATTTGTTTGTGGTGTTTCTTGTGGTGCTGGTTGTGATCTTGGAAATGCCTTAGATGGATTTTGTTGGAATTTTTGGTTCAGTTGGATTGAATCAAGCTGCTGAAGCTGAATGTTTTGTGTACTTATATTGTGTTCAGTTGGTTGTTTTAAGGTTTTCATTCGTAAAAGTTCTCTGTATTCACATAAAGAGATGGCTTCCTATGTGTGGCATGGTTTAGTTGAATGCGGTTAGATTTAGATACTGCCTTGTGACATCTGATGCTTATTTGGAAGATTCCTTACCATAGAAAGAGCCGTGGTTTGAGATACACTAGAAAAGCCACTTCAAGAGTTTTATATGTGATCCAGTGCTGGGAAACAGTAGAATAATCAACAAGTCACATGGTGTAGCAGACTTTGAGAACTTTCCATTTTTTTTAATTTGTGAACATCTATTGTTTCTCACTGCTCAGTGATGTTTACTTTGGTTTTATGACTTAAGTAATTGAAGAGTGCAATCGATCAATATCTGATCTGAACACGTGACTGGCCGACCTCGAACCGTATTGTTTTAGTTGAGGTCATATCTAGCATTCAGAGTTTGTCTCGATTTGGTACCGCTCTTGCAGCCCGCACCGAAACAGCGCTTTACCCCTTGATGTCCAGTCAACTGCTGTGCCTCAACGCATTTCGGGGAGAACCAGCTAGCTCTGGGTTCAAGTGGCATTTCGTCCCATCTGCAATCACTTGAAGAAATTTTTTCTTTTTCGTGTTGAACCTGAGTATATGACATTTAAATGACTATCGATGATGAAGGTTCTCTGGTTCGCGTGGAGAAATTCTTGACTCAAAAATGTGTTGTGATTTGTTTCTCCATGGATGCCGATCAATAACGATCAATCATAATAGGCGTTCCATTGTAACAAAATCAATCATAACTAAGGTAGCATTGTTGGGTGTTGCTGGTTTATGGGACTCAGTTATATCTCATTGCTGCTTTTAGATATGTTATGTGGATAGAATTGCTTGGGTGCTGCCTTCCCATAAACAATTAACCAGTTAAAGTAAAGTCGAGTCACTTGCAGAAGTTCCAGTTTTAAAGCCTGTTTGATGACAATCTTGTCACACATCTTCGTATGTGGGAATATTTAGGCTACAAAATCATCACGACTTGTTTCCAAGGAGCCTCAGGGGCTGCTAATGAAGTATCTGAAGTTTTGGTGGAAATTCTGTTGAAGATTATGCTTTGCCAGAGTTTCCTTCTTCATGGTAAAGACCAGGTTAGCACTCATCGGCTGCAGTAAGTTTATGTGATTCTTAGTGTTTGAAAGCTGGTGCTTGTAGTGGTTGGCTGTTAGTTATAAGAACTAGTTAATGATTAAAGTTTTAGTGAATTCAGGTTTGCTTTAGCCCTGCTAGAATGCTATGTATTTTTAATCTGGAGGATGGGTACTTTTCATCACCCTCAGTTTATCTTTAAAGTGTGTTCTCTCCAAGGTGCAGTCACTTAATTGATAATAGGATGGCATGGATATCAAGAGTTAGCGCATGATATTAGTTGCCTACAGTTTGGAAGTGGGTGGTTTTGTTTCTGCTGATTTAATCTATATTTCGGCACATAGATATGTTTGATGAAGGTGCTTATGGGTCAGGTTTGTTGTCTTGATTTTTTCAGTTCTGCATATATGACTACATGGCCTAAGCTGTCATTTCATGAACGCATTTTTGGATGATTTTTGTGGCTACTGTGCCGACTGATCTGATTAATGCCAGAAGTTGCAGCCGAAAGATGGAGAAATATTGGGCATAATCCTTGAAATTAGTAAGAGCGTGATGATAGCTGAAGTTATTTATATATCATGCAATCATTGATCTGGATTATAGTTAAGTATATTTTTGGAAGGGAAATTATTGCCTAGGAGCTCAGAGAAAGGTAGCGAAGTCTCCATGAAGATTTTTCCCAGCCCGATGCCGCCTTTTTGACTTTATTCATTTACCCGCATTGGTTCTTAACTGTAGATTGGCCACATTTCCTGATATTTTACAGTGTTTTTTTCGGGCAAGTTCTTGTTTGAGAGTTAATGGCTAATTGGCAAGGACATTACTAAAATGAATTAAAATATAATCACTGAAAATCAGACCGAGTGGCATGCTGTAGTTATTCCAGAGGGATTAGATACGTATCAGAGCAAGGTTGCATCTGTTTTATGCCTTGGATTGTGTGGAAAATTGAAGCCAGAGGTAACTTACATGTCAGATGTATAATTTTGTTTCCAGTGAGATTAAATCAGTGGATGGTTGCATCTGTCTTCTGTTGATACTGATATTGGATTGTGTTGAAAATTGAGGCCAGAGGTAAACTTAATATGTCAGCTGATGTATTTCTGCAGTTTTGCTGATTCTTCATTTCGAGTAAGAATTCTTTTTCATATTGAATATTAGCATACATAAAATGCATATGCATAATTCTTATTCAACCTATCATTTCTTAGGCTCTTCATTTTCATCCAGATAAAAGCCAAAGGAAAAGCTATATTCTTTTTCTGCTTGATCACAACTTGCCTGCATGATTTTGTCTGATCATAGTATCTGGCTTCTGCAGCGCCTGTAAAATATTATATGCAGATATGACTGAAATATTTGTTTCTGCACTCACTTCTTTTTTCGGACAATCTGTTCTACTTCCCACGGCAATTCCTCTTTTATTTCTCAAGACAGATGCCATATCTTATTTATTTATTTATTTAACGTCAATTTTAATACTTCGTGCACTTAGTAGTTCTGCATGCTTGTATTGCTTATATTTTCAGTTATATATGTCATTGCTATTTGTGATTTTGTTTTTTATTTAAGTGGTTTCTTTTTTGTTATTGTCATACATTCTATTTATTATCATATTTTCTATCCTGAATTGCTTTTATCTCATCAGTCCTTGGAAAGAAATGTACCATTCATCTCATATTCATCAATGCCGCTACGATTTATTATTGTTCTTGTAGATCATGATGGAAAGAGACACTGGCCGTCCTCGTGGATTTGGGTTTTTGACCTTTGCAGATCGCCGTGGAATGGAAGATGCAATCAGGGAAATGCACGGAAGGGAGTTTGGGGATCGTACTATTTCAGTGAACAAGGCCCAACCAAAAATGGGGGGTGATGATCCAGGCCATGGGTATGGTGGGGGTTATTCATCAGGTGGCAGGGGTAGCTATGGGGGTGGAGATAGGTCCGTTGGGCAAGATGACTGCTTCAAGTGTGGGCGCCCAGGGCACTGGGCCCGTGATTGCCCTTCAGCAGGTGGTGGCCGAGGTGGTGGGGATTTCTCTTCTCGTTCCAGGTTTGGTGGGGGTGGTGGTCGTGGGGATCGCTTTGGGGATCGTGATCGGTACACAGATGATAGGTATGATGGGGGTCGTTATGGTGATAGGGATCGTTATGACAGCAGAGATGACAAATATGGGAGTCGTGACCGCTATGCTAATGACAGGTATCCTGAAATTTTTTGTTATAACAGTGATAGTGATGGGGTCTTAGCCCTTTATATATCTATCTGCATACATTGTTGTAGTAGCTATGATTATGTCTTTCACCTCATATTCGATTTCTCAATGGCAATTAAAACTTTTTGTCTGCAGCAACTGTTTTGATATTGTTAGAAATGGAAATAAGAATACCTCCTTCCTTCTTGTCAATGGCATTGTTATTATGAAAAACTTATGAACTTCTGTCCTTCAATTATTGCAGGTATCCGCCTAGTGGAGATCGCTTTGGAGGTGACAGGTATGGGGGTTCAGACCGGTACCCTCAAAATGGTTATGGCAAAGAGAGAGGAGGCTATGATAGGGATGGAGGCCCAAGAGGGGGTGGGGACAGGTATGTAGGTGGAGGTGGAGGACCATCACGCTACGAGGGAAGAAACTACAGGGACCGGGCAGGTCCTTATGACCGCCCTAGGAGGGGAGGTCGTCCATCTTCCTACGATCGCTACTGAAGTTTTATTTTTGTTTGCAATCTCACGAACCTTGGATGTTTGTAGATACACTACTAGTATTTGGTATTTTTAGCTACATTTCAATTATAGGATGTTGCACTTGGATTCATGTTTACACTGCACTTGAGTTTTTATTTTATGTTGGTGTTATCTGCTTCACAGCCTTCACCTTTTTTTTGTATAAATATCCGAGATCAAAGCCATTAATTGTTTTTGTACAGGTTTTTAAGGGCAAAGCTGTTTTTGCCATTGGATCACAAAGCCATTGGTAGATTCTTACAACCTGGATTGGAAAATCTTGGTGGTTCGGTCTCGCTTTATGTCTATGTTGATAGCCTATTTTATTAGAAGTTCGCTTGCCGTGGGGCGGCGACTGGCTATTCGTGTTACCTTCTTGTATCGGTATTTTGTTATATGTATTGACACGAATGTTAGGCGTAACGAGTAATTAAACTGGTCATTTTTAACGCTAACCCGATACTTTGAGTTAATCGAGTGTCTGATTGGGTTCATAATGTGTAAATTCCAATTCTGGTTGAGTTAATCGTCATAATGTGTAAATTCGTTGATACGCGATTAAGTCAAAGTTAAACTCACCTATTTGCTTAATTAAGTAGTTAAACTTGCTAGTAAGTTGCACGAGTCAAACTCACTCAGTAGCATACCATAGCCTAATTAAGTTAAAGTTAAATTTACTTATTAGCTTACCAAGGCCTAATTTATTGAACACATCTTCTGTCATGTTAACACTTCATGATGTCGTGTTTGCTTGTTACAATCTAATTTATTGAACACATGTTTACACTTTCATGATGTCGTGTTTGAGTTGGTGTTTGCTTGCTGTATCCTAATTTATTGAATGTGATGTGTTTGCTGGTTTGAATAATGTTCCCTTCCAAGAATGGCATGAACAAGTTATTTGAATAGTATATACCCGAGATCATAACCATTATGCAAATGAACACTAGAGAATATGGAAAAAATGAAAAGAAAAATATCACACTCAAGTGAGGTGTAGTAGACTAGTAGTAGTAGTACATATACTTGGATATGTAAAAACGTTGACTTTCCCTCCTTTACGGTCTATATGTGTTGGCTTCTTTTTCTTCGTCTTTATTGTTTTCCAAAGCAGATTCTAGAATGAGACAGTGCCTTAAAAATTTGGTCATTGACCACTGTAGTGGTCTTAGAGCCACTAATATGGTAGAAAAATAATTAATATAATTCAAATTAATCTTGCACGTATATGATGTAATTGGGCCACTATTTTCAATGGTACACTGGACTCCCATAAAAAGTTCTTGATATTTGCAGTTTATAGGTCCCCATGCTTGAATTTTCAACCCATGTCCAAATCGGGGGTGGCGGGAGGGGAGAATGGAGTCTGCACTAGTGTATCTGATGCATTGAGGGACGACTGTGATTGTTCACGTTTATAATAAGCTCACACATTTAAACGACCACAACTATTTAGTGTGGTACTCTATTGTGCTGTTATTCACCTAATCCTAACTTGAGGGAGACAATAAAGTCAAATTTTTATTTTTTTGGTACAAGGGCATGTAGCCGAAATTTGGTTTTCCAGCCCTTGTGGGGTCCATTTAAATGGAAAGATGGTCTGAATTTGTTGAATATTATTTTCTTAATATGTTTTTAAAATTAAAAAAACAATATGGGTTTTTACCTATCAAATTCATATTTTCCATACACTTCACAAGAAGCATCATGCACTGCTTGTTCCCTTTCTGGAAGATGGGCGCTGCCGACGTAGCTGATGATGGAAGAGTTAGTGGTGCAGCTGGCGCTAAAAGGTTGAATATTGCAACAAACGATAAAATTGTAAGGACAGTGATTGGAGAACAAACTTCATCGTCCTGGTGACGTGGGCTAGTGAAAACTTGACACCTATTCAAAAGAATTATATAATATTAAAAAATAAAAAATTTGAATGAGACTCTTTTTTAGAGCATCTCCAATCCACCTACTGTATGAGTTGCCAATTCAAAATATAGCAGGTGAGTTAAAATTGAGCTCTCCAATGGGTTATTATATCACCTGTCAAATTTTGCCTTTATTATTTTTGATGCTAAATCTAAGAGCAACTCCAATGCAAAATGCCATTTTAAGCTGTCAAATCTATATTTTGAGAGGCACCAGAGTGTCAAAATGCTATATTTTAACAACTCTGCTCCAATGGTGCATTTCGCAAAATGCTATTTTTTGACACAACCATTATACTTTTTCAACTACCATTCCCATCATTCATATTTGCGTCAGTTATATTAATGTTAGACACATTCTAAATAAAGTTGTAGAATCATTTTAACCTTTTGTCTGATCAATCACAAAATTTTCCTAATTACCTCCGAAACTTTTTGTCTTTTCATCACAAACGATCAACAAAGGAACATATGAAGCAACCTGAAATGTCTTATACAATTACAAGATTCCCAACACATTAGCCAAATTATTAAATCTTTAATCCGGTAACATACATATCTGAACTTCTTATTTAAATCATTTTAAAATCTTTATCCAAATCAATCTCAATATTTTCCTAACTTCCTCCAAAAATTTGCATTCTTTCATTGCCAAACAATCAATTAAAAAAAATATATAAAATTAATATAAAGAATTCTTCATCAGAACCCATTCGGCTAGTAGCCAAACACTTACATTCTTATTAGTGTAATAGATACATACATATACATGTGTACAAATGGATCAACTAAAACATGGTGCGAAAATAAATATTCTTACATCCTCTAAAATCTTTTTGTACAATTTATCTTATCCAACTATTTGATTAAATGCCTCAATTTTGTTTGTTTATGCATGCCAAATATCAACCAAATGCAAGTGTTTGATTAACTATTTTTGGTAAGTAAGAACAAATACAAGCGCTGGGTGTAATCAGCACTACATAATGATATCAAAAACCAAATTGTGAAATTTTCTAAACCTTGCACACCTTATGTAATGTGTTTTTTTTTGGAATCATGAATTATTCTTTCTTGCTAAAAAAAATTAAACCTTGCACACCATCAGATGTGCTGACTCGGCTAAGTCTGATGTGATTTTTAGTCCCGCCGGCGAATACTAGACTCATCCAAGTCTATTGTGACTCGTTCGATACATAGAGACTCGGCCGAGCCTTAAGAGAAACAAAGATATCAACCATGATTTTGAGTTAAGAGAATAGCAGAATGTATAGGCATTGCAATTTCAAGAGGCATCAAAATAAAAAAAAAATCTAAATATGAAACACATAATGACTAACAAGTGTGAGCAAACCACAGATTGAAGAACAAGTTGGGTAATGAAAATTTTGAGAGAAACAGAGAGACGGATCATAGAAATTTTGAGTTTTTTCAACAAAATTTACAGATCTGAGAATATATATATATGAGGATGAGAGGGGAAGGGAAAATACAGATCTGAGAATTTTTATCCGGTCACCGTCGATAATCGATGTCGTTGCAGAAGAGAGAGAGAAAGATCGTTGCAGTTGCAGACGAGAGGGAGAGAGGGACAACAGGGCAACGCAACCGAGAGAAAAGAGGGGACATGAACGTGATGGACATAAAGCCGTTCTAAACGGCGTCGTACAGAGAGAGGGAAGAGGCTTGCCAAAAAAATTGGCAGCTCCTATATATGAGATAAAATTTGACATTCTCAAATTTTAACAGCCCAAATGAAGGCCCATTGGAGAGCCCAACTTTTACACCTCTGCTATATTTTGAATTTCGCAACCCAAAATAGAAGGGCATTGGAGATGCTTTAACAAAACAAATAGCAATAGCTATTTGCCTTTTTTGTTGCCTGCCGTGTCTTTCTCTCTCTCTCTGTGCCAAAATCTCTCTCTTCAATGGCAGAAACTGGTGCCCTCTGCTTCGCCACTCTTTCTTCTTCTCTTACTTCTACTTCTTCGCCCCCAATCGCTCTCTTCCTTCCTCCATTTCAGAACAAAAGCTTCCAATTCCGGCAATTTCCTCGGCGACGATCCAATTGGATTCTATATATACATATATTTAAAAAAGATCATAAAAAATTTCACCAAATAGGATTTAGTTTGCAAAACCAGAATTATAGACCTTGATTAGTTGATTTAGAAAAAAAATTAAAACAAAACCCATACGTACAAGTTAGCAGTTGCAGAGAGAGAGAGGGGGCAAGCTTAAGAGTTGAGAGACAACGGCTGAAGCTTGTGAATGGTGAACCTGAAATGGAATAGCGGGCGATGGAAACTGATAGATATGGGTTTTGAACTTCTGATTCTTGTTGATTTTGTAGTTTGCAGTTGCAGAAGAGAGAAGGGGGAGGGGGGTAGAGAACAAGAATAGAGATGGAGGCGATTGGGGAGGCTGAAATGATTTGCCCTAAAACTATATATGGCGATTTAGGAGGCTGAAATGATTTGCCCTAAATATATATATATTTTAAATAATAATATAATCAAATATATATAATATACATATATATATATATATATAATATAATATATATATATATTTGAAAAAGAAAAAAAAATTATATAATAATATAATCAAATATATATATATATATATATATTTTTTTTTTGGGTTCTTTTTTGACCAAATATTTTAGATTTTTGATTCTTTTTAATTAAGTTTAATTTTAATTTCCTTCTAATGCCTACAACTTGACTTGGAATGTGCCTAATATTAATATTACTGATGCAAATATGAATGGTGGGAATAGTAGTTGAAAAAGATTAGTGGTTGTGTAAAAAAATAGCATTTTATATAAAATGCATCATTAGAGCAGAATTGCTAAAATATAGCATTTTGACATTGTAGCATTGTCAAAATATAGATTTGGCATCCGAATTTAACATTTTACGATTGGAGATGCTCTTAATTGCTTTAAAGGAAGAACCCATCTGAAAAAAAAAAAAAAAAAAAAAAAAAGGTCCTCTTTGATCTAAAAAATATCATACCTTGGGAATCACTCCCCACCCTAAGCCACCACCATAGCCACTCCCCACCCTAAGCCGCCGCCATAGCCACTCCCCACCTGACGAATATTATTCAATATAACGATTGTGAGTTCGAATCTTCTCTCTTACTCAAGTTTTTAACTTAAATATGGAGTTAGTGCGGCCCGGTGAAAGGCCATCTAATGAGAAATCTTAAAGAATTAAATAAAAAAGTGTATAAAAATGGGGAAAACATTTCAGTTACTCTCCCACTGGATTGGTCAGTGAGAGGTAAAAAACACTAACTTTGACGGTTGAGTTAAATTCAATATTTACCTAACTTTTAATATATACATATAACTTTCGTATGCAACATTTTTATTATTTAATTAATTGACTTTTATTTCATGGCTCCTCAATTGGTTTCCTTGGCTCATATCTATGTATATATAATATTAAAAAATAAAAAATAAAAAATTTGAATGAGACTGTTTTTAATTGCTTAAAAGGAAGAACCCATCCGAAAAAAGAAAAAAACAGAAAAAGAAAAAAAAAAAAGGAGGTCCTCTCTAATCTAAGTATCATAATACCTAGGGAATCATTCCCCACCCTAAGCCAACACCACAGCCACTCCCCACCCTGACTAATCGTATTCCATATGCCGATTGTGAGTTCGAATCTTCTTTTTGCTCAAGTTTCTAATTTAAATCTTATTCGTATCATGAAGTTAGTACGACTTGGGTGAAAGGTCATCTAATGAGAAAAATATATAAAATTGGGAAAAAAAAAAATTCTTTTTTAGTTACTCTCACTATATTGGTCCATTAAAGGATGAAAAAAATTAACTTGGTGGTTGAGTTAAATTTATATTTACCAAATTTTTAATATATACATATAACTTTGGGGTAAGATTTAATTTGTGGTATAAGAATTAAAGTTGTACAATTCGACCGAATCCTATGCAACTACGATTCAAAATTTTTGATTTGGAGAAGTTTTGAGAATTGAGTGATTTAGATCTATTTTTGAAGTAGGGGTAAACTAACCCTACGAACCTAATTTTGTTTGGATAAATGTTCTGTATATATATTTTAATTTTTGTTGAATTGTTTTAAAGGGAAGTTGTTTTAAAGTGAGGTTATTTTGAGTTTTAATTTTATTTTATTTTACTAAAAAGGTAAAGTTAAGTGGTATAATAATATACTTTGTATAATATATTATATAAAAGTACTTTTTTACATATGGTAAAATAAAAATAATTTTTTTTCTTGACTTGCTGACTTGGTGGTGACAAAATTATAGTGAGAATATTTTTTTTTTCAATAAAATTGTGCATTTAGTTGCATCACAAGTCACAATAAGTGTATATACATAATTAAATTTTTATAAATTGTAAACTTCAGAGACCATGTATATCTTATCCAAGATTCCCTCCAGCCTTATAAGGGGAACTTAATTCTTCTTTATAGAAGACGTGGCATGATATGTATGCATATGAATAGAATAATTGCAATAAAAATTAATACATTTTTAATTAGATCCAAAATTTAAAAACTAAAATAAGAAGAGTGATTGGGCTTTGAATGGATCACAAGTAATTTAATTTGTAAATAAAAAACGTGAAAGATTCACAGCTCTTAATACATAATTTAAAGTCCTATTAAACGCATAAGGAGAAGGTCGTGATCACTTTATATGTAGAGTGAACCCTACAAATAAAGTGATGAACCCCATCTCATGCTTGGGGGATCCCACTCTCAGAATTTTCGATCCATACCAAAAAAACAGAATAAAAAATAGGAGATAATATATTTTAATTCCATTTTTATTCTTTTGGTAACTAGATAGCTAATATGAATGTCATTTTCCATGGCCTTTCTGAATAACACAACTTTGTCCACATTCTGGATGATGGGCAACCGTGTTTGTACGTGTGTCACCGATCACTGTGTGTGTGTGTGAGAGAGAGAGTGATTGGCATTGACTTCCGAATTCCATGCTGGGAAGTAGCTACTTAATTTGTACATATGGAGAATTATTTATTCTTAAGCAAGATTAATCTAATTTGACAGCTTGAAAACAACCACGTTAGAAATTGTAACAAATAATAAATAATTATAATAATAGCAACTACAAAGTTAAATTAATAGTTTTTAGTATCGTAGTCTAATCAAGGAAATAAAATTTCTCTAGAATCTGATCCCGTGAACCTTCGAAACACGTGCATGCACATGCGTGTAAATGAAAGTCTTCTTCTGTTGGTGAAAATCCAACTGCAATAAAAACCAAATATTCAATAATATTATTTTTTAAGTAATTAAAGGGCAATTGTTCTAGATCTTCTTTATTAATATTTAAAAAGCAACCATGTTTGTCAAGTCGACGGAATTAAAAAAGGAAAAACTACATGACACGAGGCATGAATTTGAAAGTTTTGATAGATCATATCCAAAATAAGATGATAATATAATTAATTAAAGAATTAAAATTATTTTTTTAATTTTTTTACAAGACAAAAATGGTTAGAAGTTAAATTAGCAGGTATAAATAATCCAAAGTATGGCACTCCAAAATTTACTGAAGACAGTAACCCATTGGACTATCAAAGAATTTACAAAAAAAATTAAAATCATAAAACCCTGTCTATTATTAAAATCGTGCATAAAATATTAAAATCTTAGTAAAATAAAAATAAAATAAAATAAATCTAAATTAACAAAACTTATCATACCTCCAAACTTATAACAAACCCCATTAAATGAGAAATGAGTTGTGAAATGTTAAATTTGTCATTACTATTTAATATTAAATTAAAAATTATAATTATTATTTTAAAATTATAAAAATAATATCAGGAACAAGAAATACGTCATCAATCTCTAGTCAGATAACAATACAATTAATATTAAACAATATTATTATAAATAAGTATTTTTATAATTTTAAAATAATAATTATAATTTTTAATTTAATAATAATTAATAAAATCAAATTTAAAATTTCACAATCCATTTATCAAGTCGGTCACCGTTATAAAAGTAATTTAATATGTTTTGTTAGCTAATTCTACGTAAAATTTATTGCACCTTTTCAAATTGATAGACTAATCAAAGTATCAAGCCAATCAGATTTTTTGCGTACCGAATCATCACTTGGATACCAAAATTTTCAATATGCTGAGGTATATATATACGAATACAAAAGATCACCATTTGTGTCCTTGTCCAACAGTCGTGTTCTAAAAGAGCAGAACAATGTGTGTCAGTCTATGTGTGTTTGTATTTATATATGTATATATATTGATTAAGTAACTGTCTTTATATGTGATCATGATGCATGATGGCGCATGAATGAACAAATTTTAACCACACGTATTTGTGTAGAGATAGTTTGAATTTTGACTAGTCTTTTGCTGGTGTGATCATTTGACCAGTTTATTATTCAACATTAAGAATTCAAAGCTGAGAGAAAGGTGTGTCATCAATTTTAGGGTTATCAAATCAATTATTTAATTTTCTTGTTATATAGGAGTATTATTTTGATAAAACATGTTTACATGTGAACATGACATTTAATGAAAAGGAGGCAAATCATATTTGGTGATAGGTTTTTTTTGTACTTCGCTGTATCGATCTTGTTAAAATGAAATGGGGATAGGTTTGTATGGTTTTGTCCACAACTTATAACAAATAGAGAAAAATGTGGATTGGTTGCATGGTTTGTTTGATAATGGATGTAAATTAACATTGAATAACAAATACGCCTAATTTTTTTTATGGACTTGTATATTAATTTGTAATAGTAAACTGAAATACTCTATATTGTTTAGTGATCACACACACACACACACACACACATATATATATATATCAGTATACGAGATTGTGAAGAATTTGTTTCCTTGTTGAATTCGTGACCTTCCGAAGCAACCTTCTAATTACGCTAAGACGACGTCAATGCAAATTCAAACAAAAATAAAAAATTATTTTCATTAAAAATCCTACAAACTTCTTCACCAATAAAAACTAGTTAGGTTTTGCAATTGTAGATTAAGCATTCATTATGAAACTTTTGGCTCGACAAGATTTTATAAAATGAATAAACTACTAACTAATTAAGAAGAGTTAAAAAAAAAAAAAAAAACGAGTCGTCAAATTTTCAGTTCTCGTGCTTACTCTTTTTTAGGTTGATCTTTCTCTCTCCATACATTATGGAGTGGAGTATACAACTTAAGTATATATCATCATATAAAAAACAGGGATTTGAATATTTGATCATGTCAATATTATGACTTCACAATTTCCACGGGGAACAAAATAATCCACACAAAGATTGTGAGAATATTAAAAGATATATGTTACCCCTACACTTCAACTTACTTATTATATCCAAAGCAGATATTCGGGATTGTCTATATATATACACTTTCGATATAATAAGTTGTAGTGCCAGACTTACCCTCTAAATTGTAGGTTGATGACTTGCACTTAGCAAAATTAACTCAAAATTTAAAACTACTTGGTTATAATCCAGTATAATTTGATTCTAGTACAGTATGATTTAAAACTACTTGGTAATAAGAAATAGCAATGGCCTTATAACCATAAAAGGCAACATTGCTTCCCTTACACTGTATATATATATATATATATATATATTATATATATATACAATCTATAGATACACTCTATTTAGAATATTCAAATGGATAACTTAAATTTCAAAACTCAACTTCCCAAATTTCTCACAATTATTGTTCTAAAAATATCTTAGTTGTCCCATATATAATTTTCAACTTCCTCATATTCTAACTCTCTTTATTGACTCTTCTTCCAAGTCTCTCTCACTCTCTCATGTACTATTGATTATAAGACCCCACATTTCCCTTCTTTCATTTACCAATTGTACATAACAAACTCAGAAGAAGTGTAACAAACTTCCTCAATAGCAAAAGCTAGCTATAGAGATGGTGTTTGCTACCGGTGGTGGTGGTGGCGGTGGTGGTGCCAACATGAAATCCCTAACCCTACAAATCCTCAACGGCCGGTGGTTCATGGTGTTTGCCTCCTTCCTCATCATGTCCGCGGCCGGTGCAACCTACATGTTTAGCCTCTACTCCCAAGACATCAAAGACGCCCTTGGCTATGACCAAACCACCCTAAACCTCCTCAGCTTCTTCAAGGACCTCGGGGCCAACGTCGGAGTCCTCTCCGGCCTCATCAACGAGGTCACTCCGCCGTGGGTGGTCCTCTCCATCGGCGCGGTCCTCAACTTCTTCGGCTACTTCATGATCTGGCTCGCCGTCACCAAAAAAATCGCCACCCCACACGTCTGGCACATGTGTCTCTACATCTGCATCGGAGCCAATTCGCAGTCCTTCGCCAACACCGGAGCTCTTGTCACCTGTGTCAAGAACTTCCCGGAGAGCCGGGGCGTCGTGTTGGGGCTTCTCAAGGGTTTTGTTGGCCTGAGTGGAGCTATCATCACACAAATATACCATGCAGTGTACGGGGACGATTCGAAGTCTCTCATTCTGCTCATAGGGTGGCTCCCGGCTGTTATATCCATGGCATTTCTCCGAACAATCCGAATCATGAAGGTGGTTCGACAGGCGAACGAGCTCAAAGTGTTCTATAGATTCCTCTATTTATCACTAGGGCTTGCAGGGTTTTTAATGGTGATCATCATACTCCAAAAGAGGCTTCAATTCACGCGAAGCGAGTACGGTGTTAGTGCTGTCATGGTCATCCTCTTGCTCATTCTTCCACTTGCTGTTGTTGTCAATGAAGAATACAATCTTTGGAAGGTCAAGAAACAGCCCATGAATGAGGTCAAAATCATTACAGAGAAGCCGAATCCGGACACCCCTTTACCACCACCACCACCACCACCACCTGCATCCACCATGGCCACCGGACTCCCCACCTCGAACAACCAACATGTTTCTTGCTTCCAAAACGTGTTCCGGCCACCGGACAGAGGCGACGACTACACTATCCTCCAAGCCCTCTTCAGCATAGACATGATGATCCTATTTTTGGCGACCATTTGCGGAGTGGGAGGGACATTGACGGCCATAGACAACTTGGGGCAGATTGGGACCTCACTCAGCTACCCAAAACGGAGCATTAGTACCTTTGTATCCCTAGTGAGCATATGGAATTACCTAGGCCGGGTTGTGGCCGGTTTCATGTCCGAAATCTTCTTAAAAAAGTACAAATTCCCTAGGCCTCTCATGCTCACTCTCACACTAGTATTATCATGTGTGGGGCATCTTCTCATTGCCTTTGGTGTCCCCAATTCTCTCTACGTCGCGTCGATAATCATCGGGTTTTGCTTCGGTGCTCAATGGCCATTGCTGTTCGCTATCATTTCTGAGATCTTTGGCCTTAAGTACTACTCCACACTGTACAATTTCGGGTCAGTGGCTAGTCCAATTGGGTCATATTTGCTCAATGTGAAGGTCGCTGGTCACTTGTATGATAAGGAGGCTGAGAGGCAAATGAAGGCTCTAGGGCTTAAAAGGAAGTCTGGTGAGGACTTGGATTGCACTGGGGTGGACTGCTTCAAACTGGCTTTCATTATAATTACCGCGGTGACGGCGTTCGGGGCATTTGTTTCCCTCATTTTGGTGATTAGGACTAGGAAGTTTTACAAGAGTGATATTTACAAGAAGTTCCGGGAGGAGGCGGAGGCGGCGGAGATGGAAATGGCAGCGGCCGGAAACGGCGTCGGACCGGCGGGGACGAGAGGAGGTTGAAGATTGGTGGATTGTAATGTTTAGGGTTAGGTTGATGGATACTTATACGACTCAAAAAGTTAAAAAAAAAAGGTTAGATTCATAACCAATAGATATTCATGTGAGTTTTACATTGTTCCAGAAACACACAGACAGATGGTGTGTGTGGGATCTACCTCTACTTGTACTTTAAAAGGCATTTCAGTATAAATATGTAGAAGAAACATGGGAGGTTGTACGGTGGTTTGTAATGTTTTTGTGTTTCACTGATATGCTATTCAAACTTAATAATTTAGTCGAGAATCTTAATCTCTAGAGTTTTGACTTTATCAAATTATATTCTCAACTGTGTTATTAGGTCGGAGAATCATTATTATGTTTTAATTGATGGCATTAGGTTCGAGAAATCATTATTGTGTTTCAATTTGTGGCTATCAGATAAACTCTCGGTTACTCTCTCCGGCCCCACCATTCAAGTAGTATTTTAAATTAGGAAATTTGTAAAGTTGGGAGAGAATCGAACCCACACCCAAATGCTAGATATAATTTTCGTCTAGCACTTAGAGGCTTCCCTTCCACCAACTCTGCAGGCGTCCTTGGGGTGTAGCTAATGTTTTCTTGATTGACCATCTCTAGTCTTTATCCAATTGTTTCTGGTTACCAAAATGCAACTGTATTGATTTGACGAAGAATATAGTTCATTTGGTAGTTGAACATGCTTTGAATGACCTACTAAAAAATAAATAAATAAAAAAGTTGATTTGAATATTCAGAATCCAAATGAAAAAATAAAATAATAATTATCAATATATTGACTGTGGAGTCCACATCTCTTTGATTGAGAAGGAAAGAAAAATAGATGCGGGCCTTCTTAAATAAGGCTCGATTGGATTTACATACATATATATGTATACTTTTTATATTCTAATTTGATATCAGATCCAGTACCATAGGCTATAGCTACCAAGTTAATGTATTGAGAGCGAAAACTTTTAATAACGCATATGTGCTTTCTGCATAAAGAAATGTGAGTGGGCCCAGTAGATTTATTGGGATAGCATAGTTTGTCTAATAAGTGCATGTGACAGGCCTCCTTGAGTCTCTTCACTTAATTTTTAGACCAATTAAAGTTGTTTTACTGCATATTCCTTTGTTTCCAATTCCATACATGTGTATTTGATATATATATTTTTTATAACATGTCAATCCATATGAAAACTTGATAGACTGACTAGCAAAAGATTTAGTGATTTTTGGGAGTAAGTTATTAGTTCCAAGTCCAGTAAGTCTTCTTCAATGCAAAAGAGGCGGAATTAACTAGCTAATCTTAGAAAGATGATCAAATTTATTGATTGCAATTGTAACATTAACATACCAATTATGATAATAGCATCAAAAATTGTATTGAATCGATTCTTTTTTAGGGAATAGATATTTGAATGTGGAATTCACAGGGATCCGACATCACCCAGTGGCCCAGTGTAATAAGGTGAGCATGTTTCACATGACATCCAGATGGGAGCGCGAGTGATTGGGTACACACGGGTTGGGTGTCATGTCAAGTGCCCGGCCCGAAAGACCTTCGGGTCTGCAACCCGGGTAGGCAAGGGTGGTCCGAACCGCAACAAAGACGTTGCGAATTACACCCGGTCAGCTCTCAGGCGTCCCCTCCTCTTAGTTTGGCAAAAAGGATACTGTGGATCATATTCCAATAATGAAACATACGATGAACCAACATTGTCGTAAAAATATTATTAAGTTGTTGATGATTCAAGTTGATTAGCAGAAAGAGAGAACTACTAAGCCCATTAAGTTGTTGTACTAGTTTGAGAAACGAAACTTGGCAATCTTGGGTTGTCTTTTTCAATCTGAATTCGATTTTTTATATTTTGAAGGACTAATGGATTGGGTTTGGGCCAGACCAATTTCAACCCAGCTGAGCCCATTTAAAACACAGAAGGCCTAACTCCACTGAAGGCCCACATAGATGTAAATTCATGCCAAACCCTTATTTTCTAATGTGCTTTAAAGTATTGAAAGTAGATGATGATCACTACAACAAAAATGGCTGCTATTAATCTTTGTAAAACGTATTTTTTCTTATTGAAACTAAACTTTATACTACAGAGAAATTTAAAATAGTGTCAATTTTTTTTTTTTTTTTTTCCTGGAACTTCTAACTGTTGGAAAATATTTCAAAATATGTTTATAATATTTTTGAAAATATTTATATATATAATTATAAGAATAACTATTTTGATTCATTCCCCTCAAACAATTAAGTTTTTAAATGGTTTCATAAGTATATATATATATATGCATGTTTTGGGTGATTCATGCATCGACAAGTGAAATGTTTATATATTTATATATATAGTTAACATTTGGTATTGTCAACGAATCTATTAGATTCACCTCTTTTTAAGATGAACCATTTTAAGTTCATTCATTAATATTTAGGGGATACATTTTGATTAATGTGATACAAGAATATATTTATCTAAATTCATTGTTTTGGAACATGAATATTCTGAATTTATGTATCTTGAGATTTGAACACATTTATGAAGATTCATTTGAGAGGTCTATATAAGATTACACTTTCCTTATTCAAGGATGAAAAAAAGGATGGATGAAATGTAAATCAAATTCAATCCCATCTCATGTTTCTTAACTCTAGGTGTAGAATTTTTCTCTTCTAATTTTCATATATATTTGGGCATTCTGAAAAGAGATTAAGTATTGCACCCAATAGTATATGTTTATCTTAAAGCTCAATAGTACATGCCATGAATTGTGTTAGGCCGGATAAAGCCTTTGCATTTGGGGAGCTGATTGGGATGCTTTGAATTAAGTCATGAGATATGAAAAAAATTTGTCTATACTTTTACCAAATGCTTGGATTTAGAAAAGTCAAAGTCAATTTCTGCTTGGAGTTTGCCTAAGAGTGGTGCTATTTCCGGAAGTCTAAGAAACATAAATGGTTTTCTTATTTCTCTACGAAATCTGAGTCTACTGCCTTCTCAAGTGTAGAAAAGGTAATATGAGAATATCCCCCTTGAGTCATTGAGAGGATGGAACATGTTTTAAACTAAAAAGGGGAATATCCCTCTCAATTCAATGAGAGGATGGTTACGTACTTTGTACTTTACAAGTGGAAAGAAATGATGGCCAATTTTAGCCCTCTTGAGCTAATAAGAGGATGATTGGATTTTTAGCCCTCTAAAGTTAATGAGATGATGATTGAATTCCTAGCTCTCTCGAGTTAACGGGAGAACGAATGAAATTATTACCTTCTCTTACAAAAAGATAGGGACGGGCAACTCATTTTGAAATTGGTAGACGTACCGATACGAGCTAGCAATACTAGCATTCACTTTATTGTGATATGAGAGTACATTATACAATGAGGATGATGTCAAGAAATTCATCTATATGATCATTATTTGTGGGGTCTAGTTACTTATGGTACTGAGGCTATAAAGTATTTGATAAATGTGGTAGACTCATTGCCCTAAGTATTTCTTGGATGGCAGATAATCTTAATCGAAGGGATTGCGAGTGATCCCGAAACTAAATTGTACTTGGGGATACCCATTTAGTGGGAAAAACGAACCAAGATGGTAGTTTTTGGTGGTGCACTACATTATGAAATTTGAGATTCCCTTCTCATATGGTGTAAGTAGTACAAAAAGTCTTTGGAGGATGAGATTTATCTCTTAATGGATCTATGGACATTTTTTTTGAGGGTGACTACAAGACACTCCTGATAGATTCACCTAGTTGAGACTGAAGGTTGGTCACCTGACTCACCTTCTATGAGACTTCAGGTTGTCTCTAGAGCTCTCAATGAAAAAACAGGATGAAACATGGATCTTAAAAGTGCTAGCAATACTAGCATTCACTTTAATGCGTGTGTGACAAGTCCGGTTTATCCATATAGGTTCGCAAGTTCAAGGTTCCGTCCACTAATTTTCTCGGGTAAGCTTTGATTTGTTTGCACTAAGTAAAGGCTCAAGTCCCCAAGACACCTTTATCTATGCACATAACTTTCCCGAATGCCCAAGTAATGAGATTTTATTTCAAAGTTTTGAGATTATTTTCAAACTATATTTTTAAACAAGTGAGGGATTGTTGGAAAATGTTTCAAAATATATTTATAATATTTTTGAAAATATATTTATATATAATTAGAAGTATAACTATTTTGATTCATTCCCCTCAAAGAATTAAGTTTTAAATGTGTTCATAAGCATTTATGCATGTTTTGGGTGATTCATGCATCAACAAGTGAAATATTTATATATGTATATACCGTTGACAGTTGGTATTGTCGATGAATCTATTCGATTCAATTCATTTTAAGGTGAACCATTTTAAGTTCATTATTAATATTTAGGGGATACATTTTGATTAATGTGATAGATGAATATATTTATCTAAATTCATTGTTTTGGAACTTGAATATTCTGAATGCATGTATCTTGAGATTTGAACACATTTATGGAGATCCATTTGAGAGGTTTATATAAGACTAACACTTCCCTTATTCAAAGATAAAAAAAAGGATGAATGAAATACAAATCAAGTTCAATCCCATCTCACGTTTCTTAACTCAAAGTGTAGAGTTCTCTCTTCTAATTTTTTATATTTGGGCACTCTGAAGAGAGATTAATTACACCCAATAGTGTGTTGTACATATACACTATAGTTGGATCGAGTCCAAACTTGGTTGAATTTCGGAGATGTAGCTGCTATGATCCCTTGTACTTTGTGGGAGGCTCTGACTATGGTCTAAATTTTCTTAAATAACGATTTCCATCATATATGCAAGTGCAAGTGATTGTCATGATTTATCTTAACCATTTTTTCAACGATGACCACATCTTTTTTTCTTATTAACTATGTTTAATTAATGTGTTTAATTCATGTTTAGTTTTCTAATTCAAATAAGTTTATATATATATATATATATATATAAAGTAGGTGTAGATCACGTTTTCAGCATCCTTCTTCACGAACATTCCATTAGAGAACTGCAGAGATTCACGAACAGTTCAGAGTGTGAGAAAACCCTAGATATATGGTCAATTAAGTGTGGATTATTGATCGAGCCTGGATTGTCCATCGTGAGCTTACAATCCGAGTATGTAGATTTGAGAGTTTGAGCTTAGCTTAGGAGTTTTTCAAAGAGCTTTATCTGCAAAAAATAAAATAAAAAAACAATCGAAGATTGTAGGCTTCTCTCTTCTACTTAGGAGCGAGACACTGAAGATATCACATATATGTATATATATGTGCACAAGTTCAGTTCAAAACTCTCAGATCAATCTAATTTATGATGATGATTTTGCCATGGAAAAATTGGCACAAACCCACTTTGAGAAGTAAAGAATATATGAATCAAGTGAAACCATAAAACTTTGAACTTCAAATAAATCTAAAAAACAAAATAAATCAATTAACCCAACTTAAGCATAATAAATCCTAAATAAATATAATTTACCTTATGACATGTGGTTTGTAGGAATAAGATTTAGCAATACCAGTGTTTTAAAAAATCAATTAGCCAACTTAAGCATCATAAATCCTAAATAAATATTCCAAAAAATAAAATTCTAAATAAATAAATATACCTTTAATGACTTGTGGTTTGTAGGAATAAAATTTAAAATAAGATCACCAACAACCAAAAATAAAAAAAGAATAAGATTTTGAGTTTTAAATTGACTTTTCAAATGGAATATAAATTTCAGCCAATAGAGTAATGATTGGGCGATCCAATTCGGACAACGTAGGTTCAAAATACTGGCATGACTCTATAAAACTTATTAGACGCCCACATATTTAAAATACCATACATACCAGGATTGATTTATTAAATATTACAATTGAATCCATATTTGGGTTCACTTGTGTTATCTCATACTGTTCTATTTATTTTTTTTGTATCATTCCTATAAAATATATACTCTGTACGTAATATATATATACATTTAAAATGACAAATTTTTATTTTTTTAAACATTTAAATGGACAAGTTGGATGGTGATACCTAGAGATAAGATTCTTGAGGACTAAATTACAAGTAAACATGGACAGTTTGTCAAGGCATTGGACATCCAATGTTATGTTAGTATAGAAATCCAAACACTTCTCTTTCAAAAGAAAACATTTTTAAAAAGATATAAAGAAAAAAAAAGGCATAAGAGAAATTGACGTAGGATTCGAAAATGTCACCTCACCCACCATTATCCTATAGTAACAGGTAGAAGGTAGACATTTACCTATTTATTCAAAAATTTAAATTATTAAGTAATGCTACATGCTTATCTATTTTATACCCCTCTTCTCTTTCCATCAAGATCCGCTATGGAACAAATAGCCTTTATAACAGTCTCCCTCGTCATAACTCGTTGCGGTTGAGCCATCCTACCTATTCGGGTGGCTTACTCGGACGCCTTCCTGACGGGGTGCTTAATGTGACATTGAATTAAAGACTGGGTCGGACTCTTATACCAACTGTACCGAATGGGAACTTCGCTGTAGAAATTAAAAACTTAAGTTGTCGGGTGATACTGTATAACCACTCATTTTATACTCTTTCACTTTCCATCCAAATCTTTGGAACAAATAGCCTTGTGACACCTATACTCTCCCATCATCTTTATACTTTAATTGGTCATCATCATTAACCCCAAAAGTCAACAAAACACACTATCACAACACAATTAAGTCAAAATATTTAACTAAATTAATGGTGAATGACCCACGAATAACTATCATTTGGTGGAACCACATAATATTCTTATAAGTCGTTGATGCCCATCAATTATGTACAAAGTGGGACCACCATTCAATCAATCGGATTATCAAATTTTCTTGATATATTTCTTCTTTCAAAAATAAATATCCAATTTCTATAATGATAATAATTGGGGTAATGATAATAGAGCATCATGGTTGGTGGTAATGTACAAAATTAAGGTAATAATGAGAGACAAAAAGAGGGTGGTGGTTGTGGATGAGGGTGGTGGTGCGCCGCTCCCGAATATCATTCCAAAGTCGTAGCCGTCATCGCCACTGGACCCCGCACCACCGCCTCCGTTGTTGTCGACGGTGCTGGTCCCACCAGCAGCACTGAATCCGGGATATGTGACGCCTGCACTAGTGTCCCTGTGCCATGGTAGATACACCAACATGATAAAAATAATATCAACAAATAATGATGACGGAAGAAACAAAATAATAGTTTGTCCGTTTAAAGAAGGCGTGACATATGTGGGGGCCTAATTAATTAAATTCTACAAGTAGTTTGTAAGTAGCTGAGTTTATAATTGATGAAGTTCAATTGTATAGTATAAATATATATGTATACCATTTATATATATATGTATAACATTTATTATTAGAGAATCTATACTCACACTCTTCTTTTAATCAAATGCAATTTATTCTTAAATATGAAATCATAAAGATGTAAACTCATGGACAGAAAAGCATGTATTAGAGTATGTAGGTCATTTATGTGAAAGTAGAGTACATTTGATTAACCCTATTATTATTATTAGGAAATATAAATATTAAAATTACAATTTTCTAACTGTGGAGTATGATTTGTAGTATCGTCTGATACACAATTGTTTTTCAAGTCCAATACACGATTTGTATTGGCCAGTTTACACTGAATTTGTCCGAATTCGTTACACCGCGACCGTGACCGATATTACGAACCATGTTGTAAAGTTAAAACAATCTCAAGTTTAAATTTAAATAATTGAAATTGAAGCGTGTTGAATAAAAAAAAATTAAAAAAAAAATGGAATTTATAAGAAGAGTGCTCTTACCATGACATTACATACATGGTCACTTACAATGGGAGATTTGTCTTATATCGGATTTGAATGTGAGAGTGATTGGGTGTTAGCCCTATCTAATAACTTAAATTTTTAGATGGAATCGCGAAACACCCACCTATTACACATAAGTCGCACAATTCTTCTCAACAGATGTCATTCTCACATTCAGAACGCGCTCCCGCTCTCACTCTCCACATGCGTTTTGTTCAAATTTTCTTTACCTATGACTTAATTGTATCGTTCTCGTGCTTTCGTTTTAAATTTGTTCTCGCTCGCACTCCTATTTTACGTGGCTCAGATTACAAAAAGTCTGTATGTTAAAGTCGCGAAAAAAATCAAGCGTGATCGCGAGTGGGCCTTAATTTGGTTGTCATGACAATTGGATTGGAAAGAATATGACACCTAAAGTCCATATTCCAAGTCCCAACACAAAAACACATAACATGGCGGGGGAACATCTGCCAAAAGGGAGAGGAGAGGGTTCTTTATGGTAATTCTGTTAACAAACCCATCAGATATTTCATAAAAAGACGAGAATGCCCTGATTTGGGACAGTTATTAAGTGACAGGTATTTCCGTTGTGAAGTACACAAAAGCTTGGGAACAAAGGGGTAGTAGTAACAGTTCGAAAAAAAACAAAGGGGTAGTAGTACCTGGGCTGATCACCGAGGACACCAGCGGTCATGGTGAGCTGGTCAATGAGCCCAGCGGACCTGGGCTCCACGCTTGAGGCCTTCGCGTACTGAGTGCTGAGTCCTTGGCCGGAGGGCACGAAGAATGCTCCGTTCACCAATACATCTCCGTCCGTCCTCCAATTCCAATTCGTCCACTCGTTCTCGTCCGTCTCCACGCGCTTGGTCACCTAAAAAGAAAAATAAAATTGAACCGTCACATTTTATTCCAATAATTGAATTTAATGATCCACATGCCTCGCTAAGATCATTCACTTTCAAAGTACATAGATCTCGCTATAAAATTCATGTGACCCCAATGCCCACATGGGATATGAAGTACACATTTTGTTCTTACCAAAAGTAATGACAACCTTGATGAATCTTCATCTCAAATAATATATACATTTATACTCCTATATAGTTATATTGAATTTTCGGCCAAATTAATCCCACCACTTCAAATTAGTGCACATTGTTAACGAGAAAACGACTTCGAATAATTTCATGAGATTTTTCTTTTTTTATTGGGCAAATAACGCACTTGCACGTTTTGCTTATGTGAAAATTTGAACCTTCGGAGGAAAAAAAAAAAAAAAATTCTAATTTAAAAAGTTGATGAAATATTATTGAACTAATTAAAATTTTTAGTTATAAATAATTGTATGAGACGTGAAATTCACAAAATCAACTTTAGGGGGCCGGTGCAAGTTGGGACCATTCCATCCACCACGTCATGTTCAAACAAAAGTCAAAAAGGTTCTCAAGCCTACGTGCAAGATATCATTAAAACTAACAATATTTTATTTTCATATTAAAAAAAGAATTAAATATAGTATAATTTAGTAAGAAAAATATATTATTTTCAAATTAATGCTATACGCAAGTCGACTTCGAATAAACCAGCTCGGGACAATCAGATTCGCACCACAAATTGTAAAAACTCACCATTCCGTGAAGACAATTCACATTATTAATTGATTAGTTAGAAAAAAAGTAATATGATGAGAAATGAGTGTTGTAGGACTCAAATCACCCATCCAATCTAGAGGAGCCTTTCGGCTTCTCATTCCGAAGAGACATTTGGATATCTTAATTATTTAATAAGTTGGTTGACAAGGCTTGACATGGGAATCCACCGCCTCTTTCCATACACATAATGCTTGTGATACCTAAAGCGAATGCGAGGAGTCTTAAATAGGGATGGTCACGGAGGTGGTACTCTCCCGTCTCCACTCTCGTCCCTATTTAAGTTAGCCCGCTTAAAATTGACTGAACGGAGCATTTTTTTATCTGTTCTCGTTCAGTTTAAATTTTCTTATCCCGCGGGGACCAATCTCGCCCGGTTTACTTCCAAACTCCAACCATTTGTTTTTCCAACTTCTGCACTCAAATCTAACAAAATCAAATGAAGACAACTATGGTCAAATTATAATTTAGGGTTGTTGAAATTGAGAATTGTTGAAATTAGGATTTATGATTCTTTTAACTTAAATGTACACACACACACACATATATAAATATAAATTAATAAATAAGAAATATAAACGGGATAGGGTGGGCCGACCTCCTCCCGCCCCGCTATTTTTTACTGATAAAACCATCTCCTCCTAGTTACTAACTTGCCATTTTAAGTTTTAAATATTCAAGTTTGAAATTTTAAACTCAAAGAACATATATGAAAAGACTAAAATATATTATTTAAAAAAAGAAAGTGAACTATTATTTTGAAATAGATAAAAAAGGAAAGCATGATACTTATTTTGAGACCGAGAGAGTACACTTTACCTCCTTGGCGTCTGGGTCAGACGGCGCCATATAGCGATTGCCCTGACTATTGATGGTCGGGCTAGCACTACCACCGATAGCATACATTTTCCATTCCGTAAAATCATTATTCACCACGTGTATATACCCGTGTCTACACCGAGGCATACGCTGCACCAGCGCCTCACCGAAGTGATTAAAAGCTATGGTAACCTGCATCACCGAATCGCCCAAGTACCGATCATCATGCCCCAATAGCATCACCTCATCATGATGCGAAAAATAGCTATTCGATATCGTGATCCCCGTGGACCCCATTATCGCATCAATCAGACCGTCCGTACAGTAACTCAACGAGCAATGATCGATCCAGATGTTCTTAGACGAATATATGGATATCCCATCACCGTCTGATTTGCCTCTAAACCCTACGTGGGTTGGACTCGACCGTATGTTAGTGTTGCCCGAGGGAACACAGTGGTGGATGTGGATGTTGTGGATTATGACATTGGTGATGTACTGGAGCGTAATGCACCCACCACCGGTGATGTACACATTAGCGCCACGGCCGTCGATAGTCTTGAAGCTGCTGACGATGAGCTCATGCTTGAGTTTGATAACCATGTTGGTGGAGAAAATGATCCAGAGGGGTTCGGTTTGAATCACAGCATGACGGAGTGTGCCTGTGATCAGGACGGAGTCAGGAATTTGTTTCAAGTATATGGTATATTAAGGCCCCGTTTGGCATGCGTTTTGTTTCTACTGTTTTTATTTTTGGGTTACTACAGTGTTGATTTTGGAAACAAAAGAATGTTTGGTGCGACTTTATTTTATTTTACACAGTGCTAAAACACTTCGTGAACAGTGGCCCAAAACCAAAACACCAAAAAGTTATTTTTTCTTATTTTTACAAATGTTCATTGCCCAAAACCATATTTTGCATGTTTTTGTTTTTGACATTTCCAAAGTAAAACATCGTTCCTAAACGTGCTTTTGATTTTTTTTCCAAAACACTCCTACAGTAAAAACTATTGTTTCTGTTTTAGCCAAAAATAAAACGCATGCCAAACGGACCCTAAATTTAAAAAAAAAAAAAAAAAAAAAAAAAAAAAAAACTGGAATGTCCTTAAAAAGAATAATAAATAAATTAATTTGAAGAAGGAAAATAAATAAAGAATGAGAGAATTGTTTTGAATGATCCAGATTGGTTCGGTTTGGATTTAACATAATGAAGTAGAAAATTTAAAAAATTAAAATATGAGAACTTTGAAAGAAAAAAAGAAAAAAAATCGAATTTTATTTTAAAAAGGAGGGAAATGCAAATGTCTGCAAAGAAAAAAAAAATGGAAAAGGAAAAATTGAGATTTTTTATTTATTTATATAAAACTAATTTTAAGGGGCATTTTTGGTAATTTCATAAACCATATGCAATGCCAAAAAATTGAATGGGGCCACCATGGCCTAACTGGTTCTGGTCTTGCCTGGGGTTGGGTTGGATGGGTCATGGTCGGAGGAGTCTGTGACAACGTAGATAGCGCCGCCCTTGCCGCCGAGCGCGGCCTGGCCGAAGCCGATGGCGCAGTCAGCTAGGTGGGGGCGGTTGGTGGCCCAATTAGGGTCGCATTTCCAGCAGTCGTCGATGGGGTTGCCGGTGAGGCATGAGAGCTGGTCCTTTGATTCGGTGGAGGATAGTGTTTGTCTTCTGGATATAGATACATTGAGTCTCCTGTATAAAAAACACACAGAATAACGAACAACTTTGTTAAAAATGTATCACATACAGAAAAACAGAGCAGCTATATGTGAAATGTGTGTGAGAAAAGGAGAACAACTATGTGTGAATTATATAGACACAGAGAGAAAACAGAGCAACCCGGATTATAAATCCTTATAATAAGCAAAATCCAGATAAAATTTTCTGTTAGTTTTGTTCAAATGGAAAGAGGGAAATATCTGATAAAATTCTTAGTGTTTTGTATACACACGTAAACAGACAAAAACAGAACAACTATTTGTGAAAAATATGTAAACACAGAAAAAACAGAGCAACCCGGATTGTAAATCCTTTTAAAGATCAAAACCCAGAAGTATTTCTGTTTGTTTTGATAGAAATTTAGGTGGAAAGACAGGGAAATGGCTAATAAAATGTTATAATGGATGAAACCCAGATTGGGAATTCTATTTTTATATTGTTTATTTCTTGATTGAGCCTCTAAACAATGTGAAAAAACAGAGTGAGCAAAACCCATGATTTTGTTTTTTCCATCAATGTTTTGTGAAAGCAACCAATAACAGGTGTGAAAGTGATAGAATGAGCAAAACCCAGATGGAGGTTTGTGTGTTATGGTCATCGATGGAGGTTTGTTACCTTTGGATTTCTTGAACAACGGCTTCAGGGTTGGGGTGTGGATGGTGGGGGAGGGTGAGATTGTGGGTGGCTCTGACAAGAGGAGAGAGAGTGGTTAAGAGAGAGAGTAAGAGAATGCAGGTGGTAGAAAGCATCATTGAAGGAGGAGCAATAATGGAAAAGGGTACTATAAATTGTTAGTTTGTGTAAAAGTAATCGAGAGATGTCTTGCTCTTGAATGCTCACTCTGGAGGCTGCAAATTTTGGGGAAAATATATGATGGTGTGTCTTTATATAAATAATAAGATTGCATGAGATCATATACTATAATGCGAATAGTAATCAAATGAAAAATGTTTAACTCTAGTTCATGGTATATTTGAAAAGGAAGTAAGGAAGAGATTTTTGACGGCGGCTGATGGGGCCAAGCAAGGAGTGAGAGAGAGGAGGAGGGAGGAAATGGAAGAGGAGAGAGAAATCTCTCACTCTCTCTCCGAGGGAGGGAGGAAATGGAAGAGGGGAGAGAAATCTCTCTCTCTCTCTACTTCTCCATTGCAATACTTTTGAGTCACCTACATTCTTACCTTGTTATCTAATCTTTCTAGGGATTGATGAGGGAAAAGGGAATAGAATTTAGAGGGAGAATACATCCAGAATGAAAAGAATCCTGCTTTCTTTGGGGCAAGGAAATAGTGTTGCATGTGTTTTGTTCTTATTTTGACAATTATGTTTGTGTTTTGGTATTATTTTGACAATATGTTTGAGGCTCTACAAATCCTGTGCATTTCACATTTGGTGAGAAAAAGATAAATGAAGTTAGACACATGTGTCTTTTAATAAATTCTTTTTCCTTTCACACGTGGTTTGAATTTTGTATTTGGGTATTCTCGTAATTCAGCGAGTCAAAAATTTAGTTCCAGGGGCAGCTATTACAATAATGTGATAAGAAATTTTGAACCAAAATAATATATAGCAAAGAAAAGTTATTTTCTGAATTTTGATTTTTAGAAAATTTGTGGGTTTTTTTTTTTTTTTTTGTTAAAAAAAAAAAATTTGGATACTTGTTGGTAAAAGGAGTTTAAAAATGAGGGGTTGTTTTGAATTTTGAAAGTTTTTCTCAAGTTCTTTTGTATTTGCTTTTGGAATTCAATGAGATCTTTTCATCAATTTACTTTTCCCCTAAATACATATTATAAACCGAATCATGTAAATCTTTGGTGTCATTTCTTACTAAATATTTATTTACCTTTTAAGTATGTGCCTCTAATATTTCTTAAAAGCCTAAAGTATCTATGGACAAATACATAATATTAGAAAATCAAAAGAAATTGTGGAATTTCAACACATTATGTAGAATTCCAACACATGATGTGGAATTCAACAATGTTCAACAACGGTCATAATGATTTTGTAAACAATTCAACTCAAATTAAAAAGTTGGCTAAATGCACGCATGTTTCTCAAATTGCATCAAAAAGTACTACTCTAATACCCAAACCTATATACACACACATATATATATAGTATATTAATTAATTTTTTATTAAAAAAAGTAAAAGCATGACCAAAAAAAAAAAAAATGACCCATATTAAAAAATCGCTGCTAAGTTTTAGGGAAATATAAAACAAGAAAAATAGTAGCTTTAATTTTGGTGGAATTTCTTTTTCTTTTTGGATAAAAAATTTTGGGCGAATTAAAAGAACTACTTTAAGGGTGTCTTTTTCCTTAACCACTAACTGCGGAAAAGTAAACAGACTTAGAGATACAATTGAAATAATTAAACCCGTTATTAATATTTGATTGGGAAGGTTTTTGAATTTTGAGAAGGTGCAAAGTTGCAAACCAAACTTTATTATGAATTTGAAGGGACATGTGCCTTTCTTGAGTTAGGAGAAATGGATAAATCTTTTGTGAAAAGAAAAAGAAAGCATGATTTTTCGCTGTACTTTCATGTTTTTATGAGCCAGTTTGAACCCTTTTTGTGTCACCTTCTTCTTCTATTGACCTTAAAAGTTGCTGGACCGAGTCACATCTCACACACACACGCACGCACCGCCACTTTGGTCACCAACAGTTACTTAAAGGATTCTCCATCAGCAGGAATGGGAAATTCTGCAATGAGTCTAGCTCCTCTCTCACAATAAATAACAGCCATAACTTAAAATAACAAATGTGATACAAATCAACCATTACTTCTTTAGGCCAATGGTATAACCTTCCACTACAGGGAGGGTGAGAATCTACCATACTTTATGATATATTTTTAGTTGTTGGATTTGGTGGTGGGATCCACCTCCAACGACCGAGATACTCCAAGAATACGGTACCCTAAAAGTATTATAAACTTTCTCCTAGGGAGGAGATTCAGAAATTTGTTTCAGTTGGGGCCATTTTAAATAATAATGAGGGCATGAGTGAGAGAAGAAAAATATCAGCAGGGGCAAAAGATAAAGTTATGGGAACAATTATATATTTACCCAATGTTTTTAGGTAAAAATAAGAATTTTTAAAATTCGAGTGGAAGCACTTGCCCCCATTGGCCCTCACGTGGGCCAGTCCCTGAGGAGGGGGAGTTGGCCGTGCATAAATGTGTGTGTAATTACTTATCTGATTCAAAAATGTATTTTGAATTTTAAAGTTATCCCCTTTCTACACCATTAAGGAGTATTCATATATATAAGAGTCCATTTGGGGTCTGGTATTGTTGGAATAAATAAAATAATAAAAAAAGCGCTTTTATCATAGCTATCAAAAAATTGTGGTCATCAAAAAAACATGGTTGGTATTTGATGACATATTATAATAGGGTAAATTACACATACTTTCCCTATGGTTTGTCATAATTATAGGGGCCTCTTTTGTAATTTGAAAAATTACTCGAATCTCCCCTAAAAATGAAACTAACTTGCACCGATCTCTCTTCTGTTACGGTCAACGCGAGTCAATGACAAATTTTGTTGATGTCATGTACTGAATAAATTGAAATTTCAATATTACCCTTTGTCATCTCCTTTTTCACACATACAGAAGGGTACTATAATCATTTACCATAACAAATTGAGGATATTTCAGTAAATTAGATAAATTTGTGAGTGCATTTGACAGCCAGTTACTAGGAAGGGAGGTCCGAGTAATTTTTCAAACCATAGGGGAGTCTCTATAAATATAACAAACCATAGGAGAGGTCAGTATAATTTATCCATTATAATAAGTACTTTTTACAATTAAATTAATTTTTAATTTATTTGTTTACACTTTACTTGCTAATTTTTGATAATATTCTTTAATAACATTTTATTATATTTGATAATAGTAACTTTATTAAGAAAAGAGTATAATTATTTAAAAAAAAAAAAAATTTTAATGAAAAAAAATTATCTAAAATATTCAACTTCCCGAACTATTATCAAATACATTTAAAAGTAATTTTTTTATATAATAAAAACACTTCTAAACAATACAGAAACAATCCTCAACAAAGAAACGCTGGTCCAAAGCAATCCGGTACGTCACATGACACACGACACAAGTTCTCCATTGGGGATGCATCTGATTCAAATCCTACCACACCACACCACACAGACACAGGTGCTAACGCCTACCCTTTAAAGGTTAAAAAAGTACATAATGGCGTCCATGATTTCTGAGTATATAGGGCTCAAACATTGATGTTTCCATAATAAAGTTCATTGATTCAATTTACAAATGATTTGTAATTATTACCGCAAAACCCGCACATGCATTGCGTAAACTGTAAGTTTTAATTTATATTTTTTTATTACCGCATAACCCGCACATGCATTGCGTAAACTGTAAGTTTTAATTTTTTTTTTATTTTTATAAATTAAAAGTATGCATATAGTAATTGGCATATCCAACCAATTTACGTGCACCATTTAAGTTGATTGGTCTCACATATTCGTAATAATTTATCCTTAACCAATTTGAATAGCCCATTTTGATTGATCGGGCACAACAAGTCCGCGCCCTAATCGATATAAATTATTTTTATTTTTGTTCTTTCAAATAGGAAGGGAAAGATCCAAATTCTATAGTAGGTATTTGTGATCGAGTTTATGTATATAAATTATCTAAGCGAAAAAAATAAAAAAATAAACTAAGATTTATTTCTAGCTTATAATTATTTATTTGGTGATGAAAAAAATTAGAAGGGAAGGTAAGAGGGATAAGAAAGTTTTATTTATTTATTTTATTTTCTTCTTTCATTTCTTTTCGTAGAAAGGAAATGAGGAGCCAATTCATTGTTAAGTCTATAAAATTAAGGTTTCTTGAAATATATATAAATAGAGTCGTGATCTCTTATTCCCATGGAGTAAGAAAATTTATTCGTATATTCTATTGAGACTATTAGATTTAATCTAACGGTCATTATAGAAACCTACCTATATTCTTTCTTCTTAATACAAAACCACCCTCACTATTTCTAGCTTCCAAATTTAATATTTATCAAACCACTAATTACAATAATAAAAGGTAATTACTCAAAATATATATATATATATAGAAATCTCTTCACCTTTGAAAATAATGTCTCTTTCAAACAAAGACTTACAAGAGTATTTTCTCTTTCTTTCTGCACGTCACTTCAGTCGCATAAAATTTAATGGATTAAAATATCTTTTTTTATTATTTTTTTTCTTGTCTCTTGTAATTTTTTATTTGAGAGAGACGAGATTTCCAGAGATGAAGAGGTTTCAATTTTTTTTTTTTTTTTGAGTAATTACCTTTTATTATTATAATTAGTAGTTTTGGTAAATATTAAATTTATAAACTATAAATAGTAACAATGGTTTTGTATTAAAATGAAATGATATAAGTAAGTTTTTATAATGACCGTTAGATTAGATCTAATGGTTACTATAGGAAGTGCGGATGAATTTTCTTGCTATTATTTCTCTCTATATATATATAATTAAGGTTTCCAATGTTTATCTATAAAAAATTAATTCAATTACTGAAACTTAAACTAACCAAAGAGCTCTTGCTTGGTTTGAAGTCTAAAGTCATTCTAATTCTATACATGTAATCAAGTTATTTTATGCACCTAAATTAATAAAATAAAATGTAACAAATTCGCATCCAATTGTATTGCATATGAATACGAATTGGGTTTTAGATAACGATTTAACACTTTATACTTTATATAAAGTGTATACACACACTATATACTTTATAGTGCTAATGTGTAGATAAGAAGCAAAGCGTTTATGCATTGCCTCGAGACAGAAAAAGAAGCAAAAGACGGCCGATGCTAAAGTACAATTCAAAAGTATATATGATACTTTCTTTGCTCAATTAAAAAAGGAATCAAATTTAAATCCAATGGATAAAATAAAGAAAACCCGTTTGGCTTCCAAGAAAATGGACTAAAAACAATAGAAATGAAAGAAAAATAAGTTCCTTATAAAGTACCAAATCGAATCCTTGAATTATTGAAATTGTTAAATTCTAAACATAGCATTAAGAAAATGGAGGATGGAAATGAAAGCGAATAGATTTAAGTATTTAACACTTTTAATACCGTGCATAGTAAAATATTGTGATTAATAAATAAAAAAATTATATGACCATTTCCTACTAGTCATGAGTTGAGATCCACTACAATAGCAACATGTATTTATATAATAAGGGCTGATTGCACGGTACTTATACAATAAAGGACGGTTGTAATCACTCGCAGGTGTAAAAGGATCACACATGTAAGTTACTAAATTAGTCTCCCTTATTGTACAACGTTGTGTTGTGGTCCAAAGGAGTGTCCTGAAATTCACTTTTGAGTTGCATACAATGCTGAATCTCTCCTTGAATGGCTTCCTTATCACCATAAGAATTAATAGCACTGTCATACGCAAGACATCTTGCCAATAAGAAAGTGGACATTTTGCCAAGAAGAAATTGAACTTAAGTTGTTTGTACTAATGTGCTTGATCTAACTCTTTCGTATGAGAATATATACAATGTGTTCGGTGCATCGATACATTATAGTCGTTTGTATCTACAGGCACATATAGAATACGAACGATTATGACATGTCCGACGCATAATATACCAAACATATCGAATACTTGCTCAAGATACTCTTGTATAGGACCATAAATCACTGCATCTAAGGAGTACTCAAAACGAATTAATGAAGTACATGGGGTTGATTAAGCTTCAATAATTACCAAAGCAACTTTTGCTCTCAAAAGCAAAATCAAAACTATAATTTAGGAAGGTTATCCACTTTTGAGAAAGATTAGGGACCTTTGTCATTCGATCCCAAAGTTATCTCAAGACACTCAAAACTTGTGTTCACAAGTTGAGTTTTTATCATTATACACAACATATTGCACATATACATGTACATATGTATGTCAAGATTTTCGATAGAGAATAAAATTTGATTCATTAAAGGAAAATGATAAAAGCTAGCCCAATTTCGTATTTTTACTGATTGATGAGTCATTCATTTATTAAAACACTTTGAAAGTTAAAATTTTTTATCTTTATTCATCACTTATTAACATTCTTTTATTCGATGGATCGGCGGATTTAGTAGTTCTCTCTATTAAAATATTAAAATATTATATCTTAAAGAAAGGGATAGTTTTTGTCATTTATTTCTTGGAAAGACTTTTCCAACTTTAGTAAAACGGTATTAATCAAAGTAATGGTTGTCGTAATGCAATTGGTTTAATGACAATTTTTCTTCAAGAAAAGGGAAGAAAAATGAAATTAAAATGAGATTTGATTTCTTAAAACTTGTAAACCAATCAAATTATACAAGGAATGAATGCCTTACGTGAATTTACAGAAATGTGGTAGCTTTCATAGAAAGAGAAAGCTTGTTTTTTATGTATCGATAATGTCAAGTTTAGTAGTTATAAAAATAGTAAATACAACCACAATTGGAGGCTTTCGATTTTCCTTCTCCCTGGTGGCTTCAAGCCATTGTCAAATTATTCCTCTCTCTCTCTCTCTCTCTCTCTCTCATTTTCAGTCTACAAAAACTTATTTCGTTAAAATACTTTTCGAAAGTTATTTTAAAAAAATTATTTTTTATAATTTTCTGAAAACAATTTTTTAGTTCTCAAAACTGTTTTTGAAATTTTCTCAATTCTTTTTAGAGCCACCTTATATTTTTAATATGTTGAATGCATGTTTGAACTTATTAAAAGTTTATAAGTTTACTACTTACAAAAAGAAAAGGAACTTGTAGTTTATTAAATCAAATGATTATTACTGGCCATTGAAACTGTTGCGAAATTAAACAAAAAAAATAAAAATAAAAAATAGATCAAATACATATAACAAGAACACACAATTTTTTATTTAGTTCACCTAAAATTAAGGTTAGGTCCATGGATTGCAAGAAGTTCAATATGATAATCAAAACAACACCAAATAATACATAGAGTTCATAATAAATAAATACGTTATACTAGGGTAACATAACAAGTGCAAAAATTATCAAAATACCCCTAAATTGGATCCGCTGAATTGAGCCTTGGTGTACAGGGTATCTTTTAGGCTCCACACTACCCATCAAAAATTTGTATAGTATATTGTGGGAAAATAAAATGAAAAACACCTTTAAAAAAAAAACAAAAACATAAACATAGTAGTAATATATATATATAACAATATTTGTTTATACCTTATATGATTGTATATCATGAAAAATACTTTAATGTTTGATATCATGGTATTACCAACTGATTAATTTTTGACACGTAATAATAGAACTCACTATAATAAATATATTTTTATTTATGTGACAAGAGATAATTAATTAGTGCAAGAAAATCTTTCTCAGGCTTCAATTAGACTGGGTAGTCCATCATCATCATGACTTCAATCTGAAGTCTAGCTAAAAGTCTAGTGTTACTCTGATGTTAGGTTTGTAACGTGGACCTCACTAAAAAGTACTCTAAAGAATCTTCTCAGGCCTGCAACAGGTTGGGTTGGGCTACAGTCCAATGGATTAGGTGTGGCTGTAAATTTAAAGGATCAAGACCCAATTCAGAAAGTTGATATAATAGTGACTGGGCCAAGGTCCAAAAGAAAATTGTAGTTTACTTAAAACAAAATTCTGAGGTTGGGTTAAAAAATATCGACTCAAAGTCCTTACTAAAAAGTACTACCATAAGGTATCTTCCGAAGCCTGTAACAGGTTGGGTTGGGCTAAGCCCAAACAATGGACTTTCCTTGAATCCAACCCTGGATAAGAGTTGAAAATAGAAAACAAAAAATGTTTCGCATATATGTTAGCTGTTTTTATTTTGATTAAACTGATTCCAAATAGGTTAACAAAATTTTATGCTATGAAATTATATTATGACAAAATCAGTTGTACCTTAAAAACAAAAAACAACTATTTGCTGAGTATGTTGCCCAATCAATTTTAAGCACAGACAATTTGGAGGAGAAATTTTTTGATAACCATTTTGTTTTGCGTTTCTGTTTTCATCTTAAACAAAAATAACATTTTTGTTGTGGAGTTTATTCAATGGTGATTGGAAGCATGTTTGGTAATGTAAATTTTATTATAAGATTTTTAGAAGCAAAAAAAATAAGAAAATATGTTTGGTAAAAAAAAAAAGGTTGCAACATTGAGAAACAAAATGCCTAGTTAAAAAAGGCCTTATTGATTAGTCTCACGGGCTGTCTCTATTTATATGGAAGCAGCAGGAGTCTGTCGAGACTCCTGATTAGAAAAGTTAAGAGTCTCCTCATCATACCGAATCAGAGCCTTGGTGAGATGGGCTATTGCCAAATCCATATATCGTGTTTTTGCAAACTCTAAGTCACATAATTCGTGTTTTTGCACTCCACGCGCGAATTTGCTAATCCAGAGCATCCATTCAATGGTTGTAACCTGTGCGTGCATTCCACTTCCCTGACTAGAGACATTCCCTATATTTGGTTACAAGTACATGAATACAAAAATAAATTCTATACAAGGTTAATCTAACTATTTGGCAACTTTTTGTTTAAGTATAAAAATTCGCTACATTATATATATAATTCTAAATATATTATCAAAAGGCAATTTCTATTAATTATAAGAATATAGAGAAAATAATTTTTAATAAATTGATATAATGAGAAAAGTATAAATGCATATGCAGACGTTCTCGAGACTCTCCCGCTTTCAAATATTTTAGATTTTGACACTCTCGTAACTCCTCTTCTGCCCTACGTAACTTAGCACAAACTTTGAAAAAATGAATGTTATCAAATAAGTGTCGTTTTAAAGAATTGGAGTCCCATGTGTGCACTCTTGCCTCCAAGTCAAAATAAAATAATTTTATGGGTCTGCCACAATCCATCCATCCAAAACTCCACAACAATCTATGCAGACAATTAGGACCCGTTTGGCATGCGTTACGGTATTATTTTTCTCACATTGATACTTAAATTTGGGCCCATATCATGTTTGGGATGGCTGATATTAGTTTGAAGTAGTTCATAACATATCTGATTTTTTTGCCAAAATTCATATCACCAAATTGGTGGTAACGTGTGTTTTGACATTGTAACAAAGAAACTAAAGCAAAATTTTGAATTTCTGAAAACAAATTTCCGTTACCACATATAGTTGTGATGTTTATCCAAAACAATCATACAACAAAACTAAGTGTTTTCATATTGACAAAAAACATAACGTCTAAAACACATCGCATGTTAAACGGACCCTAATGATTGAAGCGTAAAAATGATTGGGTCTCATTAGTTATATTAAATTATATATATATGTTAAATTATAGTGACACTTTAAGTTAGTTTTTATTTTTTTTATTTTAAGAATGATGAAATTTTCATTATCCTTATTTTACAATTTATGTTGGCATTAGCGGTTGCCAAGAAGAGACGGACAAGGATAACGAGAATTTGACTTTTGAAATTTGGGACCGGTTTTATGTCAATGACTACGAAATCGACCGAGAAGAAGAATTTAATATTATTGAATTCAGTTTATTTAAAAACATAATTGATTAAAGTCCTAGAGTTGATTCAATTGATCATAGTATAACGATTGTGGTGAAGTCAAAGCCGTAAGACTTTTACTGATCATTTAATTTAGTTTAGTTTGTTTTAGTTAATACCCTTATTAATTTTTGCACATAAAATAGTATAAAATGTCTAAATTACCCTTGCACTTTTAAATAGTTTTTTATAGGCTTTTTAACTTTTTAATAAATAGATCCGCGAACTTAAATTGACGTTCAGCACGTGAGAGTCATTGGGCTGTCTTTCTACGTGCCAAAGTTTAGGCTCGGATGGTCCCTAGATATTCAAAGTGGGTTCGGATTTAGCTTCGGGAAGCCGTTGGCCTCCTAAGCTCTCTATTCTTCTCCATTTCGACATTTTCCCTCGACTATCTCAAATTTGCTCCGCAGCGTCTTAATTCTAGAGAGAGAGTGAGAGTTAAGAGAGAGAGACAGAGCCCTAATCGGGAATTCTAGAGAGAGAGGGAGAGTGGTAAAGCTCAGAGAGAGAGAGAGAGAGAGAGAGTGTGTGTGTGTGTGGAAAGATTAGGGTTTTTCCTGATGTCGGCAACGGAAGGTTTCTTTGTTCTTGATTTAGAGAACAGAGTAGTCGGAGGTATTTTTTTCTTGCTGCCCTAATTCTCTGCATTTCTTCGTCTTGTCTTTATTTTATCTTCTCAATTTTCGCAAATTATTCTCTAAAACCACAAATACCCTAAAAACCACATTTTCTTTAGTTTTGACTATTTGTTTGTTTGTTATTGTAAATTTCATGTCTCTAGGTTAATTGAGACTTGCCCATACGATTAGCATTTAATATTGTGTTGGAATTTAATTTACCGACTACCTTTTTTTTTTTTCTTGTTTTATTTTTTGTTTTTTATTTTTGCAATTTTGGTAATTTCTGGTTAGCTGAGATTTTCCCTTATGGTTATATCTGTGAAATGTGCTATAGTCTATTTCTGGAGTACCCACTTGGGTTTTATGGCTTTATGTGAAATTAGGAAATATATATATTTACATAATAACGCCACAAGGTATAGCCACTTAAGGATAACCCAGATTGGAGTTCAAGGGAAATTACTTTGACTCATACTATTAACGTTTCATATTGTGTTAAAATTTAATTTCCCGACTACCTTTAGGGTTTGTAGTGCTTTTTTTCTTATTTGTTTTTTGCAATTTTGGTAGTTTCTGGTTTGCTGAGATTTGCCCAAATGGTTGTATCTGTGAAATATTACAAGCTCAAATGTGCTATAGTGTATTTCTCGAGTACCCACTTGGGTTTTATGGTTTTATTGGAAATTTTTAAAAAACACCAAAATTATTCATATTATAATGCCACAGGGTATAGCCACTTTAGTATAACCCAGATTGGAGTTCATGGGTTTGTCGTGCTTTGCTAGGGTTTGTATTGCTTTTTCTTGTTTGTTTCTTTGCACATTTGGTAATTTCTGGTCAGCTGAGACTTGCCCATATGGTTATACATGTGGAATATTACAAGCTTGAATGTGCTATAGTGTATTTCTCGAGTACCCATTTGGGATTTGTGGTTTGGTTTGAAATTTTAAAATAAAAATAAAAATAGAATTACTCATATTATAATGCTACAGGGTATAGCCATTTTAGGATAGCCCAGATTGGAGTTCAATGGAAATCACTTTGAGCATATAATACCAAAGATTAGGTATTTCCCAATCTGTCTCTCCCAGCAACCCCTCCGTTGACAGGAACCGGCACGAGATACTTTAATTGCAATTACTTTAGGTTAAACTGAGACTAGCCCATTTTATCAGCTTTGTATAATTGCATGATTGAATTTTCTAGTTTGTATGATTGCATCATTTCTCAAGTATCCATCAGAATTCAGTACCCTAAAAGCCTAACATGTTGAGTTGTGCAATTATTTATCTTTTAACTTTCCCTATCGTCGTTAGGTTAGTTGAGGGTTACTCATCATTGTCTTTGCAGAATCAGTTGATTAAATTTATATCCCGTGTTGTCAACTTTGTTTCTCAATTACCTGTCAATTGTTACAAGCTCTTGTTTGTTTAGTGAATGTAAGTTTGGTATTTATATCAGATAAGGGCAAAGTAGAGGGAACAACAAAGGGGTCTTCTGGAGGTGGAGCAAGACAAAAACTTGGCAACATCAGCAACTTGCCACAAAGACCTAAACCCTCGACCCAAGATGAGAAGTCACAGATTATTACAACTAGTAAAGAGTATGTTGACCAGCTCCAGAAGGTATGTTTGTATTAAATTGATATTTTTGTTGAAGGTTTTGTGGTGTTCATGTTTTAGCTTAGTGCGGTTACCTGAAACTGTGATGCAGGAAAATATGGCGCTGATGAAGCTTCTAGCAGATAGAAAGTATCCTTTTATGAATCAATTCATCCTCATTGGACATTGATTAATATGTTTTATCTGCAAATTGCTAGTTGCATTCTGGCCTTATGACATCTTCTGTTATGGGTTTCTTAATCTAGTTTGACAGCAAAATTATCGAATTGAGTGGATTTGAGTTACAGAAACTGAGAGTCAATTTGCAGAAAGTACAACAACAAAACTGGCAACTTGCTCAAGCAAACAGCCAGATGCTAGCGGTCTGTTCTCTTTATTTGAATATGAAAACTTCTCATTGTTGTCAAAATTTGTAGTAATTTTCTCTGAATATTGTATTCTTAGTAATGTTTATTATATTATTCCTTTAATCACGCAGGAACTCAATTCTGGGAAAGATAGGGTAAGCTTTAACAGGTTTCTAAATTGCTAAATGTTGTTTTCGTCTATTTTATATCCAAGTCACTAGATATGCTTTTCTTTTATGTCCTTGTAGTTCTTCTGTGTTTTATGGTTTCTGCTAATTTGCAATTGGGAATTGGTTGATTTCAGCTAAAAGTACTACATCATGAGCTTGGATGCAAAAACTCCTTGCTTAAAGCAAAAAAAATTGAATTGGAGGTCAGTTTGGTCTGTATCTTTTCTTTACCAGCATGCAGGTGAGATCCATCTGAGTATGTACTGTAGACTAACACTCCGTCATTTTCTCAGGAGAAAGCAAAAACGAGAACATGTCAAAAAATTGGTAGTGAGGTATTATTTAAGCAAGTCTTGTCTGCGTTTTCTCGTTTTTTTCTGTTCAAAAAGGTCTTTGTTTTAGCATTTTGTATATTTACTCTTTTCTGTCTTCGCTGTCTTAAGGTGGAAATGACGAGGTGTGAGGAAGAGTCTTCACAAGCAGTTGGTGAATACAATAAACCTTGCAATACTAACAGGAAGCAACGATCAAAAAGTCAGTGCAATCACCGGATTAAAAAAAAAAAAAAAATCCCTTTTGAAACTAAAGAAACTGATTCATTGTAGTAACGTTTAATTCTCTTAACACTTGCAGGTCTGGGCCCTTCAACTACTAAACAGGTTCAAGTCAATGAGAAATCTGAAAACAAAAGGTTTGTTGGTAAATGTTGCACAATATATGTTAATGTTTCCCTGTGTTTTTGGTGTCAGAAGTATTTTCAAAGAATTGAAAGAAATATATCAATGCTCTTTTTATTTTCTTCTCAGGCTCTGTTTGAGAAGGCAATCTGCCAGATTTAAATGTGAAGAACCAGAACGTACTGAAGACTTGTTTGAGCTAGACAATGCTGAATTTCCTATATGTTCTCTGGGTGATGATAAAATGCAGGAAGATGGTTCAGCTTCCATGAGTTCATCAGTCAAAAAAGAAGATACAGAAGGAAATACTGCCCCGAGAGATGAAGCTCGAGAATTTCGAAGATCATCTATAGGGAGGCCTTCACGCCTAGCAGTCAAGAAGGTTAATTCCTACAAGGAAGTTCCCCTTAATGTGAAAATGCGCAGACTTGAGTGAGTCAAATCTCTACTGCACAACTGATGCTGGGGTGTGTTTAGAAACCTGAAGGCCTTTAACTCCTACTTTGTTCTTTCCTCACTGTTAACATTTCAAACTGGAATATTTTCTTATTATCATCTGCGGATGATAAGTAAGAAATACAGAAATGAACATGTTTTTGTATCAATGAGCTGCATTTCTTTCTTAACTTCTTACTGTTTTCTTTCCCGTGAAACAACTTTTCTAGCTCTTCTTCATTTGGTATATTGTTTTGAGCTCCATGAATTTTGACTGCTAATGTAGTATATAGGATTTCGGACTGGAGCATCTTCTTTTCTTATATCTGCAGATGAGAATAAACAAGGACAAATTTGCTAGTTGCCTCATCCCTAGTCCTTTTGCCAATCGCCTCATCGGTTGTGAAGTTACTCTTGTGATATTCAAGCTTTGACACCCAGTGTATTAGGTGATCAATCCCTTGCTATCGCGCCCTATTGTCTCCCAAGCCCAGTTTCTGGGTGATAATAGGACACAACGGAAGCAAAAAAAAGAAACAAAACAGCAATTCAAACCACAACACAAGATATATACGTGGTTCACCCAAAATCAAGGTTACATCCACGGATGAAAAGAGATTCACTGTATATGTAGAGATATTACAATAGTAGAGAATTTCAACACCGGACTATGTACACAAACTCTTGACCGAGTTCTCCGTATACTCCACGAGACTCCCTCTCGCCATCAGTGTTCACTCTACCAAACCCGTAACTCACCTCTACGACTTCTTCATGAGGTTATATCTCTCTCAACTCATAACTCTCAATAATAGCCTAAGTGTCTATTTATAGAGTCACATACCCAATTCCTTTGTGGACAAGGATTACAATTTCTTAAAGCCCAATTCACGTCTCTATAAGAAATTACCATAAAATTACACTCTAAAATAGAAACTAATAATAATGGGAATTTGAGATATAATTCCTAACAATGTCTACCTTGGCTCAAATTCCATTACGTCAATCACGCTTCTTATGGCAATTGAATCTGGACAATTCTCTGCAACTTCAATCTTCGAGATCTTATTGCAGAACTCGGATTATCCCCTCACTATACGTTGCTCAATCAGTCAAACCCCAAGGCTTCACTTTGACTACTCAAGCTCCATGCCATGTAATCAAGCCGATTGACTCCACCTACAATTGAAGCCCGTTGTAGCACATGTTGAGACTTCTTGTGTTTTCTGGATCTCCTTCACCTTTGGCTTTGATACTAGTTGTTGGGGCACAGCGGAAGCAAAAGAAATAAAGAAAACAATAATTCAAACTACAACACAAGATATATTCGTGGTTCACCCAAAATCTCCACTATCAATAAACAAACACAGCGTAATAATTCTTCTCCCTATATGTAAGCAAATATAATATATCTCTACTTTTATATGTGCTAAAAATAATAGAGAACAAATCAATCACACCAAGCTACAAGAACACAAGCAATTTTTTCGTGGAAAACTTCCCCAGTGTGAGGAAGAAAAACCATGGGACCTAGTTCAGTTAAAATCTCCACTATCAACCAAATAATGGGTACACAAAGTCTTCTCTAATAGCAATTAGAGGCTACAAAACATCTCATCAAGATAGCAACAATCTTGACAAAAAACAAAAAGAATTGGAGAGAAAAATACCAAAACCCAGTTACTGTTTATGGGCACGAATCACTGGTCCCGAGCTCAAAATCCGATCTTCACCATTCAGATTTTAACTTATTGAGTCATGAATCTCTCTTCCAAATTTCAGCTCGATCGGACCACGGACGAAGCAGGATCAGACGTTTGATGAAATCTGGGCAGAATAGAAATAGAAAAACCTGCGTTTTTCTACCAAAACCCGGTTCCTGTTCACGGGCACGAATCACTGTTCCCGAGCTCAAAATCTGATCTTCACCGTTCAGATTGTGAATCACTGAGTCATGAACCTCTCCTCTAAATTTCAGCTTGATCGGACCATGGACGAAGCGGGTTCGGATGTTTGATCAAACTTGGGCAGAATGGAAAAACCTGCGTTTTTCTTCTCTTTTTTCTTTCACTTGCGGCTAACCTCTCTCTCTTTTTATACTAACTTTCTTAGGGTTTTCTTTTCCCTAAAAGCTGGGCTTTGGGCTTTAAATAAAACCCACTTAGGCTTTCCTCCATATAGAAGGAAATAAATCCAACAAATCTCTCCCTTTCCGACTATGTGGTGGGAATCGCCATCCCGGCGATCGAACAACAAACTTCAAGCTTCTCTCTTAGTAATGTCTTTGTCAACATATCAGAGCCATTATCATCAATGTGAACCATCTCAAGTTCATGTAACTTATTGTTCAAGGCATCTCTGACTGTGAAGAGGATCCCTGTGTTTTTCTTCACATCTCTTCATTTAGCAAATAACTTTTGGCTATATCCATTGTGATTACACCTTATGGAGCGGAGTTAGACAATGAAGTTCTAAGCGTCTCCCATGAGTTCGGTAATGAACCAAGTAACCATAATCCTTGTATCTCATCATCAAATTTAATACCCATTCCAGCCAGCTGATTAATAATTCCTTGGAATGTATTCAAGTGATCAGATAAAGGAGTCCCATCCTGGTATCTCAATGCCATCATCTGCTTAATCAGAAACAATTTATTATTTCCAGTCTTTCTAACATATAGCTGTTCAAGCTTATTTCATAGAGAAACGTGCATTCGTCTCTCCACTAATATGGTTCAAAACATTATCATCTACCCACTGCCTAATATACCCACACACCTGTCGATGTAACAAAGTCCATTCTACATTAGACTTGTTTTCTGGTTTTTCAGCACTAAACACCGGTTGGTAATAATCTTTCACATAAAGAAGATCCTCCATTTTTCCTTTCCATATGTGATAATTTGAACCATTGAGATTAATCATTCTACTCGTATTTGCTTCCATAACTCAAACTGCCAACCTGGCAATCTGTCAACCTGGGGCTCTGATACCAATTGTTGGGGCATAGCGGAAGCAAAAGAAAGAAACAAAACAACAATTCAAACCACAACACAAGATATATACGTGGTTCACCCAAAATCAGGGTTACATCCACAGATGAAAAGAGATTCACTATATATGTAGAGATATTACAATAGTAGATAATTTCAACACTGGACTATGTACACAAACTCTTGACCGAGTTCTCCGTGTACTCCATGAGATTCCCTCTCGCCATCAGTGTTCACTATACCAAACCCGTAACTCACCCTTACGACTCCCTCATGAGGCTGCATCTCTCTCTACTCATAACTCTCAACAATAGCCTAAGTGTCTATTTATAGAGTCACGTACCCAATTTCTTTGTGGACAAGGATTACAAATTTTTAGAGCCCAATTCACTTCTCTATAAAAATTTACCATAAAATCACATTCTAAAATAGAAACTAATAATAATGAGAATTTGAGACATAATCCCTAACATTAGTCTCAGAGAAAATACACACACACACATAGATGGAGCTTGTCCTTAGATGATGAAGTAGTAAGGTTACTAGAAGAGAGGTAAGGTAGGCATAGGAGAAATAGGAAGAACTAAAAGAAGATATCCAGGTGGGTGGACATAATATCTCCCAAATCGAAGAGATTTTAGTGTTGATGATGTGGTTTAAGGTATATTGATATCACACATCATATGTTTAATCTAAATTGAGCATTAGGTACAATTTGAGGTGAGTATGTTGGTGAAACATGTCTCAGAATGATTTGTTTGTCCCCACACTTTTTCAGGTTAAAGGGGGTTAAAATGATTATTACCATAGTAAACAAATATTATCCAATGTTGGTTATGCCGTAGCAGAATTCTGGAAAGGGAGAATTCGAAACTTTTATAAAGCTACTACTTTGAGACTAAACAATGTTAGACTGCTAAACCTAACAATCACCTATTATTATTAGAAAAATGATATTCAGGTAGACTAATTAAGTCTATTTTTGAAAGTAAAACTATTATGACATTTGATAAATAGGCTTAACTAGTCCGCGTAGTTCATGTCCTTGCTTGGGTTGGATCCATCATGGTAGGAAGCTAATGGACCCTGGGATTGCCCTGAAAACAGTTGGTTTGAACAGGTCAAATAGAAACCGTTATTCTTTTTTTTTCTCTTAAAAAGCAGTGTCTCCCAAAAGAGCTCATTCATGACCCTACCATTATCCTCCCTTCTCTGACTAACAAGAGAGAGAAACTTTTTCATAAGCCAAAGATTTTTCTTTCATTTACACAAGACATGGTTTAAATCTTGTGGTCCGTTTCAGACTGATCAAGTTATCACTAAATTAAGACAACAATCTAAAAATATATGAAAAATGACAAAAGTGAGGATGGGTGTCTCTGTGAACCACCATACCACAGAATTTTTGTGAACCACTCAGTTGAGAAAATATAATATATATATATATATATTAATTATTAGGTTATATGGATTATGGAATCCATCTTCCTCCCTTTTAATAATAGTCAAAAAGAAACATTAAGCATATACACTCAAAGCAAAAAAAGGTTTCAAGAATCAAATGGCTTTAATCATTACATTATAGTATTACCCTGACCTTTCCTTTATCTGTCTAATCTAATTATCCAACCAAATAGATTAATAATAACCAACATGGGTCTCACTTATCCCACTTCATATGAGTACTCAGTTCATGAGGCATCCCAACTAGTAAGTAACACAGGTTTCAATTTTTTAATTCCAAGTCAAGTGTGCTTTCTTGGGCAAATAACTATTGATTAGCCTAGATGCCCTAGATTTAATTAAGATCAGTAATTTGATTCCAGTGGTAGGATTGACATCCATTACACATTTTGGAGGATCAGAGCAAAATACGTTATTTAAAAATTAAGAAAAAATCATAAAAAAGTTCTATCAAAATTCAAGAATTGGTGTCTCAGAAAGCAACAGGTCTAAGGGTCAAATCCTCTTGGATGTAACAATTTCTTGAAAGGGGTCTGTACTTTTAAGAAGAAAAAAAAAAAAAAAAATTACATAAGCAAAATAAATAGATTTATGCTAAGAAAAAAAGAAAAAGGTAGTATACGTTATTGTCCCGTAATTCAAAATAATTGTAAATTTCACAGTCAAATAATTTAATTTATTTTATTTTATATATATATTTTTTTTACTTCAGAGAGCAAATTTGGTTTTTGACTCAATCAGTGTAGAAGCTAAAATAAAATTGGCAAATTTGATTGTATACAATAATACCTTCTGCATTTTTGGGGATTGAAACCATCAATCCCCAATTTCAACAACAGTTTGGATTGCTTTCACACACGTGCAAATGCACGTGCCTTCTTCAGTTTGTTTAATATGATCAAGAGGGTGCTTATATGAAGGGGGTTTCAGTCCTCAACTTTAGTCCACATTCCCTCCAAAAGCATAAAGATATGCACTAAGCATATAGAGAGGCCTTTTCATGCTTTTGGCCTTTTGTGTCTTTGTTCAACCCTAGTGTCCCATGTAAAAAAAAGCTAAAACACAAGTAGTTGAATCTTATAAGAAGTGAGAGAACCAAACATTCACATCTCTCTGTCTCTCCTCTGATTTTTGATTCAACCAAGTACAAGAAAATGGAGGATCAATGTAGTCCTCTTAGCTGGTCTTGCTACTACCAAGAAGAGGTAACACATCTCCTACCTGACACTATCATTTTATCAACTCTCGTGAGCCTAATTTGAGGCACTAATAGGCATTGTTTGTTTTTGTACTTTTTTTAACAGGGGATTGATGAATTGAGACACTCTCTCTTGTACACCACTTTGGAGCTAGAGAGAACAATTGTATCTGCTCATGAAGAAATCACAAGAAAAGAAGATGAAATCGTCCATCTCAAATGTCTCTTGACAAAGATAATCAAAGAGAAAGATGAAGCTCAAGAAAATTTCCAAAAGCTAGCTTTCGACAACAAATTGTTACTTCAACAACAACTTCAACAACAGAAAGAGCTAGAACAACAACAACTAGAAGCTGTTCCTTTGTCCGGGACTACTAGCAATGAAGACGAACCGGATTGCGATGAAAACATCATTGCATCTCCACCATTACCACCACCACAAGTGGCTGAAGAATTGTTGCCGGTGCCCAAAAAGCCATTGCCAGAAAAGGGTAAGTTTTTGCAGGCGGTGATGGAGGCCGGTCCACTTCTTCAAACCCTGCTGCTGGCTGGAGCTCTCCCTCAGTGGCAGCACCCACCACCTCAACTCAACTCCATTGAGATCCCACCGGTGTCCATTTCATCTCCGACACCACGGCTTCAGCATCAGGACTCTTGTTGTACTAGTACTAGTGCTGCTTGTTTCAGTAGGAAAAGGGGTTTGGTGTACCATTGTGAAGGCTCTGATTCTTCTCCCAACTCCAACTATCAAAAGGTTGCTCACACCAGTCTCCATTGACCATTGGCTAGTAGTGCTTCACATAATTTCTCACCATGTCCATCATTTTCATACTGTTAAAGATGAAAAGGCAATCAGTATGAAATGGACTTGTACAATAGTTTTCCTTCAAAACTAAGATTCCTAACCTCCAAGAGAAAGGGTTAAAGTGTATTCAAAGCCCTTTTTAGTCTTTCTTACGTTGGATTCAGACTTTTTTTATTTTTGTTTTTTAATTTTAGTATGACTACTCTAATTTCCATGTAGAATGTGAATTGGGGGAACTGAAATCTCCAAAAAATGGGGAATTTCATATGAATATATTATGTTTAATTAGAAAATATATATATATATATATATATATATATATATATATATGCAAGTGTATCTTGGTAGATTATGATGCTGTGGGCCTTTGATCATAATTAAGGTGGAATTAAAGTTGTGTTTGTTGTGTTATTACATCTTACTTTTGTGTCCCATTGGATTAAAGTTGAATGATGATGATGCTATGTATGACCTTAACCAGCAATCAAAGATCTTCCCATGGATCTTCCTTTTCTAGTGTACCTACCATGCATGGTGTGTGTCTGCCATTAAAATGGCTTATAATTAGAGCCATTTCAGTTTCAAGCAGCAAAATGAAAGTGAACAAGAATTCTACTCTTTGCCGTACATGTATTTATAGTAAAGAAAACCTAATAAGCTATACAAGCTAAAAATAAGGTTAAAATTCATTCGTCTCTAAAAATTACAGTGTCGTGTTGCCCGAGTGATTTGGTTGTTCCCCGTGTTTGAGCCTTATACCCTTCTCTTTAATAACTAATCACTATCCCTAAACATTCTTGTTCTGAAAAAAAAAAGTATATATATATATATATATATATATATATATATATATATATCTCTTTAAACTTTTAACAAAAACCTGAAATAAAATGCAATTTCTATAACAAAGTTACTTTACGAGTTGGTCCGTTTCCAATAAATAGATCAAAACAAGCTTATCAAAGTTGTCACAAAAAAGTGTTAATCCACCCCTATAGCCTTCTAACGGTCCAAACAGTTCCATATAGACTCCGACAACCAACTCTACATAAAAAAAAAAATCTATAGTAGGCTTTGGCTACAAAAGATCATCCAAATCTTTTTGTGGATCAAATTGGGTTGTTGAACTGAGTTTGAAAATCTAGAACCAATACCTCAAATTCTGACTTGATGAACACAGAGGTCGCATTCATGTTTTGCACTAAACAAAACCATATATAACAAGTCAATTATGTGTGACATAAAATGGAAAGAAGTTCAAAGAATGTTGCTTTCATTGAACCATGTAGTCGCTTTCATGTGGCGCACATGCGTACCGAGAAAGAAGGATCCATTAGCAGTAGCTCACGCGGTTGCAGTCCTTGCAGGTCAAATTATTGTGTTGGGACCCCTACATAATATGCCTATGCCCAAATGTGACATTATCATTTCTCTTTTGATCACACAAATAAAGAATTATACTTTAACAAGTTCTTTCCATTTTCCCCGGTAGGTGTCTGGGTCTCATCAGTGTTTTTGTGGTTTATCTTCTAGGGGTGGGTTCAAAGGGCCTTGTTTTAGGGGTTCCACGATTATCAAAAAAAAAAAAAAAAAGGTTTTTTCATTTAGCTGTGTGGAAGAAATTAAGGTGAGAGCGAGTCTTAACGCAATAACGTCGTCTCATTGTCAGATAGAGGAAATAATTTTTCTATAGGTCGTATGCATCTAACTCTTCTGAAATCCCGAACTGAAGAAAGTGCACTGAGGTAGCCTACGAAAGTGCACTGAGGTAGCCTAAGAAAGTGCACTGAGCTAGCCTTTGTGTGAAGAACCTTAGATCATGCTTTACTTGGAGATCACCAATGCATGCTGCCCACCGTATGTTGTTGATGAACATGACATGTCAGATGTGAATGTTTTAGTAATGGATGAAATATGATCATGTTGGACTATTTGTTACAATTTTTGTTTTTTTAAATCATTTGCACCTAAAAGCAACAGTAGCAGTAGAGTAGATTAATCCGAAGTTTTTGGCGCGTAGAAGCAAAATCTGATTGCTGCCCTTAAAAGGGGCTTTGAATCTGAACTTCAATGGAAGTTATTAAGAACAAAATTTTACTTCTATTTAGCAGGGTAAATAGGGGTTCTTTTCGTTACACAATAATAAATGTAAAAATGATGATATCTATGAACACAAATGTGAGGGATCCGAATAAAGAGTTGGAAGGAGGATAAACATCATAAACTAACTGGTCAGCGAGCTTACGAGTGGAGGGATGAGCATTACTCTAGTGACATAGATACTCTTCTACGTTGCCTTTAATGCTTGTGCTAAGGTTTTTAGGGCTCTAAGAGGTCATGATGACGCTAGGGCTCTAAGAGGTCACTTCCTCTCATCCAGTTGTGAAATCTAGGTAACCTTATTCTTTGCATTAAATACGTTTTGTCATTATATTAATTATGACTTCGTCAAAGCATTAAATGTGATGTCAAGTAATACTGGATGACAAATTAATTTGAAGTTTTTGGGGAAGAGAAGCAAATGTGATTGTTGCCTGGCTTTGAATCTGAACAATGGAAATTCTTAAGAACAAAATTTTACTTCTATTTTTAGTGGGGTATAAATAGAGGATTTAGAACTACAATGATTTTATTTTATTTTATTTTTTTTAATCAAAAGTAAAACTTATTTGATCCTGAAAAAAAAAAAAAAAATCAACTAGTGGAGTGTCCGCATTTGTATCATTTTTTTGTAAATATACAAAGGATTCTTCTTAGAAAAAAAAAAAAAAATTATAAAATGAGTCTCATTTCATTGTGACTTAAACTTTAAGTTTCTAATACTAAAGTTGTGTATATCTTTTTCCCTCTAACCCTACAATGTCGGTGCCCTCACTAGCCCTTTTTTAAAATCTTAAATTTTGGATGATTTTTTCCATGAAAATACAAAAAAGGGGATGGATGAACTGTATATAGTACAACAATCATTGAAATTTCCTTGGAGATTTTATATTGGTGAAGAATAGAATATAGCATTTTATAAAATGGGCTATCGGGTTCAGTTGAAACTTGAACCCGTATAAGATTCGGTTCTCTATGAAACTGGAAACACAGAGAGAGTAATTAATCAAAAGGCAAAAAGGCAGGTGCTGGAAAAGCAGTGAACGGAGCGTTCCATATTCAATCGAATGTCTCTTTTACTATTTCCCGCTCCTCTTTCTGCTATCTTCACACCTCCCGAGTCTCACCGTGTTCTCATTCCAACTCACCCCAAGAAGAAGAAGACGAGTTTTTTGACTCAGTACCGACTCGGTTCCAACCCCATTGTTCGGGCCAGAACCATCCCAGGACGAACCCTTCGCTGCTGCTCATCCATGCCTGTTGTAGGGCCCACTTCATCTTCTTCTCAGGTTTCTTTCTCTTCTTTACCCAAACTCGGTACATTTTATTCTGTTTGGTTGCCGAGAAAGACTGAGGAAAAAAGAACAGAAAATAAACATTTCCATGTCAATTAAACCAAAACAGTTGCCTTAGACTAGGTTATGTGGTATATTTTGTAGTTAATTAATGTCCAAAACAATGGGAAATTAATAAATTCAAAGCAATTAACTGGAGGATTACTTATTTTATTTTCTTGATGTTATATCTGTATTCATTTGCTTAATGTGAAATTAATGTTTCAGATTTCAAATTTAATGTACTTATCGATGGAAATTGTGTTTGAGTCACTGTTTTCTTGTTACAACCTCATGTTAGTATAAGTATATTTATGAATTGAGGAAAAATAATATGTGAGGTGATTCGTGTTTTTGGTATTTGGGAAATAGTTCAACACTATTTGGGTTATTAGGAAGAAATTTTGGGAGTAAAGTGTGGGTTCTTGATATAAGCGTAATATGAGGCATTATAGTAGAGATCTAAGTGGATGAGTGAGGTGGAAGTCCGAGCAAACTCAAGAGAAAGAGGCTGGCAGTGTGAAAGGTTGCCATTGACTCCCTTCGTGAAGGTTTTTAAAGAGTGAGGTGAGGGAGTATGAATGAGAGGGAGATTCCAATGTTGGTGGTCGTCCTCCCCTTTTGGTCCTTTTATAGGCAAAATGTGGGGCTGGATGATATTGTGGTAAGACAATATATACGTGAGTTTATTATAGTGATGGAAGGGGATAAATCTATAGTATTGAGAAGGCAAGGATATGGTGTGTAGTTGTCAAGATTGGATAGGTTGTGCAGAAGTCAAAGTAGTCTTGTTCTCTTTTCATGTTAGGTCGCAGGTCAGCTGAATCACTATGAAAGTGTGTGCTTGCTCGATAGGCCCTGGAGTTCAGTCACCAAACCAAGTACCTCCTTGGGTTCCAGAATACCTCCTCAAAGTTGCATTTTATGGAGGTTGACACCATGAATTCACCATATAAGTATGATGATTGCTGCTAGGTGTTTGTTAAACTTTTCTTTTTGGTGAGGAATCATATCATGTTTATCTTAATTGACTTATATTCCACTTGAAAGTGGCACTCTTAACATTAAAAGTTTATTAATTGCAGGATTGCCTGTTGTACTCGAGAGCGTACTGGGTTAGTAAATCTGTGATTGCTTGGAATGTGGATGCTGGAAATGGTTCCTGTTATTTGTATGCTAGTAAAACTGCCGCTTTATCATTTACAAATGACGGAATTCAAGGTTTGGACTCTAGTGCATATTCCCACAAATTCATTCTTATACTTTCATGAAAGTGATATTTTTACTTTCAATTTGTGGAAACAATTGTAATTATAGTATGACATTCCATCTAACCAGGCTATGATGCGAAAATCGAGCTTGAAGGAGACAACGCTGGTCTTTCAGAAAATGTAACACATCAATTCATTTGTGATGCTTACTATAATTATCAGATCTATTGCTCATTGTTGGCCTCTTACAGTGGTTTGCTCATGCATGGCTTCTTATTGGTAGTTTCACATGAAATAGCTTCTCCTTGAGTTTGAAGAACTGCTAACACATGCGCTGTTTCTTTACATACTTTATACTGTAACTCCAGGTAAAGGAAAAATTTCCTCACATTAGAGATTATAGAGCTTTCAAGGTACCACCTGCTTTGGATGTCAAAAGTCTACTCAAATGCCAGTTGGCTGTTGCTATACAAAATTGTACGCATTTCACTTTGTTTGTTTCTTTAAGAAGTGGACCAACCAGTAGAGATTAAAAATAAATGCCCGGCATCTCTCTAGAAGGTGCCATTTCAGAAAATATATTTTCCTCAGAAAACTCGTTACTGAGAGACCAATTTAATTTGTCACTTATATCTTAGTGTGACATTCTCAATTGATATTTCATTGCATGGTTGAGTCTGTTGAACAAATGTAGTGGTTTGGCCGTTTGGGCATGTTGCTAAATTTTGCTGTTTTTTATCATCTTCTTTCCACTTCTTTCGATTGTTTGCATGTATTGCGTTAAGAGTTCTATGGATTCACTTTTATTTGTTCTCTTGATACATCATTGCATATCCGTAGTAATCTGGATTTAAATGAAACATGTCATAGTCTCTGATACTTATCCCTGACAATTTATTTTCTTTCTTTCTTTATTTTTCTTTTTTCTAGCCGATGGGGTATGCAGCAATGCTACTGGTTTGCAGTTAGCTGGTGTTCTGGATGAATTATTTTCATATAATGGTCCTCTTGGCGCAGTTTTTTCAAAAGAAGCTGTCTCAGTTTACCTTTGGGCTCCTACTGCTCAAGTATATCCTATTGTCATGTCTGCGTCTCTACTTCCTGCTTTCTACTATACCTCCACCACACCCATTTCCATTCTCATATTGCTTTATTCACGGGTAATGTTTTTCTTTTATCTTCATTAAAACAGGCAGTGCGAGCTTGCATTTATAAGGACCCATCAGGGGGAGATCCTTTAGAAACCGTCCAGCTTGAGGAGTTCAATGGCGTTTGGAATGCTAGTGGGCCAATAAGTTGGGATGGCTGTTATTATGTGTATGAAGTCTCTGTGTACCATCCTAGCACCATGCGGATTGAAAAGTGCATTGCAATTGATCCGTATGCTAGAGGGTATGCTGGTTGTCTCTTTAACATGCGGTTCTCTGAAAATAGTTCAGTTTTTTTTCTAACACTGTCTGACATTGTTAACTACTGAATGTATCTGCTTATATATATGCTTGTCTGTACATTATGTTGATTCTGTTGCCTTGTGTAGGCTCTCGGCTGATGGCAGGCGAACATTGTTTGTCAACCTTGATTCTGATGCCTCAAAACCTGAAGGATGGAATAATTTGGCAGATGAGAAACCAGCTCTTCTTTCTTTCTCTGACGTCAGTATTTATGAACTGCATATAAGAGATTTTAGGTAAAGTCAGAATTCTAGCTTGTGATTGCTATCTTAAAGTTGCTGCATGGATCCTGCTTGCTAGTTGCTATACCCTTTTTATGCATTTGGTCCCACCCAATGTGCACTCGTACATCGTATGAGCCTCATCTAAAAGCATCTTTCAGTGTATCTGTCACGGTCTCACCTAAATATGGTTGTTGGGAGGACTTATTTCAAAGTGGTTAATTATCATTGTGACAACATAGCATTCTTATTAACTTTGTAGCCTTTTAATCCTTATAATGTTATGTGGTTTCATTACAGTGCTAGTGATCATACTGTGCATCCTGACTTTCGTGGTGGTTATCTTGCCTTCACTTTCCAGGTAGTCTTATTATTTTGATCCTGATTTTTGAATGTCCCCGAGAGAATAAGTTTCTCCCTTGCATATTTATATTTATACATTTCTTTGGGCAGAAATTAATTTATTTGGAACAAATATTGCTAAGTTGTAAAGAGGGCTAGCCCAATGCACGAGGCTCCTGCCATTGCGGGATATGGAGAGGGTCAAATGTACACAGCGTTACCTCTGCATGCAGAGAAGCTGTTTCCTTGATTTGAACCCGTGACCTCTAGGTCACAATGGAACAACCTTACCATTGCGCCAAGGCCCACCCTCAAATATTGCTAAGTTGCCTTTGCTTTTATTTTCTGATAAGCAATGTTGCTTGAACATTTTTTATTTATGCTTGCCCTCCTTTAGTAATCACTTATATAAAGTATTGGGGAAGCAAATTTTCAAATGAGTATAGAAGAGAAGAAGCAAAGCATGATTTTTGAAACACTTGTTGAAATTGGGGACACTAGATCAGAAACTCCAAGAATGTGTGCACCTCATTAAGAAAAATGGCAAGGTTTTTGATACAAGTATAAATCTAGATCAAATGAACTGTTGTACTCTTGATAGGTGCAAGCATCTGTTAGTAAACACAGGCTTTGAGTTTAGTTGGTGACTTGTTATGGGAATTTCAATTTTTTTTTTCTTGAATGTGAATGGGCTGCTACTTCAAAAAACAAAGTAAAATAAAAATGGTAGTTCAGTTCTGAGAAGAGGAATGAATAGCCCCCCCGTATAGAAGAAAATTTCCGAGCATGGCATAGGGAGTTAGGGAGACAGTTGTTCATTGGTCATTTTCTTGGAGAGAGAATTATGAATCAAGCTTTGACCTATGGATATTTAGGCCAATATATCAATAACCGAGGTGACACATATGTCCATGAGTTGAATGATACTACATTTAGGCCTTCATTTAAGCACCAATAGTGTTTCTTCTTCTTCTTCTTTGCTTTCCATTATTCTACTAATGCACTTTGTAACATCAGTGTCAAGTGAATTTATATTTCTCCTCAGATAAGAGGAAAGATAGGCAAGTTGTCTTTTGAGAACCACAAAAAATAAGAAATTTGATAAAACTGATTATTTCGAAGGACTTCTCATTTGAGAAACTCATATTACACTATCATAGATCTAAGATTGCGGTTAAACGCATGTAGGGCATTTCTTATGATATATAAACTAAATAAGAGTCTAATAAGTAATTAGTCATTTTGTCCTATACTCGCAAGCCACCAGTCAAGTAAGCATGTTATGACCTCCAAACAACTAGAAAATAATTTATTACAACCCAAGTATTGTTCAAAATGATTTTGAAGTCATTATTATATGATATAAATTTAACCAACTCACAAACTTTAGTAATATGTTAAGCATTTCATCACATGCAATAGAAGTGTGTTTAAACAGCCAAGGGACAACTATAAACTCAAAGAAGGTGAAAGAAAAACAAGCCTAGTTTCAAGTGAATTTAAGTGAATGGTTGGAGAGAAGAAAGGTGAAAACATGGGTAATATAGTAGTCCAATTAGAGTGAGAAAGGTAAAGAATATGAAGGAGAACAAGAAGAGAAAAATAAGACAACAGGAATAACAAGTGGAAGAAGGTGAGGAGAATCAAAAGAGAAAGGGGAGAGGTCTATGCAAAACTAAATAGGAGTAGAGAAAGTACAGCCACTGTAGGGTTCTTGTGAGTAACCAATGTATATAAGAGAACCCGAAGAACATAAGATCCTAGCCATTAGTTTTTTAGCTTATATGTCATCATCTAAGATAATCCTAAGTGCCAAAATTAACACTGACGCCTGAGTTATCATTTGCATTGCATATAGCAACTTAAGTGGAACTTGAGTGGCTGGGGACAAATGTTATAGGGAAACCTCTCATGCTATGTATGGCTGCTTTCTTCATCGTTACAGCAGCCTTGCATAAGATTTTAGAAGTGACTTTTCATTTTCAGGAACTTGGTGCACCCTGAATCCTGTGTCCTCTATCAATCAAATTAACTTCAGCTGTCTAGTTCAAGTGGTATTTCTTGCTCCTCCTTGGGGGTAGGTGCAAGGTCTAAATTCCCAAGGGTGGTCCAAGGTTTGATTCCATGTAAAAGTACATGTTGAAGGGGTTATGGGTAGTGGAGTGCTACATATCATTGTCTTGTGCACACCATTGGGATCAAAAGAGTCAAATTAGTAGTTTGATATGGATTGGAGGGATAATGGACAATGGGGTGCCACCCCGCATTGTATAGCGCACACCATTGGGACCCAAAAAAATCAACTTAGCAGTTTGACATAGTTTGGCCTTTGGGTGACTAGTTGCCCTCTAGTCTACAATTGATATCCCTAGACTTTGACCAAGAAGGGGCAATTTATGTGCAGATCTCCTTTGCTGCCTTTCTGTCTCTAAAAATATAGGATTTGATGGTTTTATTTTGATATACCAAGTGTCAATAGGCATTTTGTGAATGGTGGTAACAAAAGAAAAAAAAAAAAAAAAAGATTTGCTTTGGTTTTTGCTTTCTTCTAATGTTTTCTTATAGATGAATTTGAGGAGGATTTCTTGCATAGGGTAAGCAACTATACTGTTATAGTTCATTTTCTGACCTGTTGGGAATTTTTTTTTTTTTTTTCTGTCCTGTTGATCTATTTGAGGAGGCTTCTGTGTACTACTTGGATGTTTTCCAAGAAGGTTGAATTCGTATAATTGAGTTTGTCTACACATGACTTGAAAGTTGAGGAAAATACTGTTTTCTAATGTGAAATTCGTTAGCATAGTTATTATCTCAACCACATTAAGTAACTCATTGAAAATAATGATTTCTATCTGCAATTTTGGGAGTAAGAGAAAAACATACTTGTTTACCAGAAAAGGAAAAAGCAAAAAAGGAACATATATCTTTGATAATATTAAACACTTGAAGTGCCATAATGGGAGCACTAATAGCAGAGCTCAAGGAGGATGGAAACTTTACAACGGATATAGAATCACTCACATATACATATTTATTTTTGGTGGTAGAATTTCAATAATTCTTTGAAGTATTTTACTAAAGCAAACACAATCTGCTTGAAGGAATCAGCAGGTGTACTTCATCTGAAGAAATTGTCCAGTGTTGGTCTCACTCATGTGCATCTGCTGCCAACCTTCCAATTTGCTGGCGTTGCTGACGAGAAGGATAAGTGGAAATGTGCAGGTGAGTGTATTTTTTGTTCATCACTTCATCATATATAAGAGTTTTCTTAGTTCATTTTAGATTAGTACCCCTGCGGCCCTGCCCATCAAAAGTACTCCTATAGGTTTATTTTCTTCTGTTTTTGTTTTTATTTTTTTGTTTTGTTTTGTTTTTTGTATAAATCAAAATAGGCATTTTAAATAGAAAAAATGATTCATTTTTATTACAGGTGTATTAATGAGAATGCACACATATATTGGACATCAACAAATGTTGATAATTACAACCTTGCTTGGTATAGAATATTAGTTTTGTAGTAAAATTTTAGCACCAAGTTAGAATGTAATTTTGTTGAGATATTTAGTTTGTGTGCTGATTCTTCATTAAATTCTAACAATGTGGATCAAGCTTATTGAATAGAGAAAACCCAATTTCAAAGAAAAATCTAGTGATTTTAGACTCTGCTTTCCCACGATGCGTAAAATTCACTTTGTGCTGTTAAGCATGCAAACACAACTTGAGTCCGAGAACCTCTATTTCATATGAAAAAAACTGGAAACTAGATCTATACCAAGTCCACACCAAACTAACTGGCCCAGTATTGTAATGATCTCTCTTTTGGCCTTCATTATGTTTATTGCCCATGCTCATCGGTGATATACTCTAGGAACTGAGTTTAATATGTTTCTTCTATGTTGCATTTAATGGATACAGACATGAATGGTGCCGAATATCAGGGCAATCCCACCCCACCGCACCCCCCCCCCCCCCCCCCCCTCCCCCCCCCCCCCCCCCCCCCCGCGGCCAAAAAAGTTCAAAAGCCATAAGGCACTTCAGAAATTTGATCCATTTCTGAGTCTTTTAAAAAAAATGCATAGGGCGGTCCAAGAACTTCTGAAAATTTGTATTATAGCCCCCTAGCTTTTGGTTTTGGTTATTAGAAGCCTATGGACTTAGGGTTCTAAAAGATAAGAGAAACGTCATAAGGTTTGTGGATGAAAGAGGACTGGAACTAGCTTGGTGTAGAAAACGGTATGCTCCTGGTATTACTTAGAACTAGTGCTGGAAATTCTGTGCAGCAACTATTTTATGGTTTTGGGTGTAAAGGCCAAAAGCTAGAAGATAGGATTATGGATAAGGGTCTCATAATGAAGAACTAAAAGAAAATATCTGCTGGTTGTAAGTGGCATCTGAAATAATTTAGATTTGGCATTGGGTGGGGGCAATCCATGGAAATATGGGTGCTAAATATTGGTTTAAACTTTGTAAAATAACCTGAGCTTTGGGTTTTTCTTTCTTTATTTTTTTTCCGAAAAGAAAAGTTCAATAACATTTGTAATTTCTTTTCAAAAGACAAAGATGACATTGTTAATGGATCTCACTTTAGTTATGTATTGCATTAATTAAAGACAATCAGGTATTTCTTAACAGTTGGCATCATCCAAATCTGACATTTAATATACAATTCTGCAAAATTATCTGAATTTTCAATCCTAAATATTGTGATTTTTTTTTTCTTTTTAATTATTTCTTAGTAAAATTAAGAAAGTCAAAACAATTTGTAGTTGTCAAAGATTAAATATTTTGGTGTAAATGAATAAAAAATCTAGAACAAATTTGAATGATATATTGGCATTTTGGGTATTCTGGACTTTTGATGCAGCAGAAATTTTAGCAAAGTTGAACCTTGACTTTTTTCTGATTGCAATTATATTTTACATGAAATCTTTTTTATTTGATTTCTATAGTTGGTTACTCTTAGATTCTCACCATGAAGAGCTAAGTTCAAATTTGTAACTTTGACAAACTTGGACAACTATATTCCTTTCTTTCCTCTCTAATGACATTTTAGGCTGTGAAGCATGTGCAACATTTGGACTCTCTATGCGATTGCTTTATATGCAAAAATAGTTTTGCTTGAAGTGGCTGAGTGGTATCTTAAAGGGCTTAAAATCCATTGTCCCAAGTCTTGCCTAACGAAACACCTTAGTGGAAGAGCTTGGAAACTCTATTCACCAATGTGGCATGTCTCAGACTCTCACGCCTAGAGGCATGAGTTACGCCTGGGCGCCTTCCTCAAGTGCAAACAAAGAATATTTGCAATTATTTGATTTTTTTATTTTCTTATAGTGTTCATTATAATTTTGCTGTGTTTGAATTTCTTAGCTTTCTAAAATGTTTAGTCATTATACTGTAATAGCTGAAGCTTTGTTTTATGTCATTTTTAATTGTTTGTTGAAATGTGAATTTGCTTTACGAGCTGATGGCAGAATATTGCCTCATCTGTATACTCATGAACTTAATTTCGATATTCGTTTACTTCTGCTAAATTATTTTCAGAATGTGAATTTTGTATGATAAGCTGCTTCTATATACAAAAGTACAACAGTTCTATTTGTAGTTTCTTAATAAGCTGCTTCTATATACAAGGGTCCAACAGTTCTATTTGTAGTTTCTCAATTTATGGTTCATTCTTATTATCAATTGAGGGGGCTGTTTGCTGGGGGAAAAGAGTCCTTGCACTTAAGCCATATTGGATCTGGATCTCCATTTCTGTTGCTTCATCCATCTTTGTAGCTTTACATATATAAATGAGATAATACTAATGCTAGGTTAACATCCATTTGACCTCTTCCAACACCCCGCATATGAGGGATAGCCTTTACAGTATCAATTAAATCTTGAGTTAGTTAGTGTCCAGTTTGTTGATATATATAATTATAGATGTTCATGTTTGTGATGTTGTGGCCTGAAGTTTGTTCCGGAACGCAACCCGGGATTTTTTTTATTTAAAATTGACCCGTTTGTATTGCTTGCAGGTCGTGGACCCTGTTTAATACTGTCTTGTAATCCGGTATATAAGGCCGTTTAGGGTTTGGAGTGGGATAATGAGAGAACACTGAAAATCGCGGAAAGAGAGTGACAGCGAGAGTGTTTGGGAGCTGAAACTTGTAATCTCCTGTTTTTCACATAGGGAAATCTTTCGCTAGATCTTCACTGTGGACGTAGGCTTAGAATTAAGCACACAAATCATTGGGTTCTTTGTGTGCGGTGTGTTTATTTTTTTGTCACGATTCTTGTTTTTTTCTTGGTTCACTGCGTTTGTCATAACAATGTTGTTATGTGCTTCCAGCTCCGATATAGTTTCCCATGTTCTCTAGTCTCCTGATAGTATTGAATAGCATAAAGGCATAGTCATATTTAAGACCAACTTCTATTAGATATGTTCAATCCAACTTTTATGTTCTGACTTATTTTAGAGAGAATTGAAATGCACAACTTTTTCCTTTGTTAATTTTTGTAAGTAAGAAAAATATGTTCTGCTTCGGGCTTATCTTGAATTGCTTATTTTCTTTTTGCATTAGTAAGCTAAATGAGATAAAGGTATTAACAGATAACAAGATGCTGGAGTCACTACCACCAGATTCAGATGAACAACAGGCTCATATCACAGCCATCCAAGATGAGGATGGGTTCAATTGGGGGTAACACATAATGTTCCTGAGTGTCAATTTAGATAAACTTAATAGCTTCTTGTATGGTTAGTATGCTAATTATTGTTTTGCTTCCTCCTTTTCTTTTCTCTTTCTTTTGGGTGGGAAATCATCCTATTCTCTTGTACCTAACAAAGGTATAATCCTGTTCTCTGGGGAGTCCCTAAAGGAAGCTATGCCAGTAACCCTGATGGTCCATGCCGTACAATTGAGTTTAGAAAGATGGTGCAGGTTTAGATCTTGTGCTTTCTCTTGCATGACTGAACCACTGATAATGTATTCTGTGATTCAGACCGGAGATGCATTTGTTTAAGACATAATAGTTCTGACAAGCTCAAGAAATGCTTAATGTTGTTTCTTAAAAATGACATTCTAATTGCAGGCACTTAACCGCATCGGCCTTCGTGTTGTGTTGGATGTTGTTTATAATCATTTGCATGGAAGTGGTCCATTTGATGAGAACTCTGTTCTTGACAAGGTCATCATCGATTCCTTATTTCCATTTCCACACTTACCAGTACCTCTCAATCAGTATTTAACTTCTTGTTGTCATTATATGATTTATTTGTATTTATAATAACTATATTGCCTGATATTTCTTCTTTTCTTTTTTCTTATTCCATTTCCTTCATCCAGAAATGTTTTATACACTCTTCTTGTGACACAAAGATCTGTACAGATTGTTCCAGGTTACTATCTAAGAAGGAACACCGATGGTTTGATTGAACACAGCACATGTGTAAACAACACTGCGAGTGAGCATTTTATGGTTGAACGTTTGATACTTGATGATCTTTTATGTTGGGCGCTTCAATATAAGGTGATTGTTCACGGTAGTAAACTTCTTTTCTCAAGTAATTCAAATGAGGCCCTAAGAAATTTAAACATACTTATTGGTTAATTAACCTCTGTATTGATGTTTGTTCACCGCAAACCAAATCGGCAGCTGAAAGCATGCTCGGGATGGAGCCCGTGGACTTGTATATTGTTGTGAAAACCTATGACTGGACTGATTTCATTGAGTTACTATGGAGTTTAGTCATCAAACTAATTGTCAGATTACTTTTTACCTGTAAGCTAGGAGCCAGAACTTCATAGATTTAGTCTATTCTTGCATTTCTAAATTCTCACGTCTGTACATATTGCCAGAACACCCTTGGTTGTTTCACTTTCAGATTTTTTCGATTCACTCATATATACAATTTTGTAGCAAGTTCACTAATTTAATGAGTTAAAGATGGAGACATGGAGCCATTAAGAATTTATTTCAAACCCCTCTTCTGTGTCACTTTTAATTCTTGGGCCAGTTGGCTATAACTAATTATACTTTTGTAGAACAGTTTTGGTCACAGCACTTCTACAACTACAGTTAGTTTCAGCATCGTTTTATGCCTGATATGTTGTCTAATCGATTGCCATTTTTTATGTACAATTCCACGACTTTAGCTTGGTCACTAAGCCAACTCTAGATGATGCATGATCACAGCTCGTTATGTTACTGCAACTGCTTGTGGACACAAATGCTAGCACCTTAAGGAATACTAAAAATTACTAAGGTTTACTTTCAAAAGAAAATTCAAAACAATAGTAGATACATTTCTCAATTTTGTATTTTAGTATTAAGGACAATATATGTTTTGCTGATAAATAGTAGATATAGTAGATACGTTTCTAAATTTTGTATTCAGTGAACTATTGTGCATTGTATTTATCCTAGAGATAAATGCCATGTCATAAATTCTGTTTGATACTGCTTAAGGGTGAGGGTTATTTATTTATTTTTTGGCAAGGATGGTCTACAAGGTGTGGTTGTTCCTTGTATAAGTGGGTTTGCTAAGTCTAAGAATGGTTGTATATAATTATTCAGTTTTGTTCGTTGAAAATTTTCTTGCATTTCTAATGTTTTTATGTTGAAGAAACTGACATTGATGTTAATGAGCTAATATTTTTTGAATGGTAATGATCTTTGATACTTTGATACCATATCATAGAATTGTAAAGATGCGACATGATTCTGCCACCAGTAGGGGGCAAGAGCTTGTTCATACTTCAGAATAGGCACTTCTAGTAAGAGATATGAACTCCGGTGCCCTTATAATCTAAATTATCGTCCGAAATAGTTTGAATAAGAATCTTGTGATACTCATACATTGATATTGAACTCTCTCTCTCTCTCTCTCTCTCTCTCTCATTAGTGTCTTTTTGGTGCATTTAGTATATATTTTTTTCTTGGGGAAGGATTTATTCAATGTAATAATCACTGGACTGCTGACGCTATTCATGGATTAGATTTTTATAGGAGGTTGTTAAATTATTGCTATTTAACTAAATGGATCTTTTGCAGGTTGATGGATTTCGGTTTGACCTTATGGGGCACATAATGAAACGTACCATGGTATGAGACTTTTCAACTCCTTTTATCAAGGGTTTTAATGTCAAAAGAAGATATTAGTTCTCCATTATGGAGATCAGGGAGATTGCTTAACTTTAATTGCTACTCACATTAATTCAGTCCGTGCTGTCAAATGTAGAGAATTATAATAATGCAGTGACATAACCTGTTGATATAATATAAGCACACTCTGTGACTGACTTGATAGTTGAAGTAATATTGTGTTTGTATTTGATATATGATAACAATTTTTCAAGTCAATGAAATATTGATTGATATAAGATATCTGAACAGCAATCTTAACTGACCAAATAAATAAAGAATTATGGAGATTCTGCTGAATATGAACAAAATCTTATCACTTGTTAGATGGTTTTATGACTAGATCATGAAAATACTTAGAATCAAGTATCATACTTGTAATCAAGTATCACTTGTTAGATGGTTTTATGACGAGATCATGAAAATACTTAGTATCAAGGATCTATTGGTAAATATTGTCGTTTTTTAAAACCATTGGTTTGCCAGCAGGCCACGTTGAGTTGGCATTTTGCATCTTCCAATTCAAGTTCAGGTCTGATTGATGAAATTTAGTATGAGTTTGAGCCTTGCCCCAACCCTTCTATTGGCGACTTTGCCAATATGGAACACTTAAATAATACTTAGCTTGGCTATACTTCTGTTTGGTGCTGGCTGAGATCTTGAAGGTTTTTTTTCCCACTGGCTGTGGTTTAGATATGCCTTTGTTGAATCAGCCTTAGCCAAGCCAGGTCTATAGCATAGCCCACGCAACATTGAAGATCCATGGATTCATGGTAGTTCGAGTCCCTGGGACTAATTATCATATCAAAAACACTTGCTTGGATTCATCATAGTCCCACAGGACTAATTATTATACCAGAACCTCCACTTAGGTCACCATTTACATTGACTTCAACTGAGGTACTCATTGTTGGCCTACCAAAGTGTTCATGACTGCTCTATCACGTGAACAATCAAATTTCTTGTAGGTCCATGTTGTCAGCTCAACCTGTATTAGGTTGGCAAAGTTTGTATGTAATTTTCAATTTCAAGTTTGTGTTTTTAAAAGTTGGTTGAGTTAGTTAGGTGTTACCTCAATCCAAGTACTTAAAGGAGATTACAAGAATTCAACAAGGGTAAGAAGGTAATTTATTTCTAATTTTTTTGCAGTTAATAAATCTTAACTAAAAAAATTATGGTTTGTATATAAAATTCTGGATGTATGGGAATATAACCAAATATCACTGCTAGTTAATAGAAAAAGTGGATTAGATGATCTCAACCTTAAAATTTGGTTTAATGATACCCCCTGCAGAAAATCCATGCAATTAAAATATCGCTTTTTATACAGGTGAAGGCTAAGAATGTGCTCAATGGCCTATTGAAGGATAGAAATGGAGTAGATGGTTCTCGTATCTATATGTAAGGGTGGCATCAATATCTAGTTGTTTCTCTTCCACCAGATTTACTTGTCTCGCTACCTTCTGTGATTTGGGGTTTGCCTTTACATTATGATGCATTTTCCTTTTGTCTCCCATTATATCAATTCTTAATTTTGAATTAATAAAGTGTCTGGTTTTAGATATGGCGAAGGATGGGACTTTGGTGAAGTTGCGAAAAATGGACGTGGTGTAAATGCATCACAGTTCAACCTTTGTGGATCTGGAATTGGGAGGTACTATTTTGCAAGTTTTTATTCTCCTATTATATAGTCTAAACATCTTTTGTATACATTTTTGTGTTGGAAGGCTAGATTTTGTGCAATGAGCAATTTTAGGATATGTTAGATTCACTAGCCAAGATTGACATGCATATGAATGAAAGGATATTAATAAAAAATATTTAATATGATGATTATATTTAATAGTATGGTTTATTTAAATCCCATATAGTATGGTTTGCATCCATTGGGACCTAACACTCATTTGGATAGCCCCCGTCTCCTCGTCTACTCGTCTCATATATCAATATTGTTGGTTATATGCCACCACCTGTCTACTCATCTCGGATATCATGGGTGGCAAACCCGAAACCAAGGACTATTGGCCTAGCAGTATTGATCTCTTACTTCCCAAAGGGAGGTCAGGAGTTCAAGTCTCAGAAGAGACGTGTGTGTGATTCCCAACTAGGAAAAAAAAAATTGACACTTCGAATTTATTTTCAAGTTGGTACACTTGAGAAAATCTTCGTATACCAACTTGAGGGGGAGTATTAGAGAATATCATTATAGGAGTGATATAAGTCTTTGATAGAATATTGATTGGATTGAATTTAGGAATCCTCTGTCAATATATTTTTCATATTTATCACATGTTTCTATTTTATCACCTATAAATAAAGGCGATCGTTGTAAACAAAATTGAGAGAGAATATAATGAAAAAGATCTAGTCTTTTTGGCTTTGTGTGCCATGGATGTAGGCCATAGTGGCCGAACCACATTATATTCTTGTGTTGTTCGTGTTCAATTTCTCTCTTCAATTTTATATTTCATGACAGTATACTATAAAATTTCATATGCATTAAGCATTCAACTTATCATTGTTAAATTAATTATTCAGCTTTAATGATCGAATTCGAGATGCATTGCTTGGTGGATCTCCATTTGGCCACCCTCTTCAACAAGGTTTTGTGACAGGTTTGTTATTGCAGGTAATCAGTATATTTGTCTGAGGGAAGGCACTAAACTATAAACTATTTGTAGATTATTCTCATAAGTTAGGACAAAATCGCGTTTTAGTTTTATTGTCTAATGATGTCAGTCTTCTCTTAGAGCAAAAATCTGCTAATAATATGGAAATTCTTGTGATAGCCATTTGAATAATGACTTGCATTTATTTAGCCAATGGAACAAACTCTGCCTATGTTGCTGAAGACAAATTAGTTTTTACAAATTCAAACAGAACTTTCTGATAACTCCAGCCATGGGTCTGGCTATAAAGCGGGATTTCATAGTATCCACGAAATGATTTAAGTTGTCCTGTAGTCAATAAATTGGTTATGGATGCAGGTGCATCCATTCCTCCTCGTGTTATATACAAGCGCTGCCACATGTCCTTTTCCCGTTGGTGTGAAATACTTCCCTTGACAGTTAGTTTATTTTTTATTATGTTTATTAATTTTATATATGAACCTGATTGGATATGTTTGGTTCGAAAGATGATTATATTAATATTCAATGATGATATGGAGTTTCTTAGAAAAAGACTTTTTATTAATGTGTTAATTTCTTATATGAGTTTGATTGAATTTGTTAGTCTTTTTGAGGGATAAGGGGTTATCTGTGCCTTCTTCAATGGTTTCTTTAAATTTGTTAATTGTTAATTCCATATTTGTGAAGAATGGTTTTTTAATATCCTCTCTCCAATTTATTTTCATTACTCTGCGTTCATATTTTTGGTAATGTGAAATTTCTGTTATGTATCTCCTGCACAGACCCCATCGGTCTCAGAACAATGATAGATGTATTTGTCTGTCTGCATAAAATTTTGTTTGTTCAAGGTGTTACAGTGTCAAAGTCTGGAGTTCAATTTATTTATTGAAGAAAGGAATAAAAAAGGGGAAATTACAACAAATATATATATATATATATATATATATATATACTTTTCATTTTATAGGACCATCAAGTCGTATCAATTAAAAGCAATAGTCGGTTTGTTCACTGATAGGACTTGATTGTCCTAAAAAATGGAAAGTAGGACTTCTTTGTAATTCTCCCAATAAAAAACTATTGTTGTCTCTGTGAGGTTTTATATGATTATATCTAGTTAGTGAAATCGCTTCTGCTTCCATTGCAGCCCAATGATCATGACCATGGAACCAAAGCAAATGAAGAGCGTATGCTTGCAGCGTCAAAGGATCACATTCAGGTATACGGTTTTGGTACTTTCCTTTCCTGTTTCTAGTGTACTAAATATTTGGTATTCCAGCTCAGACACTGCTGTGGATAGGTGGCATTACATTTGCGTGATAGATGTGATTTAAATTGTCGAAGGATCATGATAGATGGTTTGGTAATGCAATCCATAAGAAGCTCAAGAAATATCTAAATTTTAAGAAGAGAGAAATCCTATAAGTCAGTTCTGTTTCAAAATGGGGTCATCTTTTGAATTGTGATGGATTTTCAAGTTTTACCTTAGTCAAGTCTTGTTTTATGTCAATTTTTGGATAGGATACCATCTTCTGAAAGTTTTTTCTTATATTTAAGGGTGAATTGTCCAACCTCCCCTGAGGTTTGTCCAAATTACTCACGGATAACACTAATTAAAAAGTGTGGTCAACCTCCCTTGAGGTTTTCCGTAATTACCCTGATCACCCCTCCCGTCAGTCAACAGTTAGATCTGTCATATGGATAATTTTTAAATTCCAAAAATACCCTGCTATAAAGCAAAATGACTTTAATGTCCCTATTAACTATACCAAATGACCATTTGACCCAATTTTAATTGGACAAAAAACCCTTACTTAATCTACATATATACACACATCTCTACTTCATATAATCTACACCACACTCAGAAAATTAGAAGCTTAACATAATTTTAGATATTTATAATTTATAATTATATTTACATATATATAGATAAAAATCCTGTACAAACCCAAATTCTACCACTGTGCCATGCCATCCTTCACCACCTCGCTGTGAAATCTTTCTCCAACTCCAAATCCTACTTTTTTTTTTTTGCAAATATGTATGGATATATATTACCGCTCAAGGAAACTTAACTTGGCAGTTTTAATCTGGGAGAAGCCCATGTTGGTTGAACTGTCTGTCTAATACTGCATTGGTCCAATCGTGTTGGTGGCAAGAAATTGCAATTGAATTTGATTGCAATACTGTTGTGGGCCACGGCCAACTTATAGAGAGAGCTGTAATCATGAAGTCTGAGGATGAGTGGAAGCGCTCTCTAACAATTGCAATAATCTTGCCTCCTTCTTGATCGCTTTCAGTAACAATAATCTCGATCTTTGTGTTAGGGAAATTGCTACAGATTTCTTTGAAATAGAGGGATACATATTGCCCTCTAAGTGAGAAATACATGGAGAGAGAAAAAGGCACCAAACCATGCCAGAGGTATCTCTTTCATGCACATCAACGACCACTCTTCAAACAACAAAGGCAAAAACGCCGTTACATACCCGACATGAAAGCCACCAGAAATGGGTTTGATTCCCAACAAACAATTATACATACATACATATATACATACATATATGTATATATATATATATGACCTTTATATACAAATTGCAAATCCAACACCAACCCATCAGCACAAACGCACCACATCGTCAAATCACAAAAACAATCGGTAGATTAACGAAATCAACTGGGTCTCCTTTTTCAACCCAATATTTCAGTATGCTTCTCTTCCCCAACCTTAAGAAATGGGTCTCCTTGAGAGAGGAAGAGAGAACTGATGGGTTGATTTGTCTTTTTAGTGTTCTAAGGTTATCAAAGTAATCTTGTATTTCTTTGATTACATCACATGTGACATAAGCAATTTTATTTATAAAAAATTAGGGCAAAATGGTATTTTTGCAGCTGCCGTTAAAAGAGTTATTTGTTCCATGTTTGATAATTTTAGTTCATATATGATCTCTCAGATGTCATTGCTAGCATCAGATTAACTTTTTTTGGCTTCTATATTCTCATCTTGAAACTATGTTTTTCCATTTGATATTTACTGAAATGTTTTCATGTAATTCAGGTTGGAATGGCTGCAAACCTAAGAGACTTTGTGCTAACTAATTGTGATGGACAAGAGGTAAAGCATATATAGCATTGCACTAAAAAATAAACTTGTACCTTCTTCTTACAATCTATATTATAATGCTGCTTCCTATTATATTTGCATAAATAGAAACTTTTGCTCCATCCACTGGTAGATTTTGCCGAGATTTTTTTTTCTGCCTGTCTTTTATATCCTTGCTAATATCTATCTACCTTCTGTAATTTCTTTTTGGTTTTATGAAAAATCAGTATAATCTATATCCATGTCTAATTTTCTATTAGAATCCAAATCATTTTTGTGGTATAGTCAGCTTCTTGGTTATTATGGACCAGCTTATCATGTACACAGAGCAATCCTCATGCTTGCTTGAGTTTGAGGTCAAACATTTGTGGTGTAGCTCAATATGTTTATATTTTCTGTTGCTGACATAAACCTAGGCACTTTTCATCTATGGTAAACCTATCAATCTGTTTAAAGTTTCCTCAATCTTGAATTTGTGAATGGTCAAGCATCATATTTGATAGAACTGTCCCCTATTGCAAGATGAGTTTTTGTAACAACTTATTGTGATATTTTCTGGGAAGGGGGTAAAAAAAGGGTCTTGGCAAAACTGGTTTCATCTTTTCTCTGGTTTTTAATAAATTGACTTACGCATTAATAAATTGTGATTTTTAAAGTGTAAATAATTATAAGCAAGAAAATTATTTTTCAATGTGGGGCTAATATGGATGTCTCAGATCCATGCAAAGATTGAAGAGCATCAAACCTAATGTCAAGTTTGAAAAAGAAGAGCTTTAGAGTCTCGAGGATAAAGCTAGGTTGTTGAAAGAATTAAAGCATTGACAAATTGAAGGGAACGGGGGAACGTCAAGAATTATTTGGAGCATACCTTTTTATTTATTTATTTATTAAGAGGCTGCGAGTAGAAAATAATTCAAGGTTCAAATGGATCAAAAGGGTGATTTTTAACTCTAATGAGTATAAGCTTTTCCATATAGTTGCCATGGGGAAGCATAGAAAGAAGTTTATCAAATTGAAGCAAAATCAGGTGTCATTCAGGACAACTCTTAATCTTATTTGTCGGGGCAGGGGTATTGAGGTTTCCTTATGAACTTTATTTAGGACCCTTCCAAGACCATTGCAATAGGGTCTGGTAGCAATGATTTACCTATTTATTTCGGTACTTTTCTATCACTATTTATACTTTATTTTGATTAGTTCTATAATTTCTACGAAATTCCACCATGTCATGTACTCATTTTTCTATATATAAATCTGAAAACTAGGAGCTGACTGTGGCCTTTCATGACGATCCTTTTTTTTCGCTCAGGTCAAAGGATCTGAAGTTTCATCTTATGATAGGGTACCTGTTGCATATGCTTTATGCCCCACAGAAACAGTAAGGATTTTCCAGGTTTTCTTGATCTGATATATGATATCATTTTTTATAATATATATGTCATGATTGTGTCTACTCCTGCCTACCAGAAAGAAAAAATGATTGTGTCTCCTCACTAGTTTGATTGTGGATACCTCTCTGAGTATGATGAATGGGGCACATGCCAAATTTGCTTTAGTCCCTCCATATATTAGTGTGCTTGTTGGTGTTATATTTTCTTTGGATACTCTTATTCGTCATGGCCTGAATCTGATTCCTCTGTTGTGGACTCCAACATTAAAAAAAAATACATCTGATCACCATCTTTGATTTTGTGCCAGATTAATTATGTTTCTGCTCATGACAATGAGACCCTCTTTGACATTGTTAGTTTGAAGGTGTGATCTACTTACTCTTCCAATGTGTTTGTTTATCTGTAGCATAATATTTATTTTTCAATTCTAACTCAGCCTTGTCACTTGTATAGACTCCAATGGAAATGTCTGTAGATGAGAGGTGCAGGTTGAATCACTTGGCAACAAGCATAATAGCACTTTCACAGGTTGAACTCTATACGTTGTTTAATATTTTTCTTTTTACTATTTTGTATATAACCCTCGTTTCATGCATAAACACAAGTATCATAGGAATTATCTGTCATATATTGGATTATGGGTTGGTAGTAACTCTTACTTCATTGCAGGTCACTTTTTACCTTTTCGTTGAAGAATTTTTCTTCCGTCTCTAGTAAGAACTGCTCTTTTGTTAGCACTGCAAGAGTACCTCCTTGTGCTGCAAGGTCTTTGCCCACAAACAGTTGAACTGACAAGGGATTGGGTTCAAAAGAACCTGGTCCGAGCCTATCTTTTGAATGGGTAAACAGTGTCGATAAACTGATTTAGGCCATCAAACCAACATGCTAACCCAATTGTCTAAATAATTTAAATAACACGTGAAGTTTATCTTACAGTAAGCAAACCTGAAATTTTAGTAATTATGGATTATGATTTAGGTTGATCGGGTGTCAGACTAACTTAAACCCGGGTTGCTTAAACCAGTTACCTGAATCTAAGCTGCTTGTGTAATGGATCTACCAAAATCTTGTTATCAGGTTTCAGAATCTGGATTAGATTTTTCTAGCTCTAACAAAGAATAATGCAAATCACAGAGTTGTGAACTTGTGATCTCCAAAATCGACAACAATAATCTCAATCCATACTCAACTAGTTCAATTGAATAATGGAAATCAGTATGTTCTGTCAAATCAGTAGGTATAATATTAAGGGATATTTTTTCCTTGTTTGGTTTGGTGAATCCTTAATTATTCTTATTGACTTTGTAAATTACTAAATTTGAAATATGAACACCATGTTCTCATGTGTTGATGGGTGAATGTGAATGATATTCTGGATAATTGCCGAAGCTTGGAGCCTCTAGAATGCGTGCTTATCACTATGGGATGCAGTCAAAATGCTCTTGTACTTTTACATCTCATAGCATGTATGTGGAGATATATAACATGTTGTTGACATGTCCATTTTACATGTCATATTCTTCTATCAACTGACTCTTTGGAAGTTCTGCAGCCAGATACAAGTCTGGCCAGCTAAAAGTTGGGGATAAATGGTTTAGATAATTGCTATATGCATAATGTTGTGTATTATTTATTTATTTATTTATTTTAAGGTAATAGTTATGCATGTTGCTTTTCAATCTGAGATGTATTCAATACATCATTTTTCTATTGGATGACTTTGTTCTATCCTCATTGATGTTGTTGGATAACCTTTTTCTCTTTACACATATTTATGAATTCTATTAAGTTTTAAAGTCTAAACAGATTTTCTTCTTTGTTGTCGAAACTCTTGCACCTTATTTCTTTAGATGAGTTGGAGGTTTATCGAAATTTGATGTAGCCAAATTTACATAGTTAGTTAGCATTTAAGTCATTTGACCTTTTTTTTTCTCTTTTTTCTTATACAATGTTTCTGTTCAAGTTCTTGGTTTTATTGTGTAATCTAAGGAGGTTTGTTCCTACATATATTTACAGATGTTGGCTGCGCATGAACCAACCTTTATATCCTTTGTAGATAAATAGAAACATGTACTATTTTTTAATATTTGTCACAAATTATGAAAGAAGTCCATATCAATAAATATCCCTGAGATTAGCTTGGCATGGGCAACCCTTCAGCAGTGCAACTTACTATAACTGGAGGCTGTCTAATTCTTTAAGCTTATACATCTACCAAATGAATCAGCCATATAGTGTAATTCGTAATATTCAGTGATTTTTTTGCTAATGATATGTTTTATCTGATTTTTTTTTTTTCTTAATCTACACAAACTAAATGAGTTCATGATATGTAGGGAATACCCTTTTTCCATTGTGGTGATGAGATGCTACGCTCAAAGTCACTTGATCGTGATTCATATAATTCTGGTGATTGGTTTAACAGGTCCACTTTATTCTAATCGTATATTACATATAGACGTATTTGTTACACTTCTTTTTAATATAATTGATGTATTCTCTACTCTGCTGGATTTAAAATTTCAACTTCTCTGTGACAGTGCCATGACAGTCATTTTTTTATATAAAATAATGACCATATATGGAATTTCCATTTCTAATATTTAGTCTTAATTGCTAGACGTCTCTGTCACCTCAAATTTAGTGTTACATCACCTTTTTTTCAGGTTAGACTTCAGCTACAATTCCAACAATTGGGGTGTTGGCCTTCCTCCAAGGGGGAAAAATGAAAAGAGCTGGCCTCTGTAAGCTTTTAGTTACTTCCATTTCATAATTTGATGTGTTCTGTCTTGGTTAGGTTATATCTTGCAGTACTTCTTTTAAAGTTTAAATTGGTGTGCACACAACCCTTCCTGATGGTTCATCTATTAGTATCTTGTCTTTCAGAAAATCCAGTTTATTATTTCTGACAATAACCGTGGGGTCTTTTTTGTCTTCAGAATTAAGCCAAGATTGGCAGATCCATCCTTCAAGCCTCAGAATAGCCACATTCTTGCTGCTGTAGAAAACTTTTTGAACATATTAAGAATTAGGTACTCATCACCACTTTTCCGTTTGAGGACAGCAAACGCAATCCAGGTCAGAACAAATATTTTACACTTCTATTTTATAAGAAACATTTTCAGATAAGAAGTGCTCTAGAGGGAGCTGAAGTTCCATTTTGTGATGGAAGAATTTTTTTTTTTTTCCTGTTTTAGCAACGAATGTAGATGCTCCATTCATGTAAAATGGTGTTACATACATACATACATATATATATATATATATATATATATCCTTTTAAGACATTTCTGTCACTTCTGGTCACTAGACCTGCAAAATGTGGAAGGCGATCCAGTTCAAATTAGGTTCAGTTCAGATTACACTCATCTGTCAGGATTCGGCCATTATTGCGATAAGATTAATTATATTCTGAGACATATATATACACATCATTTAGTGTATTATATGCTTTTATCTTATGTCTCCAGACATAACTACAAGGGGTTATTTTCCTTTTGGATATGAAGTTACATGATATGGTTAAGAAGAAAAAGGGAAGCAGAATACAGGAAAGGAGAAGAATCATTCATAAAAGTGAAAAATTAAAGAGCCAAGGAAGATTCCAAGATCCTTTCAAGCCTGAATAAAAGGTCAACAAGAAACCTTCATCTTGGTAGTTTGGGTTTAAGTTGGCCTCATCTATTGTATTATTGATGTTGAAAGCTATAAAAATTGAAGTGAGAACTTAGACATGAACAACAAAAGGATATAACATGATTCGGCCACTATGGCCTACATCCACGGCACACAAAGCCCAAAGGACTACATCACTTTCATTATATTCTCTCTTAATTTTTGTATACAATGATCACCTCTATTAACAGGTGAAAGAATACAAACATGTGATAAATATGATATGGGAAAGATTCCTAAAATCACTCCCATGATTCACTCATATCAATATTCTGTCAAGGAGGGATTTAAGGGTTTTAATCTCTCCTATAATGATATTCTCCAATGGTTAAATTTGGGTGAGATTTCTCAATTTGACTTCTAAATACTGACAATAGAGTTTTTTTGGCTTTCACCATCACTCCTAGCCTGAATTCTTGCGAGTTTTAAGTGGAACTTCATCCCTTAGCTGCCTGACCCTTTGTCTTCTATATCATATGTTATTCTTTTCTGCCAAAGAGATTAATTTATTGTTTTTATAATATGTAAGAAAAGACGATGAACCCAGATGCCTATTGAAAACCAAAACTTTTTTGGTTGATGTTTTGACTCTTTTACCATTAAAAAGTCAAAAGTGCATTCTCTTCTGAATTTTCCAGCCTACGTAACTCACCAGTGACTGGATTGCTTGTTTGCAGTTTGTTTCCTGTGCATTTTTTTTTTCTTTTTTTCTTTTTTTTGTTACTCAAAACTCGAAATGAATTGTTTTTAAAATTAGAAGCTCAGTCATAGTAGCGCTCAATTAAAGTTATGAGGGAATCTTCTTTCCGGAAGTGAATCCCTCCACGTTTCCAAGTTCCGAAGGTTAGGAAAACCTCCTTGAAATTTTTTGGAGAAATCTATGTTTGAACTAATTTTAGTGAAGTGAAATGTTCAGGTTTTACTTCCAAACAATTTGTGTCTGCTTTGAAGTATTTTTTCATAAGATTTTGAAGAAATTGAAAATTTATTTGTGTTGTGCTTCCCTTTTTTTTTTTTTTTTTTTTTAAAGTTTGCATTGCTTGCTCATCTCCCATACTCCATTCTGAACTGCTAACCATGGCTAATCATTTTTCTTGGCACCAACAAATAAGACTCAGTTATTTAGATATGGAACCCGAAGTAACCGTTTGCTTCTTTTCTTGATCAATTTTTCCTTTTGTAACTTTGTAGAATATTATGATCTAGGGGTCAGAAATATTATAAGATAAAGTCAAATAGGACAAGGTGCATAAACCAATGAACTTTCAAGTTCTAAAGTCATGGAGTGGCAATTTTGTTCAGGAACGAGTTCGATTTCATAACACTGGTCCTTCTTGGGTACCTGGTGTCATTGTGATGAGCATTGAAGATGGTCATGAAGGCGTCCCTGGGCTATCACAACTGGATCCCATGTGAGTAAACATGAAGTATTCCATTTTTCTCTAGTACACCGATGCATGTGTCGAATTATATAACAACAGCGTTCCTGCTTTATTTCGAACAGCTACTCATATATATTAGTTATCGTCAACGTCTGCCCAACTGAAGTATCATTTGCTAACCCTGCACTACGGGCAAGAACTCTTGAATTGCATCCCATACAGGTTCGCTACTTCTTCTTTTTTTCCCCTAGTTGTTCGCTACTTTCTCAGTAGTATAAATTTACGGCGGTGGTTAGATGAAGATTTGATTAGACTGGTTTTAAATATGAAATAAATATTACATTTAATACCTAGTTTTATGACTCAAAAAAATCACTTCTGTTTTTTTGGGGAAAGCATGAATGGCTTACTTTTTCTGATACTACGACCATTTGGCATTCAGTTTACTCATTGACTGGAGCACTATAACTAATTTACTTTAGTAATGCACCAGTTCATTACTTAGAAAAACTGGGGAAGAATAAAACGTGAAAATTTTAAACAGGTTAAGGTTGGCTGTAATAGGACTGTATTCTCTCTCTCTCTCTCTCTCCACTTTTAGTTTATTCATTCATGTTTCTTCTCTCTTTCAAAACCTACTAACAAGCAGAGCATCTAATCCAGTTGAACTAAACCTGCGAAAAATAATAATTATAACTCTATTAGCCACTTTAAGTCATATTTCCACTAGTTGGTGCAAAGCACCCTGCATGGTTCCTCGTTTAGCTTTGGTTTTTAATTTCAAAAGTCTTTTTCACAAAATATCATTGATTTCTTAATCCTTGGCGCAGTTGATGTCCACCGATAAGGTTGTCAAAAACTCAACATACGAAGCATCAACTGGGTGCTTTACGGTGCCTCCAAGGACAACATCTGTATTTATCGAGCCTCGAGGCAAATAAGTTCCTTTTGCTGGCGAATGTGGTGATAATAGCGTAATTTGAGACGGGCGACAAACTGAGTTTGACCTCAACAGAGCCAGTATGGTGATTGATGCATACATACAGTACATATATATGTATATATTAAATTTTGGGTTGTTTGCAAGGAGAGAGAGAGAGCGAGCAAGCAAGCTAGGTAATTCTTTTTTGAGTAATGCTATGATGCCCGATTTGGTTTTTTGGAGACTCCAATAAAAAGTATACAATAAGGGACATGTACACAGTAATCAATAAGATAGAGTCTCTCTCTTTTTAAAGTGTATAGTAAGGATTCGTACATCAGTCGGTAATAAAAAAAACTGATCGGGAGTTCTATCCTCCTTTTTTCTTTTCTTTTCTTTTCTTTTTTAATTTTTTTAATTTCTTTTTTATGTGAGGGAATGGACTTTGAGTATAGTAAAGTTGATGAGCTTGCGAGAGATTTGAGTATAGCCATCATTGAAGACTCGTGAATGTTATCGGTCGTGTATACCTTCATTTCATTGTATATTCTGTATATATGTATATTTTTTGATAAGTAAAATATTAAAGTTATTTTCAATACAATGAAAATTTCACTTATTGATTTTTTGACCTCAAATTTTTTTATTTTTTATTTTTTTTATTTTGTGTTTATCCACTTTGAATTGATTGTGTAGATTCAATCTGTAATAATTGAATGACACTATTGATAAAATAAAGGTTACAGTGGAAAGTGCAGGTTGGCAGACCACTTTCTTTCCATAATCCAAATCCATTTTATTTAATCTTTCAACCAATCGATGAGATGTAAAATGAACTAAAAAGGTGATAATTTGGAATTATTTTAGTTTCATGAATAAAAGTTTGAGGTCATAGAATACTCTGTCGTTACTGTAATTATCATTTTTCCTTTTGCTATAAGAATTCTCATTATTAGTTTTCTATGCGGTATTCTCGGACATTCATGCTCAATTGTAATTTTTGTGGCCCCCACAAAGATTTATTATCCATGGGGCGGTATGCATTCAAAATGGAGTACACTTTTTTGTGACCTCCACGAAGACTTATCCATGGGCTTCTTTAGGAAAAGAGAATAGTTTGAACAATATATATTATTGGCGGCTCTGTCTTACACCCTTCCATAACTAACTTAGGGATTTATGCTCTATAGTAGATAGAGTTTATAAATTTGTATATAACCTCTCAACACATAGTACTAGTCACAGTTGTGCAGTCCTTGGAGAGAGTTAGGGTTATGGGTTTTTGGTGAAGTAGCTCTGATTGTCTTTTTGGTTAATATAATTTATAGTGATTTCGCTTTATATATCCTAAAGAGTATGATTGTGTTTAGGGGTATTTATTCATATCTTGATCTTTATATATATCCTAAAGAGTATGATTTAAGGGAGTGTATGGATTCACAATGAATCTGTGGCTACAAAAGTAAAAAAGAGATAGCAGCTTCAATGGCTCTTTTAAAACGGCTATATTATTTACTCTATAAATACTAATTCTCATCTTCAATAATCCTCTCTCTCAATATTTTTTTAAATATTCATCTCATAAAGATGAAGCCATTATTTTTTTGTATAAGAAAGATGAAGACTCAAAGAACATAGAATGGACTTGACTTGAGAATGCAAAGAAGTGGACTTGAGAATGCAAAGAAGATAGAATAAGTGGTTTGTATAAAAATGCAAAGAAGATAGAATGAGTGGTTTATATAAAAATTGAAATATAGCCATCGGAAATATAGCCGTTGGGAAAAAGACAAAAAGTTATAAAATTAAAATTAAATTTTTTTATTTAATTATTAAATTAATTAATAAAATAATAAATAGATAATGAGACCATATACCTTTTAAAAAGTATATAAATAACCTTTAGCCCCACAGCTCTTAGAGATTAAGGGTGCAAATCCTTCTAAACGACTCCCACGAAGTTTTACTGAAAATTACCTAATTCATGTGAGACGGAAACTGGATGTATCTGATGATAGACTATGCAATACTCTAAGAAGCATGAAGTTGAGGAAATCCTAGTGCCATGCTGTAGTCTAATTGAACTCTTCTTCCCTAAAAAGAAATGAGAAAGAGTACCAAAAAATAAAATCAATACAGCCCATGTTAAACATGTAAACCTGCAGAATTAAAGTGCAACACAAAATCTGTATAGCCAAAGCCATACATATAGTCTGCACGCGTGTATCATGTAAAAATGTTAGAACAATCAAGCCAAATTTCTTGTTTCCAGCATGAGCTATATACATCTCGTGTCTGAGCTATAAGATACAAAACAATTCCAGTACAGATTTATTTTTCACCATACTCTCTCGGTCTTCCCTTTTGGATGTCTCCATCCATCCCAAAAAAACCCTAATTCTAACACTAATTCGGTAAAGATTCAATGAATGAAAGAACATTAAAATTGATACTGACCGGTATAACATGAACACCATTCTTTGTAAAAATACAATTAGACAGCACAGCTCCAATAGGTTTCTCGAAAGAGCATATGGCCATCCATCTACGCCGTCAGCTATCGTGAAGGATCTGAAAGTCCAAACCATAGGCACCAATGTTGAGGAATTCAGTTTTGATCTTTTGAGCTGCAGATATTGTACTTCTGTTCAGAACATTTCAACTAAGAGCAACATCTACTGTTATTCGGTGGCTGGCACAGTTGCTTCTCTTTCAAAATTTGTTTCTTCACAGCTATAGATCCTTTTTCCAGTAGACTAGGTGTCTCTAGTATCTGTTAAAGTAATCTAGATTAGTCGGAACACATGTTAAGCAACAGAAAAGTATCAGCACTATGAAGCATCCACTTAACGAGAAAAAGAAGCATGCTGCATGCACCAGAGAAAAGTTCCGACAGCTGAACAATATGGAGACATATTTGTATAAAGGTTGAATTTCTGGAACACGATGCTCCCCTGCCAATGTGGGGTACAATGGAACAATCTTACCGTTGCACCAAGGCTCATCCTCAATACTAATTGCTTCAACTCAAATATTAGAACATTATATTATGAATATATACTATAAAATAATAAATAAATAAATAAATCAGAACATAATATGATGACTTGTGAACTTTATGGTGTACTCTTAGATCATTGTGATTGTCTTTTACTACCATGTCATAGGAGGTAAGATCAAACCTAAATTGCCGTCTACTTCCCTGTATCTGAATATGTTGATATGACCAAGGTACATAATTGCACTAAAATGATTCAAGACTTAAGAGGTTCAAGATCATTGAAGAAGCAAACAGGTGAGAAACTTTTGTGCCAGTTTACTGAAACAAGAACATAGGATCTCTGGGGAATTATACCCTTTACTGGCCAATAGAGTGCCGGTGTGCAAGATGCCAAGCAATCGGGAGACTAATTTGTAGTGTTATTTTTGTGGCAGCCATTTGTTAAGTAAGTCATAGAAGAAACAGGAACTAAACGGTATTGAAGTAGCAATCTCTCCCTCTAATTAAATTCCTAAGCAAATGTATCTTCTCCTTGCTGGAAAAAATTCCCAAAAACGGATTGTTCATTCTAGGGAAAAGAACTTTCCATGTCTTCGATTCTCTGTGGTAATTAACACAATCAAAGATGTTCTTGGACACACTTGACTTTCGTTTTTTCTTTTCACAGAATTAAAAAGTGATATTGCATTCAATAATTGATTGTTTTCAAAAAAAAAATCATATGATCCGATAATATGCAATCCAAACAGTGCAATAGATATCAAATAGTGACAACTAGAGAAGTTAGGTTTCTCTTTAAGTTGATTTCAAATGCAGCCCAAACTCTTTTTCATATTATCAAGATGATAGATCGAACATTATCAAAATTTAAAGCTTGCTTTAACATTTTCAGGTTTGAAATAACAGTCAAGGAAAAAACATGCAATTTAGAAAGTGTACCTCTGCCAAACAGGGGGGGAAAAACAATAAGGAGAAGAAAAAGGAGAGTATACCTTTATAATGACCTCTTTGAAGCATCGCAGCACATTTTCTCTCGTTTTAGCACTGCATTCTAGAAACAAACATTTATGCTCCCGCGCTAGAGCCATCCCCTCTTCTATAGTTACAGCCCTTTCGCTATCCTGAAGAAAGTATGTCATTAAATGAGGTACCTCATCTTCTCTACAACAGAATCAGAGAACATAAATTAACAACAAACATAATCGTATATATCTATTTTACAAATTTGCTACAGATCAACACCAGAACAGATAGTAGTATAGATTTCTTCCACGCGAAAATATTTTTTAGAAAAAATAATTTTAATCATTTATAATATTTATTCTACAAATTTAGTAGATCAACACCAGAACATTAATTAGTACAGAATGTCGTTGTCAAAAATAATTTTTTATATACATTAAATTCCGTGTGCAAAGTAGTGTGCATTTCATGCAGACATACATGAATGCATGCGTGTTTTTGTGAGCGCGCAAGGAATACTTTTCTATGGTAATATACAGAAAAAGATATGATACAACTTACCCTATCAACTTTGTTCCCAACTAGTATCTTGATGCACTCTGGGTTTGTGGAGTAGAGCTCTACTTCCTTGGCCCATATTTCTGACAAGTTCGTAAATGTTTCTCGCCGTGTTACATCATAGACTAAAATTAGAAGTAAATCAGAAACCAGTTACTTAACTTCACCACATGTTAGTCAGGAAATTTTGTGCAAAAATTACAATTACATGGCTAGTGGAAGCATGAGCTAGAGAAGAACCCAATACGATTATATTTCAGGTGGCAGGTATTTATGAAGTTTAATGCAAAGTAAAATCACTATTGCCGATTGAAGAAAAACAGAACAAAGACTACTACCATGCGTAACTTCAAAGTGGAGTATGAAGATTACAATAAATCAAGTATGAAACCTCCTAACACTACAAAGACGAATTAACCATGAAATGTAGTAAAAAACAAGCACATGTCAGGAAATTACAAGAAAGCTAGACAGGAAAATAGTTCAAATTAAGTGTTATCCTTGCATTGACTTGTTCGAAGGATGTTTGACGTCTTAATCTTCTTATAGAGAGGCCAGACAACAAGAAGAGCGCATATAGATCATTAAAGAGGAAATTCAAATGTCCCTAGGCAACTAAATTATACCAGAGTGTTTGACATAGCAGTAAAAAGCAACATCTTATACCACGAATGGAAAACATCATTCCGTACACCTTAATAAATGAAATTAAGTTTGAAGTCTTAATAATAGAATGTCTTGTTGTATATTACTCTAGAGATGCAATCGAAAAAATTCGGACTGTCAAATGTGAACAGAAGTTCAAGTCTAAAGGCAGCCAAGTCATGCAATTAATGATGTAGGTAAGCTCTACACCACATCCATCCCTCCCAATACCCCACATTAGTGGGGTCAATTCTGAGTAATGGCTTTTAAAATGCAAGAAATTTGGCTCATTTAATCCGTTGTGAAAGACCATGGACAACCTATAGACAACTAAATCATGCAATTAATGATATAGGTTAGCCCTAGACCCATCCTGGATTTCAGTAAGATTGCAAAAAGAGACCATAATAAATTACTGACCATCAATAGTTGGAACTTTAATTCTAATTATTTAAGAATTTTACAAAAACTACCTACTAATAGCAAATCACTAAAAGATTGAACAATGAATAAAGACACAAAAAAAAAGTAGTCGAAAGATTATCCCAGAAATGAAGTTGAGAAATGAAAACTATCAGTACTTTGAATGCCATACCGAGGATAATTCCATGGGCACCTCTATAGTAAGAGTTTGTTAATGTTCCAAACCTCTCTTGTCCAGCTGCAATAAAATGTAAGTATTAATTAACCCATTGCATTCAAATTGGTTTCGAAATTGAATGCACTCTTAGAAAATTATACGTTAAGATCGATGTGGTAGTGCAAAGGGATAAGACAGATCACACCTCTATTTCCGAATTCAAAGTTGCAAAGAGGTGTGACTACCCTTTGCACTTTCCAATCATGTTTTATCAATCTATCAAGAATAGTTAAGTTGTCAAGGTTGATCATTCATGTTCTTAGCTGCAGCATACAGCTATTGAACCGACAACATGTAACTTAAAAAAAAAAGCGTATGCATGGGTAGGGATTCCATTGGGATGCAGAAAAAAAAAAACATATATATACATATATGGTGGCAAGCCATTAACATCTATATTAATTACCTGTGTCCCAAATAGTGAGTTTCAGTCTTTTCCCACCAACTGTGAGATGCTTGATCTTGAAATCTACTCCTGGACATGGTCAATATAACAAACAAAGCTCAATATACAGATTCAAATTATTTGAAACATGAAGCCCGTAACTACAAACACAAAGTGTGCATCGGTAGTTCAGTTATATTACATAAAAGGCCATTCACAAGATTCTTCACCTACATTTCTCCTGTAAGAACTGCACAAATTAAACAGCCAAGGAAAAAATTGCAGCTCTAGAACCTAGATTCTGTCTTGAAGTTTAACATAGGAAAAAACACTGTCAAACAGTAAAAGTAAATTTCAGCTTCTGTTAAAAAATATATATATATCAGAAACAAACCTACATTGTCTGCTTTATTGGTACCCTATTCCATCCATATGATGGAACAGAACATATTACAATTTATCTAAAAAATATAAAAGATTAATAATTTATTGGCACATATATGCAGCTCATTTGACCAACAAATCCAAGATCAAGAATAAACAAATAATGGTGGTGAAAAGACCCAAGTTCTCTTTGGAAGGGAAGTCCAGGGCAGAAGTCGGTATAGTAGAGAACAAAAAGATAAAAACTTAAAAATTGCAAATCTAAAATTATATTTGCTAGAGAAAGCCAAATAAGAAGAGAATCCAATATAGGAATAACAGTAACATTAGTCATTAGCATTAGAACAGCATAGCCTACTATATCAGTAAAATAAGCATAGAAAAGGATATTTTTATGGATATCAATGGTACAACCCCTAAAAAGTAATATCCTACTGTCATTCACAATTTTTATTGCTATTTTTGAGAGTTTAAGGTGAGGACGGCCTTTGCATTGATGAACATATAGATCAGAAAAACAGAACACCAAAATAGTTCCTGCCAATTGTAATGAGACACTAACTCAATTGACGACACTACGTACCATATGCTATAGCAATCAATTCTAATGCTTAAATTTGCAACGTGGGGTACAATTGTGTCTGTGATCAATTTGAATGGCTAAATTGCTCTCGTGGTGAGCCTAGAAAAATTCTCGAAAACAAATTTCAGAACACAGTATTCTAACAATTTATCTGTATAACACACCTAAACATGCATGCAACTTTACATTCCTAAATAGGCAGTCCCATAATTTGAAGTAATTCTGACAACATGTTCAAAGCAGGGATATGAATGTTAATTATGTTACACCCATTTTGTTGGCTTGATAATTAATTAGCACTCAAAACAAGGAAATGGAGTCAAAGACACAAAATAAAATTAAACGAAAAACAAGAAAAGTATTAAATGATACTTTTAAAAATTTATGAAAGTCCTCTCCAAAGGGATGAACCATTAAACTTAAATATTACACACACGCATATACATATATGTGTGTGTGAGAGTGTGTTTGCATATGTATACATGGATGCAATAATGGTCCCTAATTAGCCAAGAATCAATGATGAACAAAACGCCCAAGAACCACACACGGCCATGAGATTTTTTCACATGGACAAAATCCCAAACATAGGAACTACATATTTTAGCTTCCTGATTAAAACCCTCAAAATAATACTCTGTTAACACAATCTGATCAGAATATAAAAAACAGAATCAGAAACATTTATTATAATCAATGCATGCAACCTTTAGCTAGCTCAATTTTCTTTTTTCTGGGTAAATTTTAGCTATCTCAATTGAACACATTAAAATATGAATCAACTCTTTCCAAGTGTAATAACCAACAAGGCAAGCATGAACCAGAAAATTAAAGAAAACCCATCAACATTTGAGGCCTATATATATATATATATATATGTATGTATAGAGAGAGAGAGAAAGTGGGTACCAATTGTTGGAGAGAGATCTTGAAGAGGGTGGTTCATGTTGGAGATGAAACTAAGGAGAAGACTACTCTTGCCCACCCCTGAATCACCAATCAACAATATCTTGAATGAGTAATCATAACTGTTGTTGTTGTTGTTGTTCGTTACTTTTCCCCAAGCTGATGATGAACCCATCATCATTCATTCATATACTATCAAATACCACACACACACACACACACATATATATATATGATCAGCCTTTTTCGTGAGAAACAAGAACGAAGGAAGGAAGGAAGAAGAAGAGAGAGAAGGTAGAGAGAGAAAGAAATGGGGAAGTAAAACTGAAGTGTGGGACTCTGGTGGGGGTGTTGGGTTGGCGGGGATTGCATAGTTTTAGAGAGAGAGAGAGAGAGAGATGCAAATGGAGAAGGGGTTGGGACAAACGTCCTCTTTTCATTGAGACGGTTGTAATCTGTTGTTCCACGCGCCTGCAATGGGGCTCTTCGTGGGACCCACGTGACGACGAGGGTCATTTATTTATTTGACCATTGAATTATTGAAACATTTTCGTTTTTTAAATTTCTATTTTTGGCCATCAAAAACTGGTTCTTTACGCATTTGTTTTTTGTTATTGTTTGTATGTCAGTTGTCACCTTCTTATTCAAATATTATCCTAACTTCACTTTTTACATCACTCTGTGCTAGTTTCTCACTAATGACTAATAATGAGTGATGTGACAATTAGACCACTATTATAAAATTGTTAATTTCTTCAAAAAAAAATAATAATAATAATAATTTTTACATACAAATTTTTTTCTTATTTGTTAAAAACGGTAGTATCGGGTCTCTAAAAATATTTTATAATTCTAATTTTTTTTAGAATACTTTATAAAACATAGCCGGATATAATTAATTTAAAATTTTATTCTACGCTAATTTGCACACCTATTGAACAAAATACCATTCGAAAATCATATAAAACATAGCAAGATATAATTAATTTAAAATTTTATTCAACGCTAATTTGTCTACCATTGAACAAAATATCATTCGAAAATCATATAAATCTAAACCAAAATGATAATTCATATTTTTTTTCATTGTTAAATTATCAGACATTTGGATTGTTGATTGATTTGTTTTCCGAGTAAGCAAGTTTTGAAATAAAAAATTATATTTAAATTATTGAAAATAAGGGCAGATTGGAGTGGTTTCAGCATTCTTTTCCAAATCATATTTTTCCGGTTGACGAGTCACAATTATATATTACCATCTATTTTTTATTTTATTTTTCTTCTTACCATATCTGTTCATGTTTATACATACACAAATAAAAGAATAATTCGTTTGCATATTAATGGGTCAATCGCATAAAATACACTTTAAGTATGTATATAGTGCATATTGCACATTTTTCGTACAAAAAATACTCATAAATTATGACATTTGTGCAAATAGGTCCTCCTTGTACATTTAAGATAAAATTAGACTAAAATATTCTTAATAACACATTTTATAAAATATATAAAAAATAATATAATGTAAAATGACAAGTACCCAAAACCCATCTTCTTCATTACAGTGAGGAGAAAACAAAAAAATTCCCATCACCCACTGAGCACTTTCGGACGGATTGGCTTCGCAACCACCCATAATCATATAGATTCCAGTTTATATCCCATTCCTTTAGAAATATTATTTTAAAAAAATATAAAATAAAATAAAAAAGTATTTTGTTTCTATTAAAACATAAACAAAACCCAATGTATGTGGAGCTGTACGGGAGTCCAAATCTAAGATTCAAAACGAGTTTGTCCTAGAGTTGAGTTAGACAATAGAGGTTTTTTCTGTTTTATTATGCAATAAAATATATACAAAATTTATTCAGAGTGACATGAACTAGAGGATCGATGAGCAAGGATTCAAGCACGGACTGATTATATCGGCGGCGACGAACAGCAATCAAATTCATTACTTGATGGAACGAACGCCGAGCAAGAAGCTCACCGGCGAGTACACGCAACGGCGACGGCGGTGCGATACTCCACTGCTCGATACGGTGGCGACGGCGGCGGTCACTTCACAGCGATCTGCAAACATGACCGTTGGTTTGTAGAAAGAGATAAAATATGGTGTTGGTGGCTATGGTGGTTCAACACCCCATCTTTGCAACCTTAATATGGTGTTCAACACTCCATCTTTGCGACCTTAATCCATCTTTTTCCCCAAATTCATCTTCTTCCCCATATATGTATATATGTACATGACTGTATCCATATGTATGTCTCTGAAAATTAGGGCTTATGGTTTATAGAAACAAAGAAAATATGGGGCATCCTATCATCACCCGAGCCACCGCCTTCGGGAATTGTGCCGCCATGCTGTACACCCCTAACTAGCCACCGCCTGAGGTGCAGGAGAAAAAGGATGTTTGGTTACAGGTATTTCCTCATCCTACATTAGTTTGAGATTGAACCAGTTCAAAGTTTAGTACGAATATTTTTTTAAGAGTAAAAAGGTAAAATTGATATTATAGTATAAATTTTTGATTGACAAATATTTTTACTTTTATACACTTTTTAAATAAAAATAAAAGTGTTACAAAAATGTATATTTCAATTTGATGTTTTGCACTTACCCCGATATTAATAAATAAATTATGAGTTATTCCATGCAAAGGCACTCGAGTGTTTGTAAGTTCTGTGACACGTAGAAACCAACCTAAACGGGCAATTAATATACCGTTCAAAGTTAGAGAGAGAAAGAGCAGGGCACGTGTGCTCACTTCCATGAGCGGATAGTGACAGCAATTTCCAAAATCAATATGATCGTGTTCATAATTTCATATATGCTGCAATGATAAAACATTCCTTTTGAAGAAAGAAAATTGTTTTTTGGGAAAATTGTTTTTTGGGCAGAACATGGCGGGTGGTTCGTTTTTTTTTTTATTTTTTCTTTTTGGGTAAATAATGGCGAGTGGTTTTTCAAGTTTGTTTGTATTTTTATTTTATTCTTTCTTTTGCACTTGTTAGATTTTATAGTAAATAAATGATGTTTTTGCTATGCAAGTTTGCAATGTAGGAATGAAATATAATGAAAGCGAAAATTAAATGCAATGATTATTTTCGTTATATTATTGGTTGCAAATATAAAACGTATAGGAATGTAATATAATAATAATAACTATTCTAATATTTGGTTGGACCAATTTAAATTTTAAAATAGAATGAATTTCAAATTGAATTCTTTAAAATATCCCTCTTAGTCACAAATAAATTAAATTAACAAAATAACATTCTTCTATATTTTTTGAAAAAAAAATTACAGCGGTAGTAGCAGTGATGGAAGGCAACGGTATTGGTGGAGAGTGGTGGCGGGGGTGGAAGGCGTCGATGGTATAGGTGATGATGGTGAAAGGCATTAATGTGGTGGTAGTGGAAAACAGCAGTGGTGTAGGTAGTGGTGGAAAGCAGTGGAGGTGACGATGGTGCCGGTGTTGGAAGGCAGTGGAGGTGGTGATTGTTGAAGTCGGTGGTGGTGGCGGTAGTGGTGGAGGCAGCAACGGCAATGTGAGGGTGTTGGAAGGCGACGACAATGGTGGCGGTGGCAGTAACTATGGTGGAAGGCGGTAGTACTGGTGTAAGCGGAAGGTGACGGTGATGGAATGCAGCAGCGGTGGTGGTAATGGTGACAATGGTGGTGGCAATAGCAGTGGTGGAAGGTAATAGAGGTGGCAGTAATCGAAGGCAGTAGTGGTGGTGACGACGGTGGTAGTGGACGTGGAGGTGAAGGTGGCGGAAAGCAGTAGAGGTGGCGTCGGTGTGGTGGTTAAAGGCAATAACAATGATGGTGATGACAGTAACGGTGGTGGAAGGCAATGAAGGAGGCAACGGTGGTTGTAATTTTTGGACTTGAAATGTGAGAGTTTTTTAGGGAATTAACTTGGTTTTATTATAAAAAATAATTAAAAAAAAGTTATTTGAAAATGGAATGGTTATTCCATAGGTTTAATTGAAAAAATGAATTTTTTTTTCTAAAATTAATTTTTATTCCACTGAAATGTTATTTCATCTTTAAATTGCATATCAAACCAATTGTTGAAATGGGTAATCCAAATTCAAATGGCGGATTTGGACCAGGATCACCTCCAGTTGCATAGTGCAACCATTTCCACCATTTGAAATAAGTGGTTGAGAATGTGCCACATCAATTAAAAAAATTGAGTAATTAATTTTTTACCACCCCTTTAAATATTATATTTCATATATATATAAACTTTAAATATTATTTCTAAAATACGTTACGCACGGTTGTATCCCTTTCTCTCTCTAAAAGCTACGCACGATTGTCTCCCTTTCTGTCTCTAAATGCTACGAAGGAAATAGTATGAACGGTGATATGAGGCGAAAAAGAAGAAGTGAAGAACGGCGGTGAGGCGAAGAAGAAAAAGTGAAGAATGGCAGTCTGAGGCGAAGAAGAAAAAGTGAAGAATGGCAGTCTGAGGCGAAGAAGAAGAAGTGAAGATCGAAGGTCTAGGGCATCGAAGAAGAAAGTCAGAATGAAGGCCTGAGGGTTAGGGTTTGAATTTTGAATAAACGAAGATGAAGAAGAAGGGAAAGGAAAACGAAGAAAAAGGGAAAAAGGTCTGAGGCTAGGTTTGAAAAGTTGGTGTGGAGGAAAAAAAACTCCCTCCAATAAGAAGCGTACACATCATCACTACACATATCTACATTCCAAGGACATATGAGACCCGTCCGGATCAAGCCCAAATTATATTATCTTTCAGCCCAATACCACTTACGTTAGACCTTCAACACTGGATGAAAGCCTTAACCTGCCCAATATCACCTCATTGGAAGTACCGGCCCCTTCATGAAGTCATCCAACCCATATTACATCCGGCCCAAGTACACCATCTATGGTCCAGTCCTAATAAGAAAAGGACTCAACACAAAGGAAGTTTCCGTGTGAGAGATATTTTACATAGGAAGAGTTATACAAAGAAAAGAACTCCATTTAAGGAGAATATTGTACATGGAAGGATTGGAGGACAAGCAATGCGAGTCCTACCATGATTCTACTATACTATTTGTGTATAAATAGAGGTCCAGACCTCCAATAAAGGAATCAAGCAATTCTACGCTTTTCTATACACTATTCTTATTTATTCTTATTGTTTTTGAGTGAGTTGTTTGATTTTTCTCAATCATTATTGGTTGAGCGGAATTTTGCACCTACACTTTGGCGCCGTCTGTGGGAATCGTATAAAAATATACTCCCACTTGTTCTTCAAATCAAATCCTTAGTCGTATCTGGAATGTCAAACGGAGAGTCAGCAATGAATCAACAGATAGAATTGATGCAAAAGATGCGAGAGGAGTTCTTGCACCAATTTGAGACACTCCGACAAGCAAACGATACGAGTGTCGCCCAGATAGCTGCGCTTCAGCAGTAAACTCATACGCTGCACACGGCAATGGCCAGGCTAACGCCACAAACACCACCAGGCGATGCTGCAGCACCACCCCCCACCCAGAATTTACCTCCAGTTCACGAGCCTCCGGCCAACGGGACACCACCCAACGGGGCTGGACCTAATGAGGTTCAGCAACAGCAAGGGACGAGGTCCGAGGCGGTTGCTTCGGATAATCTCCCGCGTCGCACACAGGACGAACAGGCCGAGTCCAGCCATAGGCTTACGGTATGGTCCAATGGCGTTCC